TAGTTGAGATCGTACATTTCAAGCTAGAAGTTGTTATAATTTTGCCGGTGACCTAAACTTTAACGGTGCGTGTCTAGTTAAAATTAATCATCAGCCGGCGGTATTTTAGTTTTTGCATCAAATTCATAGGTCAAGATTCAGCGGATAACTCAAAATTTTATATGTTTCTGCATATAAAGAGTGACTGAATTAGTGAAATAGTTATAACTCGAATGATAAATCATTTGCTGCTTAAAAAAAACCTATTTTAACATGGATTTTATGAAAAAAATATATAGGTAGGCTAGCTTTGTCAATGATCATACGTATAAGTTTATCTTTACTGAAAATAGACTTTTGACACGAAAATTTGGAACCATTGCTTAAACGTCATGTAAGTTATTCGATTTCGTTATCGTTTGGGAAGCAATTAACTAAACGCTGTAGTTACTGGCTAGGTAAGAGTAGCAAGCAATAAAAAGTTGTTGTTGTTCGGAAACATTATGGAACGAGCGACGTCGCGTGAGAATAGTTTTGCGGTCAATTTATCTATTGCACCACTTTAGGTAAGTAGCATAATGATTTTTTCATTGCTTGTATTTTGGAGTTGTATAAACATATACAACTCCAACTCTTTTATATACCTAAATATAATAAAAGTCTTTTTGTCTATCAAATCAAGTCCCTTTTCTTAAGGACGTATCTTATGTATGTATAAATAAATGTATATCAATTTTATGTTAATGATAAAAAATAATGAAATGTAAATATTTATTTTAATGTTATGTCTATTTAATCAGCACAAATAATTAAATAATATATAAACATAATTATCACATGTATTACTATTAAGTGTTACTATTGTTTGTTAGAAATTAAGAAAATTTGCAATGCCCTTGCAGGGCTCATGTTGTGAATCTTTATTTTAAATTTAATAACCCATGTATGCACCAACATGAAGCAATAAAGATTATGATGATGATGAGGACTGCGTGGCAGTATCCTGATTCTCAGTAACTGATTTAGTCTTTAGCATAGTTAGAAAAGGATGTCGCTATATATAGCACATAGCGCCATCCCTTTCTAACTGTACTCAAGTAAAGATCAACACTTGGTTGTCATTCTGTAATACGGGCCTTAGGATACTTAGATCTGGAATCCTTTGGAGGAGTAATAAATAAAATATCTAATTTAATGCAATCTATACACAAGCAATCAATTCTCTTGCAAGACGCTGGCAAGAGAATAAAAACCTTCAACCTTCTGCTGAAGTAGAATGATGAAATTTGGCAAAAAGCAATGCCGAATAACACAATAATCAATAAAAATAAAACATCTCAGAATAATGAAAAAAAGTTTTAGCTAACTTTTTACACGCACAACAAAGTATAGGGTGAATAGGTATTTGAAACTTGTATCTCGTAACTGTTCTTGTTATATCTGATAAACGAGCCAGTCTGTCTAGGTCAGCAGCAGCCTCAAACGCTTTTGTTTCATTACACCATAAACTACATTTATTAGTCACAGCTGTTTTCATTTTTTGCTTCCGGCCAGCGTTCTACCGGAACGGCCGGTGTGCGGGCCGACCACTGTTTTAATCTCGATTCTCGGCGTTACGTCACTAGCACGCATGTAGTTAAGAAACTTTTTTTTTATAAAAATTCATTATGCTCACCCGTCACGAAAGTGAGTTAATTATACATTTCAACCACGTCTGTTATTACCGTAATAATAGTATAATTGTTTGTTCTACAAATTATGAATGACATAACAGTTACTTTTAGTAAACATATTGGACTATTTTTTACGCGTTCGTGCGTTCACTCTTCCTTGTCTGTATTTGAATTTATCTTGATTACTTCTTATGATTTCTATAGGAATGCATCCGTTGGACGTTTGTCATTATTAATAAATACGGTTACATTCACCTATGCATCGTCATTGTTATTGGCCGTTCTTTTGATGACTTCGAATAAATATTCAAAGATTTTGTTACAATGTGATGATGTAGTCTTATATAATGACAAAGATTCAGTAAGTCTTCATATTTAACCAGCAAACTACAGTCTGGACTTAAATAAACAGCTTTTTAGAATCTCTTCTGCGTACCTTGATCCCAATTTATAATATTTGAGGTCGCTGCAGTATTTCTTGTTGTTCATTTTTCTTTACTTGCTTACCCGCTGTCGGTGTATTTCATCTGTATTGCTTTTTCATTCAAATAATTCTATTTATAGTTCTTATATTTTACTGAAATATCGAAATAAAGTATTATTTCAGATTTAATGTTGTTCACAATTTTTGACGTGACAACGTCTTAAATTAGGTTGCGGCTGGGAGTCACTTATGAAAAAGTGTAACGCTCGGTAACGTTACGATGAGTCTCTCGTGTTAAGTTTAAGTTTACATGTACAATGTTTTAGTAAACAAAATATATTTCTATAGTTAAAATTTGTGCAATTCTTATTTTCATTCAATTCCTTGTTCCTATTGTGCAATTTAATTATATTCATATCAATAAATATTCTACCGAGAAAAAGACGTTGTCACGTAAAATCTTCGCCCGTAAAACCGACTTTACAGGCAACCATTTTTTTTTTTAAATAAAACCTAGATTGACTGTTTTGGGAAAGTCATGAATGTTAGGCATCGATTCCACTATCATATTTTCATAGTGTTTCTTGGTAAGAGATGGACCACCGAGATGCTTTTCGAAATGAGAGGAAGTCCTCATTGAAGCTCATAATTATATGAGTCAGTAATGTGATTGGTCGAAGCAGCAAATGGATTGATTAATCTAGCACATGGCTTCATCCAGTCATTGCTACTAAAATGTTCAAGTGCTATTTTAAATTACGAAGTGTTATTAGTGCAACTATAGTTATCCTACCCCGTGCTCCAAAAGTCCTGTTTTCGATTTTGGAATAGAATATGTCCATACTTTATTTAATCGTTACATCTTTAAGTTAAGCAACTTTCGCTGTGGTCGGTCATTGGATGGGTGATCAAAAACTTTCTATCTCGAGCTCCTCAGTGCTTCGAAAGGCACGTTAAGCCGTTGGTCCCGGCTGCATCTGCAGCCGTTAGCACCCGCCAATCCGCACTGGGCTCGCGTGGTGGGTCATGGCCCAATCTCCCTATTCCATCCATAGGGAAGGGCCTGCTCCAGCAGTGGGGACATTCATAGGCTGATGATAACGATGATACTTTATTTTTCATATTTCTTGTATTACATTATATAGTTTGTTAGACTGATATGATATTTTTTTGGTAGAGAATTTTGAGATTTACGCAAGCGCGGCAGAATAACATAAGGAACCTTGCACCTTGTGAAGTACTCCCATTATACTTGAGCCCTTTATGTAGTAGCGCCGAACGTCTAGGGCAGCTATAAAAAAAAACAAACGGCCATGACTTTTGGTCGAATCCAAATCGTCAGTCAGTAAATTGCAAAGCCGCTTAAGCTTCCCTACTATTATGAACTAATGTAAACAAAACACCGCTTCATCATCATCATCAACAGCCTATCTTAGTCCACTCCTGGACATAGGCCTCTCCAAATGCACGCCACTCAGATCGATCTTGGGCTACTCGCATCCAGCTCCTGCCAGCCACCTTGCGCAAATCGTCACTCCATCGTGCCTGAGGACGTCCTACACTACGTTTGCCTAGACGCGGTCTCCACTCCAGAACTCGTCTACCCCAACGGTTATCGGTTCTTCGACAAATATGGCCAGCCCACTGCCACTTCAACTTGCTAATCCGGTGGGTTATGTCGATAACTCTGGTTCTCTGTCGGATTACCTCATTTCTGATGCGATCCTTCAGAGAAACGCCGAGCATAGCCCTTTCCATAGCGCTCTAAGCGAAACACCGCTTAGCTAGTCAAAATTCATTCTTAGTTATCAATTAAACGATAGCTGTTTCATTATATTCGAAAGAGTAAAAGTGTGTGTTAAATGGCAATGATATAAGAAAAATTGTAATTTCCTCTAAAACTAATTATTTCATTACTATTTTGTAATCAACATGATGTCAAAATTATTTTTGTCGTCATTATTGAATACCCATAGGTGCGTCGTTATGTTAACAAATTTTAGTCAATTAGTCATTTTCCAGTTCTTTCACAAGGTTTATTAAAACTATAATTACAATTTACGTAAATGATGACAATGTACATACTTGGACGACAAATTTCACCCTTATTTCTGCCCAATTAAGGGTACTAAAATACCAGAGTGTCTCAACCAAATTCAGTACATTTACACTAGGATGATGATTAATATGACATTTCCTCAAAGGTCAATAACCACATAAGGTCACATCTGTTTTCCAGAAGGGCAAACAAATACAGTAGATCGTTAAATTCGTTCTAATAACAGTTCAGAAATAAGGTTCCTCCAAGTAACAATTTATATAATAACTAGTGGCCCGCCCTCGCTTCGCTTCGGTGTAGAGCTGAAGTGTAGACTGCAGTTTTTGTTCTCAGGCTTGTATTATACACAATGACATTCATCTATGATTCTTCTTATACCTGCATGCAAAGTCTCAGCCCGATCGGTTTAAAATTTACAAAGTTTCATAAAAACTTTCATTCCCTATTTTATCCCCTTGGGGGTAGAATTGATCAAAATCCTTTCTAAGCGGATGCCTACGTCATAACATCTACCTGCATGCCAAATTTCAGCCCGATCCGTCCAGTGGTTTGGGCTGTGCGTTGATAGATCACTATGTCAGTCAGTCACCTTTGAGTTTTATATATATATATATATATATATAGATAATAATAATAACTTCTAGGTTGAAAACCAAATTTTAGCCAAATGGTTTTAGCTAATCGTTAGCACCCACCAAGCCACACTGGAACTGCGTGATCCATAGCCTTTTCTTCTATTCCATCTACAGGGAAGACCGCACAGTAGCACATTCGTAGGCTAATGACGATGAAGCTTGTAAACTAGGGCAGCCACGCACCAACAGACTTTGCCACTCCTTTTCACATAATATTTTCTTTGTTCCAGTGAACAATGACAATTGACAAGCAGCTAGTATGGGTGCGGGACCCAAACGAGGGGTTCGTCCTGGCGCGCCTCCACGAGCTGATGGGAGAGGAGGCAGACGTGTTCCCCGTGGACAACAAGTACCCGCGCCGCGTGTGCAGCTTCGAGGACATCTTCCCCGCCGGCGACCCCAACAAGGATGTCGACGACAACTGTGAGTGAATCCGTACATTCATCTTTAGCAACGTCTTCATGTAAGAGGGATAGGGTAGGGAGCAAAGTAACCTCCCTAAGTAGGAGTAATAAAACTACCTTTAGGTAGTGTCGCGTTTTTATTTTGAAGTGTATTGTATGTAACCTCTCGTTTCCACCAAGAAACAAGTCATTATACTAGTTTTAAACAATACTTGTTGTGGCTGTTTAAAACGTTCTTTCGTTTAGAGACATCGCAAACTAGGCGACTTGTCGTCGCTTCTTGTCGCGGCGTTGTCGTTTGCATTTGGCGTCTTGTCGCCGCGACTAGACGCGGAGCTGTCGGCGACTAGTCGTAACGACAGATATCGTACAAAAATCGATCATTAGTAGTGGAGTATTCGAGAGAGACGGCAGTGTTTTTCATCTTGTGGGTGAATATGGAGCCTCTAGTTGCACTTGCCTTGGTACTTGGTATTGTCGCCGCGACTAGATGCGGAGCTGTCGGCGACTAGTCGTAACGACAGATATCGTACAAAAAGCGATCATTAGTAGTGAAGTATTGGAGAGAGACGGCAGTATTTTCATCTTGTGAGTGAATATGGAGCCTCTAGTTGCACTTGCCTTGGTACTTATCTATATCAATCAAATAAACACATGCATCTTCCTCGGCGCTCATAGCGAGACTGATGCAGAGCTGTCACGCGACTGTCGTCGTGTGTGCGCGTGCACAGCGCGACTAGACGCGGCGACAAGTAGCGAGCACGCTCGACTCTTGCTTGTCGTCGCGACTCCGCGGCTCTGACGCCAAGTGTGCGAAGCTTTGAACAACATAATTATATGAAATTGTCAGTCGCCGAGCTGTCGCTGTCGCGTGTCGCCTAGTGTGCGCCTACACTTACACTTGCATAGACAACTAGTTTCTTACAAGTATAAATCACTTATTTACTTCACATATTTTGTTTATCCAACAAGTTTGATGCAAGGATTGTGTACTACGTGTTTTAAAAATGTATATAAAAGTGTGAACAAAAAATTAAGACTTTATATGAATTATACCTTGGTGTTATCGAGGGGTAAGATGCGGGTTTAGGAATAGGCTCGAAATAGTTGACTATCTGGTATCAATATCGACTAAAGTCGCTGTTTACCATCAGGAGAGCCATAATACTTGTTGGTCTTGTCACCCTTCACGCGTAAAAAACAGTTAGATATCCATTACATCCCCACATGAGTCGCTCGATATGTTCGGGAGAAACGCAAAAGGTTCTGCATAGTGACTTCAATTTATTTCTTCTAAGTTGAGACGTTTTTGCGACAGTATTAGAAGATTACATATTTCCGAGGGCGGCCTAAAAATTACAGTTTATATTATTTTACTTCCAGTTCAGGAATATTCAGTAATTTGTATTATCTAGATACAAACCTACGTAAATGCATGCAGATAAAACATAAACGGATATTCATTATCTAACTAATGCGTTTCATGCTATTATATCCTACTAATTGTAAAAGAAAATATAACTAGAAAAAATTCCACGCGGACCAGGCAGCAGACGGGACTCGAACCCGCACCCAATTATGCTACCGCGGCCCTCACGGACCGCGTCGAAATTTTTCTAGCCATTCTTAAGCTGCAAGACAGCGCCATCTCTTCGCATTATAGGTAATCCACAATGTCAAATTAATACTTTTACAAGTATTAAACATTTGAAAGAAGAAATAGCAATTATAGACCGCGTGGAATTTTTTCTAGTTATATTTTCTTTAGATTTAAACATCAAGCAGTTACATGCTTTAAAATAATAAAAAAAATTATAAGAAACAAGAATGTTGAAAAACTTTAATTAAACGTCATCTGAATATGTTCAATTGTCCTTAGTCTCAATTCAGACAGATTTCTCAACAGTTGCATTGTGCGTGCGTTGAAGTTGTTAAATCGTTACACTGTTGCTTCCCGCAGGCGAGCTGATGTTTCTGAACGAGGCCACGCTACTGAACAATATCTTGACACGCTACAAGAAGAATAAGATTTACGTAAGTATCGCATGACCCACAAGGGTTGCTATATGGTCGTTAATCGTTTGGATTTGCCCGACATTTTATGTGATCTCAAGACTCCCGACAAATAACGAAATCTCCCAGCAAACGAACATAACCATGTACTTTTCGGTTAAGTACATCAGGGGGAGGGTGTAATTCTCCCGACTACAATCCCAAATTTAAAATGTTATCCAGATACTTTAATTTTTCGATCTGACAACCCACACCCAAGTTGCAGTGCTTTCCTGTAAGATGACTTACTCGGTGACAGCGTTGAAACCATGTTAGAGAGAAGGAGAACGATCGCTACGTGCTAAAGCACGGTAATATTATCTATACAGTATTGTGACTCGGCCCTGTCCTTGAAATAACTGCCTACGGCCGAGCGAGGCGTAAACACGCGGTAGGGCTGCTCGCCTACAGTATTTTAATTTCATCTACATAATTGAGTTTCTTTCTAGTTTTGTGATTGTAAATATTTTATTTCATATGTAAATAAAAAAAATTGTGAATGAATTAGGAAGTGTTACATAAAATACATGTTATTTTAAGTCTAATATTTAATAAAAAAATACAGATTTAAGACAGAAAAATACTTACGCCTCGACTGAGACGTACGAGCTTTATTATTAAATTTAAATAGTATTATAAATACGCATTTGTATAAAAAGTTCAATTATTGAAGAGTTCAAGCAACCAAAAACAGCACAATATCGACTATTACTCTTTGCCATATTAAATTATGTAGGTATCTACTTAATTCAATCAAATATTCACAATACAAACGTATTAAGCACGGCTAACTGCTTAAAACACAATTCACACCGTTCGGTCGTCGTTGCGGCGCATTCGCGACTGGATGCCCACCGGGTGCCGCGCGAACTCGACTGACGTAGGTATGACACGCTTTCCGATCGTTTGTATGAAGATAGTATACTGTATAGATGATAGATGATATTACTGTGGCTAAAGCCTGCCTGTCCTTGAAAATTTGTAGATTATAGTTACGTTTTCAGCCACCAGCCGCGCTGTTGTCGGTAAGTAGTATCTGTGAAGTTAGCTGTTTATGAGTACAGGTAGATGAAGTTAGTTGGTCATTTCAAATTATCGCACAACAGACCGCTTTTATTGAGACAACTTAGCGATCGCAGCGCCTCACTTATTTTGTCCATATTTCTGTGACATTATTTTCTACATTGATCGTTCTCCTTCTCTCTAACCATATCATAAATCCATAGTAACATAACATATGACATCACAGGCTGTGATAAAATACAAGACTGGTATCGGTATTCATGCGTAAAGCTATTTCATATCCATAACATGAGTGATTTTGATCAGCCATGTGATATATATCAACGTTAATCATTACGATGAGATTCCCAAAAGATTGACTAAACTAATGTCGGCACTTCGCTTGGCTATTCGTGTATGCTATTTGCAAACTAGACATCAGTCTGTCCTTTTCATTCCTTGAAAGCATTATAATGACAGACTTGCTACAGTGGCCTGGTGGCCGTGTCGAATTCTCTCTAATGTTTCTTAAGCTGCAAGACAGTGCCATCTCTTCGCATTGTAGGTAACCCACAATGTCAAATGAATACCTTTACAAGTATTAAACATTTGAAATAAGAAATAGCAATTATATTATTTTTATTTCTTTATTTTTTCAATTCACGCGGACCAAAAAAAAAAGGATGATGACTAATTTTTTTTCTTCGTTTATCAGGTAGATTATCAAAAAGTATTGGACACGTATTTTTTCTTTTTTCACATAATATAAACATTGCAGAGATATATTGATTTGAAAAGTCGCATGACGTCACGTTTGAGTACACTTTTAAGTGAAAATTCACTGAAAAGTGACGTCACGAGCCCCTACTCGCAAACTAACTTTGTCATTTTTTGGTTGATTGCCCAAAGAAAAAATACGTGTCCATTATTTTTTGATCATCTAACTGACGGACTAAATAGAATTTCATTTACTGTACCCCGTCATCCATGCAATGAAGTTTGACGGATGCTAATTAATTAATCTACTACGTTACCTTTAGGAAATGCTAGTTAGTAATAAATGGAGAGGTTAAGCAGCTCTAATGCGGATTAGTGGGCGTTCATGATTGCCAGCTTAAAACTGTCCCAATAAACTAAGACCATAGGTACTTTTGTTTTAATATCGGCTGACCTATTTTGTATTACATAAATGTCATCATCAGCCTATTAATGGCAAAGACTTTCCCGCTGGATGGAATTGAAAAAAAAAGGGAGATTGGGCCATGATCCACCACGTGGGCCCAATGCGGATTGGCGGGTGCTAACGACTGCAGATGCAGCCGGGACCAACGGCTTAACGTGCCTTCCGAAGCACGGAGGAACTCGAGTAAGAAGATTTTTGGTCACTCATCCAATGACCGACCACTGCGAACGTTGCTTAACTTCAACGATCGCAGCCGAACGCTCTAACCACCTGCGCCACCGAGCTCCTTTAATTATTCTATTTTGTTGAACGATTCAAAAGAGCTTTCGATAAGTCAATTTTAATTAAATATATTTTCATTTCATTACAAAAAGAGAGCCACCTACCCACCAAAAACCCAACAGTGCTTCCTCGCTTGCCGGAACGGGTTTCATGGGATCCTGGTGACTCTCCACGTTATATTTATAAGAACTGCAGAAGCCTTGCAAACGTTACGAGTATTCATTTTCTCATCTATATAGGGTTAAAGGAAAAGTCGACCTACATGTTTAAGAACATTATTGTTTAGGTCGTAGATTTGATCACAGAACACAGAAAGTGGTTAGAAGGGTGATCATAGACCGTATGTTCGGGAACCGATGTCGCCAGCTCGTCCCCACTACAATTCCACCTAATACCATAATAGCCAATCAAACGAGGCGTCATCAAACAATCGAATCAGTCAGCGCTCACACCAGAGAGCAACGACCCAATCAGAACCAAGTTTTGGTCAAGTTATGAGCATTTACTCACACATAACTGTGGCGCGCCTGACCCGCTACAAGGCCCTTCTAACCTCTTTCTATGTTCTGTGGATTTGACCCAATGACCTACTAGTCTGGATAAGTCAACCGTTTAAAATAAAACGTTTTTTTCTTAAAATAACCTTTTTTTGTTTGTAGAGTTTACGTAGCACAACAAAAAATGTAACTTACCACTGGAGAATGATTTTATTTGGTAGGGTGGTTGATCAGGGATAATGTTAAAAATTTAATAAATTATTTCTTTTGGTATTTTATTATAGTAACATATATGTTGACCCACAAATGAACCAAGAACCTTTTGGAGTCTCAACGGTGGCAATTTGAGTTTATCTTCTATATTAATAAGTACACAAATAAGTCTCTATCTAATTACATAATTACTCTATATATAAATACTAGAACAATAAAACTAAAACTAAAAACCTTAAAAAATAAAATTAATAACTAAAATATATTATTGAAAGGAGTCCCTTTAGGCAAGGATCCGAAGATACTGGCAGCGTTGCCCCTTTGAATGGCTAGACTAATTCTTTAAAATTTAATTAATTTTCACTTTCTATCCATTCAAAAAATTCATACGCATGATCATCATCAACTTTATTGCCTTACCATTATGTACATAAATGGTGTTGATAGATAAATAAATGAATAGAGCATTATGGACCCTGTCGAGCGCAACAAAAGAGAGAGAGAGGGGCAATTTAGTATGATAATTTTATTTATTTATTGACATTTCTATCCTTTGCAGGAATGCATCTCCGGAATAACGATTTTTAAACCCTAAGAAACAAATAAATTTTATTTATTTTTTATTTTCCATCAAAAAGAGCCATGTTAGCTGACTGATATTTTTTTTTTAGACATACGTCGCAAACATACTACTAGCGGTGAATCCGTACGAGGATATCGCGGATTTATACTCCTCCAACACGATCAAGAAGTACCAGGGCAGGTCGCTGGGAGAACTACCGCCACATGTGTTTGCTATCGGTAAGGACTTATAAACTACAATAACCCTTCGATCTTACAAACAAACAAGTTAGACACAGTGTCAAACCTTGTGTTGATACTGTGTCTAACTTGCAATGTAAAAAACCGCAAAGGATACGCATGGCGCCAAGTATGGGAAAATAGGCCACAAAAAAAAAATACAAAACAACATGTATCCTATTTTGTCATATAAATGTAAAACAACTCTAGTTATTAACACTCAACTATGAAGACACGGAATTAATTTTAAAACGAATAACATAATGGTCGTATCGGAAATTAAATATATATATACAACTGTACACACATTCACGCACTTACTGTCTATCTCGCACAGACACACACACACACTTATACAAATACACCTGATACTTTAAGAAATTAGTTGTTATGTGCCCAAAATTTGTTAACTGCACTAGGCTAAGAGCGAGGCATCCCAACACAAGTATTAATTATTACTTTCTGGGTTGTCTCACCTTGTACTGTAAACTGACTCTGGAAAATAAAAACCATTTTCATTTCATGGGAGCGTGCGGTAAAGCTTTTTACCGCACGCACCGTTATATAAGCCCGTAATTTTGAACTTTTGAACAACATCCGTAACAACCTCCGTAAATGCATTTTTGGAGCAAATGTGTTGAAAATTTTATTAAAAACATTAATCTCTTGATTTCAAATATTCTTTCGTTTGCAGCGGACAAATCGTTTCGGGACATGAAGTCGTTCAAGCAATCCCAGTCTATCATAGTGTCGGGAGAATCGGGCGCTGGCAAAACTGAGTCTACGAAATATATCCTGAAGTACCTGTGCGACCTCTGGGCCAAAGGTGCTGGACCCGTGGAACAGAAAATTCTAGATGGTAAGTTTTTTTATGAGATCACTGTTATCGCAAAAGAAAATTTGGGGATTTTTAAGTGGTTTGGAGAACAAGATGTTTTGTGATTCTTCTGATAATCTTAGTTTTTATTGAAATATAGTGTCTACTGTGCTACGCCAATTATTTAATTATTATTGCTGCACCGTTTGATTTTATAATATTAATAATAATAACTGTCATGAAATTTTAAATGCATATTCAGTAGGTCTGAGAATCGGCTAATATCTATTTTTCATACCGTTAAGTGTTAAGGGTTGTCCAACCCTAACATTTTATTATTATTTTTTGGGAGTTTTTTTTATGATACATCACGCAAAAATACATACAACCCTAAATTTTCACCCTTCTACCACCAACCCGTATTTTTTTATGGTGGTACGAAGTTCGCTGGGACAGCAGTATATTATAAAAATACATGTTTAATTTAAAAAGGTCGCATGACGTCACGTCTTGGTAGAATTTTTACTTAACGGCCCTTTTCAGGGCCAGGGGGTAGGAGCATCACCCCACAGTGATTCTTAGCAATCACTGCTAGTGGCTGGTCGATGCTTAAAAAGGCCCTTTTCAGGGCCAAGGGGGGACGAGAGAGGGACGGAGAGAACTACGCTCTCCCTCCCACTCTCGTGAGGGCCGCGAGTCTGTCCTGAGGGGGCCAGGCTTGCATTGCACAAGCTCTCTGGATGTTGATGCCCCTAATACTCCGGGGCATGTTCATCGGGGCGGGTCCGCTTGCGGACAATCACCTTGCGGGTGGGCGGACTATTCGGAAACGGATACCGCCACATCACTCGCACTCCCGGTGCGCACTAGGAGGGACCGCGGTCCCTCATAATGCGCGCCGGGTGACCGGTGCAGGAGTATTGTCTAGTTTTTTTTTGGTAGAATTTTTACTTAGAAGCGACGGCACGAGCCCCCACGTCGAATCTTTGAGACACACTTTTATCATTATAATTTATTGGTTGATTGACAGAAGAAAAAATGTGTGCCTATAATGTTTTGATAATCTAAGTAACTGACGGACTAAACAGAATTTCGTTAGAACTCTAACTATACCATAAGGTTTATCATTATCAGCCAACCCGATCCTGGAAGCGTTCGGCAACGCTAAGACCACACGAAACAACAACAGCTCCCGTTTCGGAAAGTTCATGGAGGTGCACTTCAGCACCAAATACCAAGTGGTGGGCGGGCACATCTCACACTATCTACTAGAGAAGTCCAGGATCTGTACCCAGAGTGCTGATGAGAGAAATTATCATGTCTTCTATCTGCTCTGCGCTGGTGCCGATAAGGACCTACGCACCGCCTTAAGACTGACTAAACCAGATGATTATAAGGTAAGTAAGCAAAGGAAATTAATAGCTAACTTTTAATCCATCGCATTAAAAGCTGTATAAATCTAGGGAATAGGTCTAGGTTCGAACGGGAGGAAAAAAGAAATAAGCTTTTGATGTGGGCCGGCGCCGAATACATGGCCTGAACTTCGACTTACTAAACAAAATGACAAGGTTAGCTCCCGCTAAAGTAACTGCTTGAGAAGTCCAGGATAATAGTATCCTGGACTTCTCCAGCAGTTATATTAGCGGCGCCCATTATTGAAAAATATTATGTATTCTTGAATATCTAATGGGTCCCGATTGTTAAAGTAGCATTGTTCCTTATTAACAGAATTATAGACTACTGGCCTTGTTTTAGTCTTTTCAGTTTTTATTTAAAGTATAATTAAACAGTCGGGTGTTTTTGAGTTTTTAAATTTACCTTTTTTTTTAACTAATAAAAGGTGAGGTTTCAGCATTTTTTATTATTATTATTCTTATGAGAATATGCCAGCCCAATCACCATCTTACTTAAAAGCTAATCCTTTTTTGGTCCTATAATAAATTTATAATTTCCTGTCCCAGTATTTGAAGAACGGATGCACGCAGTACTTCACGAGCGCTGCATCAGAAAAGAAGATCACCGCCAACCAGAAGAGCAAACAGCAACAAGCCAAAGGCGGATTACGCGACCCCATTCTAGATGACGTGGAAGATTTTCAAAGGCTACACCAGGTAATCAATCTATTTTTATGTTCATCATCATCATCATCAGCCTATTAAAGTCCCCACTGCTGGGGTACAAGCCTTCCCTATGGATGGAATAGGGAGATTTGGGCCATTACCCACCACGCGGGCCCAGTGCGGATTGGTGGGTGCTAACGACTGCAGATGCAGCCGGGACCAACGGCTTAACGTGCCTTCCGAAGCACGGAGGAGCTCGAGATAGTAAATTTTTTGGTCACCCATCCAAAAAGCATTATATTATCATATTTTTTAAGCATTTAACTGCTAGATGTTTAAATCTAAAGAAAAGTTTACTAGAAAAAAATCCACGCGGACCAGGCAGCGGACGGGACTCGAACCAGCATATTCTCTCTTCTTTTAATTTTAATTATTATTTAATTAGTTCATTGTGAGTACTGTAAAATAAAATTGGTGTGATTTTGTGTTCCAACCGTCTGCGCAACTGAAGAATTAGTGGAATCTTTAAAAATTTACGCTATTCCGGTCAAGTGGACGTTGGAACTTTATTGTAGTTTTAACTACCTTACTGAAGATCTGACTTGATATAACTCGTGCCAAACCCTCCAAGAACCATTGAAATGGGTCACACCCACATTCTAATGTAAAAAACAGACATATAAAACTGAACACTAGGCTGTATGGGCATTGTTCCCCTTGCCTTCCCTGAAAAGGGAGATGGTTTTAATGTCCCCACTGCTGGGGCACAAGCCTTCCCTGTGGGGTGGAATAGGGAGAGTGAGCCGTGACCCACCACGCAGGCCTGGTGCGGATTGGTGGGTGCTAACGATTGCAGATCAACCGCGACCAACGGCGTCACATGTCTTCTAAAGCACGAAAGAGCTCGAGAGAATAAGATTTTGGTCACCCATCCAATGACCTACCACTGCGAAAGTTGCTCAACTTCAACTATCGTAGCCGAACGCGCTAACCACTTGCGCCATCGAGCTCCTGGATGTTAAAAGGGAGTTTTTGGCGCGATTTCATCGAGTGCATATTTTAATTATTATGATATGATATGTTCGCATTCGGCCTGCGATCATGAAAGCTACGCAACTTTCGCAATAGTCGATCATTGGATGGGTGACCAAAATCTTATTCTCTCGAGCTCTTTCGTGCTTTAGAAGGTATGTGACGCCGTTGGTCGCGGTTGATCTGCAATCGTTAGCACCCACCAATCCGCACTAGGCCTGCGTGGTGGGTCACGGCTCACTCTCCCTATTCCAATCCACAGGGAAGGCTTGTGCCCCAGCAGTGGGGACATTAAAACCTTCTCCCTTTTCAGGGAAGGCAAGGGGAACAATGCCCATACAGCCTAGTCTCCAGTTTTATTTATGTTCTTTTTTTATATTAGAATGTGGGTGTGACCCATTCTAATGGTTCTTGGAGGGTTTGGCACGAATTATATCAAGTCAGATTTCTCTAAGTCTACAGTACAATAAAGTTCCCACGTCCACTTGACCGGAATAGCGTAAATTTTAAAGATTCAACGTGGAATCTTCCGTTTCTTCAGTTGCGCAAACGGTTGTAACACAAAATCACACTGTTTTTATTTTACAGTACTCACAATGAACTAATTAAATAATAATTAAAATAAGACACCAACCGCACTCGATGATGAAATGAAATGCCCCCAAAACTCCCCCTCTGTTCATTGAATGACAGCTGGCATTCGAGTGGTATGAACAGTACTACTAGCATGAACCATTATCGAATTCGTATCGTTTGCAAACCGAAATGTCAATGTCAAATTTTGTATGGAAACTTGAACAGCAGCGGCACAAAGTCCGTAAAGAGAACTAAAAATCAGTACACATTTGACAATGACATTTCGGACTCGCAAACGATACGAATTCGATATTGGTTCGTGCTAGGGGTACAGAATACGGCAAAATTCGCCTCAGCCTATTCCTCATGTACTAGGGGGGGTTAAAGTATCATCATCAGCCTATTAATGTCCCCACTGCTGGGGCACAGGCTTTCCCTATGGATGGAATAAGGAGATTGGGCCATGACCCACCACGCGGGCCCAGTGCGCATTGGTGGGTGCTAACGACTGCAGATGCAGCCGGGACCAACGGCTTAACGTGCCTTCCGAAGCACGGAGGAACTCGAGATAGAAGATTTTTGGTCACCCATGTAATGACCGACCACTGCTAAAGTTGCTTAACTTCAACGATCGCAGCCGAACGCGCTAACCACCAGCGCCATCGAGGTCCTCAGGGTTAAAGCTAAGATATATCTTTCTAAAGAAAAGTTAACTAGAAAAAAATAAAGAAAAGTTTACTAGAAAAAAATCCACGCGGACCAGGCAGCGGATGGGACTCGAACCCGCATCCTTCGCAATCTGGGCGAATGCACTGACCATTATGCTACCACGGCCCTATTCGCCGCGTCGAAATTTTCCTAGCCATAAGCTGCAAGGCAGCGACATTGTGGGTTACCTACAATGCGAAGCGATGGCGCTGCCTTGCAGCTTAAGGCTAGGATAATTTTGACGCGGCGAATAGGGCCGTGGTAGCATAATGGTCAGTGCATTCGCCCGGATAGCGAAGGATGCGGGTTCGAGTCCCGTCCGCTGCCTGGTCCGCGTGGATTTTTTCCTAGTAAACTATTCTTTAGATTTAAACATCTAGCAGTTCAATGCTTAAAAAATAAATAAAACATAAATATATCTTTCCTTTTGGTTTTAACAGGCATTATCTCGGGTCGGTTTAACCGAAGACGAAAAACGTGCCGTATACAGCGTTGTAGCGGCAGTTTTACATCTGGGAAACATAGAGTTTGAAGAAGAAACCGGTGCTCGTGGTGGATGCGGAGTTTCTTCTGCAAGTGAATCGTCTTTGGCCACCGCTGCTGGACTATTGGGGGTTGATGGGGGGGAACTGAGGATGGCGCTGGTTTCCAGACTGATGCAGAGCTCTCGTGGAGGGATCAAAGGGACCGCCATAATGTGAGTGTTGTGACATTACAAATGAATCAATTTGTAGAAAAACCTAGGGTTTTTTAGCTACTGCTGCTTCTTTATTGGGGGTTGATGGAGGGGGACTGAGGATGGCGCTGGTTTCCAGACTGATGCAGAGCTCTCGTGGAGGGATCAAAGGGACCGCCATAATGTGAGTGTTGTGACATTACAAATGAATCAATTTGTAGAAAAACCTAGGGTTTTTTAGCTACTGCTGCTTCTTTATTGGGGGTTGATGGAGGGGGACTGAGGATGGCGCTGGTTTCCAGACTGATGCAGAGCTCTCGTGGAGGGATCAAAGGGACCGCCATAATGTGAGTGTTGTGACATTACAAATGAATCGTTTTGTAGAAAATCCTAGGGTATTTTAGCTACTGCTGCTTCTTTATTGGGGGTTGATGGAGGGGGACTGAGGATGGCGTTGGTTTCCAGATTGATGCAGAGCTCTCGTGGAGGGATCAAAGGGACCGCCATAATGTGAGTGTTGTGACATTACAAATGAATCGATTTGTAAAAAATCCTGGGGTTTTAGCTACTGCTGCTTCTTTATTGGTTTTGATGGAGGGGAACTGAGGATGGCGCTGGTTTCCAGACTGATGCAGAGCTCTCGTGGAGGGATCAAAGGGACCGCCATAATGTGAGTGTTGTGACATTACAAATGAATCGATTTGTAAAAAATCCTGGGGTTTTAGCTACTGCTGCTTCTTTATTGGTTTTGATGGAGGGGAACTGAGGATGGCGCTGGTTTCCAGACTGATGCAGAGCTCTCGTGGAGGGATCAAAGGGACCGCCATAATGTGAGTGTTGTGACATTACAAATGAATCAATTTGTAGAAAAACCTAGGGTTTTTTAGCTACTGCTGCTTCTTTATTGGGGGTTGATGGAGGGGGACTGAGGATGGCGTTGGTTTCCAGATTGATGCAGAGCTCTCGTGGAGGGATCAAAGGGACCGCCATAATGTGAGTGTTGTGACATTACAAATGAATCGATTTGTAGAAAATCCTGGGGTTTTAGCTACTGCTGCTTCTTTATTGGGGGTTGATGGAGGGGGACTGAGGATGGCGCTGGTTTCCAGATTGATGCAGAGCTCTCGTGGAGGGATCAAAGGGACCGCCATCATGTGAGTGTTGTGACATTACAAATGAATCGATTTGTAGAAAAGCCTAGGGTTTATTAGCTACTGCTGCTTCTTTATTGGGGGTTGATGGAGGGGGACTGAGGATGGCGTTGGTTTCCAGATTGATGCAGAGCTCTCGTGGAGGGATCAAAGGGACCGCCATAATGTGAGTGTTGTGACATTACAAATGAATCGATTTGTAGAAAATCCTGGGGTTTTAGCTACTGCTGCTTCTTTATTGGGGGTTGATGGAGGGGGACTGAGGATGGCGCTGGTTTCCAGATTGATGCAGAGCTCTCGTATCAAAGGGACCGCCATAATGTGAGTATTGAGACATTACAAATGAATCAATTTGTAGAAAAATGAGAGATTTTTAGCTACTGCTGCTTTATTATTCGGGTCGATTCTAGAAACTGAGGATGGCGCTGGTTTCCAGACTGATGCAGAGCTCTCGTGGAGGGATCAAAGGGACCGCCATAATGTGAGTGTTGTGACATTACAAATGAATCGATTTGTAGAAAATCCTAGGGTTTTAGCTACTGCTGCTTCTTTATTGGGGGTCAATAGGGGGAAAACTGAGGATGGCGTTGGTGTCCAGACTGATGCAAAGCTCTCGAGGAGGGAGGGTATTTAATTAATTAACTTTAAAAAATAATCGAATTCTACCTGTGAAAATTTCAATAACATGAAAATTTAATACTTAATTCGTACATCGTACCCTTTTCCAAAGTGGTTTTATTAAATTAATTTTATGCGCGTAACTTAACCGCCTTATTCCAAAACACGGACTAAAGTTAGTCTTGGTTTAAACCTTATGTTGTCTCTGTCTTCTTTTGAGCAAACAAAAGTGACAGCATAAGAACAAATACTTAATATTTTTTCTGTAAAATCATTAAATAGGAATGATTTTTTCGCTCCATGGTCACGTGACCGAAAACGCCTGGGATTGGCCAAGACTAAAATGACGTCACAAACTAGTAAACTTCCGGCCAAAGTGACATTACATTGTATCGTTTGACGTTTTAATGACAGTCGCGTGACGTCACACACTAATGAGACGCCATAATGTCCAGAGAAACGTTTTCGCGGCAACTTGAAAATTGATGTTTTAATTTAGTTTTTCTTTTACTGAATTACACAACATTATTAAAAATATCCACTTTTTATGGAGTCCATAAACATTAGTAAATAACGTGAGATCGTTTTCTGAAACTTGTCAAATACCCTATTATGTTTTTTTGAAGTGAAACTTCTTTACGCACGCTTAACTTGAAAACGCCTGGGATTGCCCAAGACTAAAATGACGTCACATGCTAGTAAAGTTTCGGCCAAAGTATCGTTTGACGTTTTAATGACGGTCGTGTGACGTCACACTCTAGTGAGACGATAATGTCCAGAGAAACTTGAAAAATGAATTTTTAATTTAGTTTTTTTTACTGAATTACACAACAGAATTAAATATATCCATTTTTCATCGTGAAATAGTTTTCTGAAACTTGTCCAATACCCTAGTATGTTTTTTCTTATTGTACAGGGTACCACTAAAGACCCACGAGGCCAGTAACGCCCGCGATGCCTTAGCTAAAGCAGTCTACAGTCGATTATTCGACTACATCGTTCATCGTATCAACGCCAGCATCCCTTTCCAGGCCTCCTCTTATTATATCGGCGTGTTGGATATCGCTGGATTCGGTAACTATGTCTTTAATTTGCAGAACATTATAGTACTATTTGTTTCTTAGGTTTTCACGCACATCACTCATTAAAATAAAACTAGTTTTAACGGGTTAATGAATGAAGTTTATTTATTTATTGACGTTTCGCAGCCTTTTCAGGTCCGCATCAGGTCAAAAATAAATAAAAAATCATTATTCTGACGATGCAGACCTGAAAAGGCTGCGAAACGTCAATAAATAAATAAAGTTCGTGCATTAACCGGTTAAAACTAGTTTTATTATAGTACTATTCAAACATTATGGTAAGTACCATAAGTGTTAAAGTGTGGAATTTTTTGCAGCCAATTAAACTTTATTCGTATTTTACATACAGCAGTTTGTTATCATTTTACCCAAAGGATGATTGGTAGAGAATGCTTTTTGCATGAAGATCGCCTTTTGAACCATTATGTTTATACTTTGGTCCAACAAAGTTTGATAAATAAATAAGAGGAGTTTTAAACACCTCTTAATTTAAAGAAAATTTAACTAGAAACAATTCCACGCGGCCGGGTGGGGGACAGGACTCGAACCCACATCCTCCGCTATCCGGGCGGATGCACTGGCCAATTATGCTACCGCGGCCTTGATGGCCGTATCGAATTTCTCCTAGTGTTTCTTAGGTTGTATTTCGAAGCAGCGCTATCTCTTCGCATTGTAGGTAACCCGCAATGTCAAATACATCTATATTTAAAGAAAATATAACTAGAAAAATTAGTGCATTCGCACGGATTGCGAAAAGTGCGGTTTCGAGTCCCGTCTGCTGCTTGGTCCGCGTGGAATTTTTTCTAGTTATAGTTTCTTTAGATTTAAACATCAAGCAGTTACATGCTTTAAAAATAATAAAAATTATAACTATAATTACTATTTCTTCTTTCAAATGTTTAATACTTGTAAAAGTATTCATTTGACATTGTGGGTTACCTATAATGCGAAGAGATGGCGCTGCCTTGCAGCTTAAGAATAGCTAGAAGAATTTTGACGCGGTCCGTGAGGGCCGCGGTAGCATAATTAGTCAGTGCATTCGCCCGGATTGCGAAGGTTGCGGTTTCGGGTCCCGTCTGCCGCCTGGTCCGCGTGAATTTTTTTCTAGTTATATTTTCTTTAGATTAAAACATCAAGCAGTTACATGCTTTAAAAATTATAACATCTATATTTGTTTATGCTTCCGCAGAATACTTCCAGACGAACAGCTTCGAGCAGTTCTGCATCAACTACTGCAACGAGAAGCTGCAGCAGTTCTTCAACGAACGCATTCTGAAGCACGAACAAGAACTATACAGGAGAGAAGGATTGCACGTGCCAGAGATTCGTTTCGTTGACAACCAGGACTGTATCGGTCAGTATAATAATAATAATAATATATTTATTTGTAAAAAATTGTACATGGTAATAATCTTATAAATATGTTAATACTAAGGCCATTATTTCACACAAAGTACCTACTTATAGACATCCTCAGCCAAACTAAGAAGTTCATCCTGTATTTTGGCTTCAGCGCTCTTCCCGAATTTTATTTGCACTGTAGCCATACAAATAACATGAGTACCATAATACTACATTAATCAATATTACAGTACATTAATATAATAAATGTGTGTGTGTGCGTGTGTGTGTGTGCGTGTGTGTGTGTGCGTGTGTGTGTGTGCGTGTGTGTGTGTGCGTGTGTGTGTGTGCGTGTGCGTATGTGTGTGTGTACGTGTGTGTGTGTATATGTACGTGTGTGTGTGTATATGTGTGTAGTGCGTATGTGTATATATAATCATAAGCATCTATATTTATAGGGCCGTGGCAACCAATTCCTCAGTTTTTTCGTAATCTAGTGAAAGTAAAAACTTTGTGATCTTCTTTTTAACTTCATGTTTGTTGAGGTGTACGATTGTAATACATTTACTGATCTTATTATAAGTATCATAACTTTGGGTGTATTCCGTAAAGTATACTGGCCAGTGGTAATGACGTCACGAATCCGACGCCATATTGTACTGGTATGCTACCATATTTTCGAACCATTGCCTTTCATAATACAGGTCTTGCCTAGCACGAAAGTCAGGGGTCCTACTTATAAGACTATAAGATAGCAAACCATTCCTAGTTTATTTTAAGATGATATTGTAGTAGTACTTGTAAGGTTTAATGAATAAACATTATTATTATTATTTTTACCGGGAAAACGAATATGACTTATGACCGAGCATGCGTGAGATGCATTCGAATTTTATTTCATTTTTAATTAAAGAACAATAATGGCATCCGAATAAAAATAATTCCTTTTAATTTTCAATATTTCATGGTTTATGACGTCAGTGCACTGGCCAATATATTTCGGAACAATTCACCAGTATAGCGTCGATTCATGACGTCATTAGCACTGGTCAGTATACTGGTATATATTACGGAATACACCCTTTATCATCCATATCCGTTTAAGAGGAGTTTGTGTTGGATTTGATGCACCCATCTGGGGATGTTTTCTACCTTTGATATTTATTTGTTTTCATAAATAAATTGTATTTTTGAAGTTATACTTCTTTAGGCGCGTTATGAAAAAATGATGAGAGTGAAATTTTAAGATGCGCGCGCATCACTTTAACACAAAATTTTAACAGCATGAAGTTGGTCGCTTTAGCGACCAACTTCATGCGTTACTTTTGTGTTTACCGCACATTAAGAAAATCTACCAACAAAATAGAAATAGAATCTCTATTTAGTGGGTGCTAACGACTACATTGTGAAGGCCTATCAAAAGTATTTATTAATCTGGAACAACGGAACCAAAGCGCGATTCAGGAGACTACAGCGCCATCTCTTGACCATTGGTGTAGTAGAACCAAAAACCACATCTTTATTTTTTGTAATAAAGTAACAGTTATAGGTATTCATATTTATAATATTTATCCACATGTTTCTAGTTTGTATATTCGGAATACGTGTTTGAGTTTCATACAAGTGCAAATCACATATGTTCTAATAAATTATATTCAGTAGCGATTTTAATTGAATATTTTGATTATTTATTTATTTATTCAAATTAAAACTGAACTTTATTGACTGTGTCCTTTTCCAGACTTTTTATTAATTTATTGTAATTAATTATTTGCATGCAATTAAAAACTAATTTTAAACGATGCCAAAGAAGGATAATTTCTCACGCGCCGACATAAGTACACGCACCCATTTTTTTTTTATACTAGCGACCGCCCGCGACTTCGTACGCGTGGAGTTAGTTATTTGCACATACTTTTTGATACCAAAAGGGGGTTTATTTTTAAAGATACATTATTAGTACACCTCTGCACCATCTACAGAGCATACATGTTATATTTCAAGTCTCTTACTTCGAAAACATAGGACTTTCATACAAACTTCCAACCCCCTAAGGGGTGGAGTTTCGTGATAATATGTAGCCTATATGTTGACCCGACTTCTTAATAATATTCGTGCCAAATTTGAAGTAAATCCTTGCAGTACTTTTTGAGTTTATCCCGGACATACATACAGACAAACAGTCAAAAATTCTAAAAACTATATTTTTGGCTTCGCTATCGATTGAAGATCACACCCCAAGTATTTTTTTAAGAAAATATTTAATGTACAGTTTTGACTTTCCTGCCATTTTATTATTATTTTTTATATTTGTAAATGTGTGTCGTTCATACAAATAAACGTCTTATCTATCTATCTTATTTTTTAGTGAAACTCCATTTTAATTCTTATATCATTTCTTAGACTTGATTGAGAGCAAAAACCACGGTATATTCCACCTGCTGGACGAGGAGTCGAAACTACCCAAACCAGAATTCGGACACTTCACGCACTCCGTGCACAAACAATTGGGAAACAATAACTCCAGGTAAAGTGCAATTCATTTTTTTTTATACACTCACACCAATTAGCCTAGCCCCAAAGTAAGCTCTTTAAGGCTTGTATTATGGGATGCTAGGGTAACGGATAGAATACATATACTGTACATATATAAGTATACTAGCTGACTCGGCGAACTTCGTACCGCCCAAAAGTAATAATTTGCAATAAATTAAAATTGCGACTATAATTTGAGATTTAAACTATCCTATCTCTCAAGTTGGATCGAACTGCACATGGTGTGCGAATTTTATTGTAATCGGTTCAGTGGTTTAGGCGTCCATTGAGGACAAACATTGTGACACGAGATTTATATATATTAAGATTTATATAGAAATACATATTTAACTTCCATGACTGGAGTACAAATGCTCGTATTTAAATATCGTACGAGTCGGCGATACCATGAAATCCGGCGTACAAACAACTCAGCCACGAAGGTCGTCAAATTAGGTGTTTATTCATAAATAAGCTCGTTTACCAAAAAGGTAACGATTCTGGAAGCTTTTCTAAACCTAAAATTAAATTAGACAACCAGTGTATCCATGCTCTATACATTATGTAAAAAAGAGTTGTCAAATTTAGTTTTAAGTTGAGGGAAGCATGCCATTATCAATACCAATGTTTTGTTAATTATTTTCCGAAGTTGCTATAATTTATACAAAGGAAAAGCAAAGGGTACTAACAAGTTGTATATATATATACATCAGTACTCTTAGTACGAGTTTGAGCTCACGAAAACTATCATAGTTTTCGTAATTGTAAATTATGTTTCTATGTCCATTGTGGTGAAAAGTAACCAAATATACTTAAAATTTAAGAAGACGCAAATGATTTAATGATAGAATTTAAACATCGTTTATTTGTATTGAAACGAAAACAATAAAATCAGTACCTTTAGCACGAGTGCGAGCTCACGAAAACTATCATAGTTTTCGTAATTGTAAAACTCGTCCTTAGGGTACAGTTCTTAAGGTCCACTTGCAACAATTTTGCTAAATCACAATTTAACTAAAACTTTTTTTAGTCCATACAATGATTTCAAATTGAGGTTGACGTTTAGATATTTTGCTATGGCTTGAATCTAATTTCAGTTAAATCGAGATCTGATATTTGCTGCAAGTGGGCTTTAGTAATGTTCTCTTTAAATTACTTTGGTCCGTACAGTCTATAATGTAAATGAGTTATTTGATTTTTTTAGAGATTTCGTTTTAAACAATGTTCGTAAGTGGAAATTCCGTCTGTAGGGAAAGCCCCATGAGTATAGACTTTTATAGGCTTATAAAAAGCGGGTATATATGTATGTAGAATCAACGCGTAATATAATTTTAGCGCTATAAGTCTTTTTAAAGAAATAGCAAAAAGATTAGTCGACATCACAGGAGACCGAAGAGCTGGCAGCTACCTCGGACAAAGAATTAGTCTAGCTATCCAAAGGGGGAACGCTGCCAGTATCTTCGGAACCTTGCCGAAAGGGACTCCTTTTAATAATGTATTTTAGTTATTATATATATATATATATATATTTTTTAAGGTGTTTAGTTTTAGGTTCATTGTTATAGTATATTTTTTGTTTTAATTATTCTATTAAGGATGATTATGATACCAACATAGATTTTACTTGTCAAACATGTATGTAGAATTGAATATTCTAGTTCTCATATTTGACTTACATCGTATACTTATGTATGTTTGTGTGTATATGTCTGATATATATATAATATGTGTGTATATATATAATATGTGTGTATTCTGTTAAGAGTATTTGTATCCTAAGTTTATCTTACATTTGTCTTTATGGCGCCCCGTCACATTAGTTGTTTTCTCACGCTCTTACTTGTCAAGTGGGTGCCATTCGCCTAACAGTATTGCTTTGGAAAACGCTATCGCTTACGATTTCATTTTATTATTTCTAGCCACCTGAGGTTTTCAGGTGCCTCGCGCTCTTTTTTTTTCTTTTGCATTGTCTATAACAATATAAAAGAATGAGCGTAAGGTATTTGAAAACCTTCGGCGGTCAGAAATAACATAATGAAATCGTAAGCGATAGCCTTTTCCAAAGCAATGCCGTTAAGCGTATGGCCCCCTGGTAGAGAATGCCTTATGGCATTATGTCCGCCGTTTGCTTTGTAATTTTGCAATAAAGTTTAAATAAATAAATAATATTATTTATGTTTATACCAGGCTTCAATTACCCCGCGCTTCTCGCCTGAAAGCTCACCGCACAGTTCGTGACGACGAAGGATTTCTGCTGAGACACTTCGCCGGCGCCGTTTGTTATAATACGGTAATAGTTATTTAAAAAAAAATATATTCCTTCCAATTTTCCATCCATAGGGAAGGCCTGTGCCCGAGCAGTGGGGACATAAAGAGGCTGATGATGATGATGATGATTAAAGTGAGACAAAGGTGTAGAATAAAAGGGCTTCCAAGGAAGTTCGATACAAATAAAAAAACGAGCGAGCATTTGAAACCTCACCTTATATTAGTAAAAAAAGAAATAAAACCTACCACAAAAGGAATAAGCCATTTAAACATTATGTTCTAAAATCAAAACAAATAGCGCGCGCTTTCGCGACTTCCTGTTACACACTTCCGTCCCATATCACGAAATCACTCCAACCAATTGCAGGAAAGCGAGAGGAAAGATGTTACACATCAAAATAAAAAAAACTGTAAAGAAAACGCACGATGCCATGTATGGGAGCGTGCGGTTAAATGTTTTACCGCACGCTCCTTTGTATGACCCGTAACTTTGAACTTTCGAACAATGTATACAACCTCCGTTAAAGCATTTTTTGAGGTAATGTGTTGAAAACTAAAGCATGTAACTGCTTGATGTTTAAATCTAAAGAAAATATAACTAGAATAAATTACACGCGGACCAGGCAGCAGACGGGACTCGAACCCGCACCCTTCGCAATCCGGGCGAATGCACTGACCAATTATGCTTCCGCGGCCCTCTAATTCTTCTAGCCATTGCGCTGCCTTGCAGCTTAAGAATGCATAATTGGTCAGTGCATTCGCCCGGATTGCGAAGGGTGCGGGTTCGAGTCCCGTCTGCTGCCTGATCCGCGTGGATTTTTTTGTAGTTATATTTTCTTTAGATTTAGACTATATTATTATTAAAGTGATACGTAATACTATTTTGTCTTTTTAGTATTCCGGATACGGAAGATGATATACGGAACATTAGCATATCTCATTGTCACAGTTTTTTTTCCTCTTAAACGGAAATTGATAAACACCTTTATAATCACACTTATATTATAAACGCGAAAGTTTGTGAGTGTGTATGTTTGATACTCCTTCACGTCTAAACGGCTGGAGCGATTTTAATAAAATTTGGTATGGAGTTAGCTGACACCCTGGATTAACACATATGCTACTTTTTACTGCGGGAAAATATCACTACTAAACCGCGCGTAACAGCTAATGTAAAATATAAAATAGGTATCTTAACATGAGATCTATATATCTGTACTGTACCCTAAGCACGAACCATTATCGAATTCGAATAGTTTGCAAACCGAAATGTCAATGTCAAATTTTGTATGGAAACTTGAACAGCACAAAGTACATAACGAGAACTAAAAATCAATACACATTTGACAATGATATTTCGGACTCGAAAACGATACGAATTCGATATTGGTTCATGCTAGGGGTACTGACTATTTCTGTGTATACGTCCAGTCTTCCTTCCTCCATAGTATCCCTTAACTAACTTAACGACTGGACAAAGACACTGTTTAAAACTGTGCATAGAACCGATGGAAAACCGTCTCGTTAACGAGCGGCCTTACAGTGTTTATTTAATTCGTCTATTCTGAAAGTGTCAAAAATGAAATAATATTTTATTATGCCAATAAAAGGCTGTCAAAGTATAATCTCTTATCTATTAGACAAGTCCGTCCGTCCGTCCGTCCGTCCGTCCGTCCGCCCGTGGTGCTGTTTCAGCGGCCAAACCGTAAGAGATAGATAAAGAGAATGTTTAAGTTATAAGTTGAGAATAGTCTGATAAGACTACAAACCGGATGTGAGTAACGTAGCACTTCCGGTATTCGAGAAATCACGTGATTTCTATTTCAAACGAAACCACACAAAATCTCCGAAGTTCTCATTTAATTAAATACATTTTTTTTTATTTTTTTTTTTTTTGGTGAACATTTGGTTCACTGGTTTCCTAGTAAAGTAAATAATAAACATGTCCATAAAAGAGATCGTAGCACGTTCGACAAAATAAACGAGCTAGCTTTACGCGTATGATGTGTAACATATGAAACCTCACCTTATATTAGTAAAAAAAGAAATAAAACCTACTACAAAAGGAATAAGCCATTGGAACATTATGTTCTAAAATCGTATCAAATAGCGCGCGCTTTCGCGACTTCCCGTTACACACTTCCGTCCCATTCCACGCAATCACTCTCACAAATTGCAGGAAAGCGAGAGGAAAGATGTTACACATCAAAAACAAAATCGTACAATAAATTTCAGTCTTTATTCCCGTCTTCCAAAGCTCAAAGTTGATCGAAAAACTTTAATCGAAATTTGCCATACTATTGTTACGTTTAAGTTACTTCATGCATTGAATCATACATTTTTTTTCAGAATCAATTCATAGAGAAGAACAACGATGCCCTTCACGCTTCACTAGAATTCTTAGTGCAAGAATCCCGTAATTCGCTCGTTCAACAACTGTTCGAGAGTACAGACAATAACAATGCCAAGGGAAAACTCAACTTTATATCCGTGGGCTCCAAGTTCCAAACTCAACTGTCGCAGCTCATGGACAAACTAAAGGACAATGTAAGTTGCTTTGCATAAAAAGGTAGAGATACTTTGTGAATAGGGATAATGACTAATTTTTATTTCTTCGATTATCAGGTAGATTATAGGAAAAAGTATTGGACACGTATTTTTTCTTTTTTCACATAATATAAACATTGCAGAAATATATTGATTTGAAAAGTCGCATGACGTCACGTTTGAGTACACTTATAAGTGAAAATTCACTCAAAAGTGACGTCACGAGTCCCTACTCCCAAACTTTGACGCGCTATAACTTTGTCATTTTTGGTTGATTGCCCAAAGAAAAAATACGTGTCCATTATTTTTTGATCATCTAACTGACGGACTAAATAGAATTTCGTTTACTGTACTCCGTCATCACCCCTATTCTAGGTAGTTTTTACAGTGTGCAAATACGTAGATCAAAATTGTATACAATATTTAGCGGATTCTTCATATAAGCCTAAAAGCGCTTGCCCTGTTAAAACTCTGATTTGTAGAATAATTTAAACTATTTAAACATACAAATACTTATAAAGTTTTACGTAAATTAAAATGTCACCAATCTGCACTGGGCTCGCGTGGTGGCTCATGGCCCAATCTCCCTGTTTCGTTCATAGGGAAGGCCTGTGCCCCAGCAATGGGGACAATAGATTGATGATGATGAAACAAAGATGATCCAAGAGGTCCGGACAGAGGTCCAAGCATGTTTAAGTTCATGTTCAGCTTCGTAATCGTATCGTCATCGTTAACTTTTGGAAGAGCCAATTTGTTCTTACGTCCGGTAGGAGGCGCTGCTTAGTTTGTATATAAACTTTTGACGATGCGATACGATTAAGGAGCTGTCAAAGTTCGTGCTTGAGCCTCGGTTTTCAGACATTAAAATTACTAACTGTTTATCGTTAGCTTTTTCAAAAAAATGAGTAGAAACGAGTATTTTACGAGAGGAGCTCGATGGCGCAAGTGATTAGTGCGTTCGGCTGCGATCGTTGAAGTTAAGTAACTTTCGCAGTGGTCGGTCATTGGATGGGTGACCAAAAATTTACTATCTCGAGCCCCTCCGTGCTTCGGAAGGCACGTGAAGCCGTTGGTCCCGGCTGCATCTGCAATCGTTAGCACCCACCAATCCGCACTGGGCCCGCGTGGTGGGTCATCGCCCAATCTCCCTATTCCATCCATAGGGAAGGCCTGTGCCCCAGCAGTGGGGACATTAATAGGCTGATGATGAGTATTTTTTGGGTTTGATTGGAATTATATAAGGATAATCAATGTCATAAAACCTTAACTGAGACATAAACCTGTGCTATTTATCTATATAACAGGGCACTAACTTCGTCCGCTGCGTGAAGCCGAATTCCCGTATGGTTGGTCGAACTGTAGACGCGGCGTTAGTTCTGACACAACTGCAATGCAGCGGGACTGCGGCTGTACTGGCTTTAATGGAACACGGGTAAGTGACGTCATCACTCACGCTTCATGCGGCGCTGCTCTATGAAATGACACGGAGCAAGCCCCGCTTGACGCAGCGCACGCTCTTAAAGTTTTATATTATTTTTGTGACTTTTATACGTTTAAAAATGTGTAATAGTTACGTTAGGATTCCTTTGTGTATGATTATTATGTTTTTGTGTGCGTGTGTATTACAGGTGGCGTTAATGGTTGGAAAAAAATATAAGTTCTTGAATAAAAATATTAGAAAGTGTTTGTTAATGGTTGAAAATATCTATCGATTACATGTGTTAATTTTTTTTATAAGTTTAATTTATTGGTTGATAAATACATATATTCAACAACACTAGTGTGTATGTGTGAATGTATTGTTTTACCCCCCGCATTCTATTAATACCGCACACTATTAATATCCCAAGTAATACGCGTTCGCTTCGAATTATCTGCTCCCACCCTCTCGATCTTATGGGATGACGGTACCAATTAATGTGCCTGTGACACATTTTTGGGACAGTCATGTACCAATTAATGAGCCTGTGAAACATTTTGGGACAGTCATGTACCAATTAATGTGCCTGTGACACATTTTGGGACAGTTATGTACCAATTAATGTGCCTGTGAAACATTTTTGGACAGTCATGTACCAAATAATGTGCCTGTGACACATTTTGGGACAGTCATGTACCAATTAATGTGCTTGTGACACATTTTGGGGCAGTCATGTACCAATTAATGTGCCTGTGAAACATTTTGGGACAGTCATGTACCAATTAATGTGCCTGTGAAACATTTTGGGACAGTCATGTATCAATTAATGTGCCTGTGAAACATTTTGGGACAGTCATGTACCAATTAATGTGCCTGTGAAACATTTTGGGACAGTCATGTACCAATTAATGTGCCTGTGAAACATTTTGGGACAGTCATGTATCAATTAATGTGCCTGTGAAACATTTTGGGACAGTCATGTACCAATTAATGTGCCTGTGAAACATTTTGGGACAGTCATGTACCAATTAATGTCCCTGTGAAACGTTTTGGGACAGTCATGTACCAATTAATGTGCCTGTGAAACATTTTGGGACAGTCATGTACCAATTAATGTGCCTGTGAATCATTTTGGGACAGTCATGTACCAATTAATGTGCCTGTGAATCATTTTGGGACAGTCATGTACCAATTAATGTGCCTGTGACACATTTTGGGATCCGCCTTCGGAGGCCAATTACAACAAAAATAGGCTGATTAAGTACATTTTTTTATGATTTTTTTGTTTAGAAGCATGCGGAGCTTTTAAACTTAGCCAGAATCTATGGACACTCCTTTTTGTTTATTTAAATTGAAGTTGAATGTTTGAGGGAATCTTACTAGGAACTAAAGTTCTAACCCCCAAGCCTTTTTGAGTAACTTTAAGTAATTTCACGAAGCTGAGTTATTTTTTTTTTTATTAAAACATCATTCAAGACAATTATGTCACAAAATAAAAGACGGCAAAATACCTCGTACGAAAAAAGATATGAATTTTTGAAACCTCGCTGGCAGAATCGATTAAAAATACACAAAAAAATAGTACTCGAAAACTAAGAGAAATCGAGGAACACACATCGGGTATTGTCGGATACCCCCAGATGCGAGGAATCTAAAAAAAATTTTGACGTCAGTAATTGGACCACCCCGTATAATAAATGTTTTTTTCGTTTCTGCAGATACCCGTCGCGAGCTCCGTTCCACGAGTTGCACGCGATGTACAGCGCTTATCTACCGCCCAAACTGCGTTCCCTCAGCCCCAGGCTATTCTGTGAGGTCAGTTTCTTCATCATCATCAGCGTATTAGACTGATATGTCTGCCATTAACAGCCTACCCGCAATTACTTCAGTTACTCCGTGATCATGGCGCTTGCAACAGTGCCGAAATATCGGAAAGTCGCTAAAAACAAGGTACACTCGCGGAAAGACCCGCTCTGTCACCCATAATGCCATAATCGCTTGTAGTAAAAATTCATTCATAGACATGTAATTATCGCTGTCTTACTTTTTCGTATAGCGCTGTCGCTATCACGATGCGGATGACTAATTGCAACTAAAACAAATGCAATCCAATTCATTATTCAATCAATGAAATGCTCTGTCTTACTTTTGTACGGTGGCCCGGATTGGCGTGTCCGAAGCGAAGGCGGGGCGTAGTAAAAACTACTGTAGAAAACCGTTCAAAGCATTTTTTTGTCGCCAAGTGACAGAGCGCAAAATTCCGCGATAGTACATGGTAACAATCTCGTAAATAACTTATATGACTAGATGAGCCAAATGACAAAGTTAGTGCAGGTAGGCAATAATCAAATATATATATATATAAAATTCTTCAGTTGCGCAGACGGTTGTAACACAAAATCACTCCAATTTTATTTTATAGTATTCACAATGAACTAATTAAATAATAATTAAAATAAGACACCAACCGCACTCGATGATGAAATGAAATGCCCCCAAAACTCCCCCTCTGTTCATTGAATGACAGCTGGCATTCGAGTGATATGAACAGTACCCCAATGAACCAATATCGAATTCGTATCGTTTGCAAACCGAAATGTCAATGTCAAATGTCAATGAAACTTGAACAGCAGCGGCACAAAGTACGTAACGAGAACTATAAATCAGTACACATTTGACAATGACATTTCGGACTCGCAAACGATACGAATTCGATATTGGTTCGTGCTAGGGGTACAGAACACGGCAAAATTTGCCTAAGCTTATTCCTCGTTTACTAAAAAGGGGGTTAACACATCATCATCAGCCTATTAATGTCCCCACTGCTGGGGCACAGGTTTTCTCTGTGGACGCGGGCCCAGTGCGGATTGGTGGGTGCTAACGACTGCAGATGCAGTCGGGATCGACGAATGAACGTGGTTCGTGGAGTTCGTGAAGTGTGTTCGTGGATTTTATTTGTGTTATGTTTATCTTTTTGCTCTGTTAATGTTATTCTTTCACGTCGTTATTGAACCGGTTCCAACGGAAAACCAGCGTTGATGGCAACAACAGCATTATGCTGAGTTGGGACCGATTTGGGACAAAAAATTGTAGATGTGTGTGTGTGTGTTTTGTTTATATATTCTTTTACTGTTGTTTTGTCTCAAATTTTTTTTTCTTTCTTTCTTTGAAAATATTTTCCGTCTACCCACAGGCGATGATCCACAGTTTCGGCCTATCGAACAAGGACTTCAAATTCGGCATCACTCGAGTGTTTTTCCGTCCCGGGAAGTACAGCGAATTCGATACCATCATGAGATCAGACCCGGAAAACCTTCAGGCCATAGTGAGCAGTGTCCTCGCCTGGTTGGTTCATTCAAGGTGGAGACGAGCCATATTCTCTGTGCTGTCCATCATTAAACGTAAGTCAATATTACTGACAATATTACTGACATTGGCAATATCACTAACAATCTGTGTACAACGAAACAAACAGACGCTTTAAATTTCTATACTGGAAACTTCTCGGCAATCACGTTCTAAATTTTTGTCTCACTCCCAGTCCAACTAGGTAAAAACTAGTGATGTAACGATTATTCGCATTCGCGAATATTCGCATATATTTGAATATTCGCATTCGCAAAATCTCTGCGAATGTTTTGCGAATATGAATATAAAAAAAACAATTTGAAGAAGTTGTAGTTCTTCCTTTCCTTGAATATTCATTGTTACACAGCTTGCATTTAGCTCGTTCAGCATCGCAAAGTGTGAAATAAGTCCATATTTCACTAGAATTTGATTTACTCATGTTAATTAATCACTATTCAAAGTGTAACCTCAAAATTCACTTGTTTTGTTTGCGAAAAGACCGGCGCGAGCGAAATGACACTTCAGTCGGATGAGTTCATATCAACTCGGCAATTCGAACGAGACTGACACCATGCCATAGACAATTGGCGCCAATTTTGAACAAAAACATATATATTCGCATTCGCGAATGTCGGTACCAGATATTCGCATTCGCAAATGTTCAAAAAATTACTTTCGTTATATCACTAGTAAAAACTACATGTCTGTCTAGATTATGCTTTACATTTAATTCAGTGTCCATTGATAAGCTTTCATTGTCAACACTGGAAAATTTCTGTATTTTATTTCACCAATTTAATTTTCTATAAACAAAAGTATTATTTTTATACAATGTCCATCTATTGTTTCAAATATAATATGTAATCATTTTAAGATTACAAAATAAATAAATATATTTTAACAACATATTAAATCAACAATCTTTTCAATTTGAATTCCCTTTTCACCAGTCTTTTTGTTTCAGTGAAAAACAAGATAGTTTACCGTCGCGAATGCCTCGTCAAAGTCCAAAAGACGATACGCGGTTACTTAGTGAGGAAGAAACACCAGCCTCGGTACAAAGGCATCGTCAAGATCAACGCATTGCACAACAATCTGAAGCAGATGGACGCAGTGGTCGCACAATTAAAGAAAGAGAAGAGTGGTTCACAGAGGAATATAGAGAATTTGAAGAACAGCATTAAGAACGCATGCGCTACTATAAAGGTAAGGTTTCAGAATAATTCCCCCATTTTGTAACTCTTAAAAGGTTATAATTATTATTTTTTAAGCATGTAACTGCTTGCTGTTTAAATCTAATGAAAATATAACTAGAAAAAAATCCACGCGGACCAGGCAGCAGACGTGACTCGAACCCGTACCCTTCGCTATCCGGGCGAATGCACTAACCAATTATGCTACCGCGGTCCTGATGGCCGCGTCGAAATTCTTGCTAAATGCTATACAATGCGAAGAGATGGCGCTGCCTTGCATGGCAGGCATCAGGGCCGCGGTAGCATAAATGGTCTTAAAAGGTTTTCGATTTCGCATCAAAACAAATACCAATTGCGTTAAAAATACAATACCAATGTATAATATTTCCATTGGGATTAAAGCTAAGAATAAGCTTGGATCACTTACTCTATTTATATTTGTAAGCATTTGACTGATAGATGTTTAAATCTAAAGAAAATTTTACTAATTCTACGTGGACCAGTCAGCAGATGGGACTCGAACCCGTACCCTTCGCTATCCGGGCGAATGCACTAACCAATTATGCTACCGCGGTCCTGATGGCCGCGTCGAAATTCTTGCTAAATGCTATACAATGCGAAGAGATGGCGCTGCCTTGCATGGCTAGAAGAATTTCAACGCGGCCATCAGGGCCGCGGTAGCATAAATGGTCTTAAAAGGTTTTCGATTTCGCGTCAAAACAAATACCAATTGCGTTAAAATTACAATACCAATGTATAATATTTCCATTGGGATTAAAGCTAAGAATAAGCTTGGATCACTTACTCTATTTATATTTGTAAGCATTTGACTGATAGATGTTTAAATCTAAAGAAAATTTTACTAATTCTACGTGGACCAGTCAGCAGATGGGACTCGAACCTGCACCCTCCGCTATCCGGGTGGATGCGCTGATTAATTATGATATTTGTAATTGTATAATTGTTAAAGATAAATAAATACTGCGGCCCTAATGACCGTCAATTACTCTATTTATATTCGTAAGGATTTGACTGATAAATGTTTAAATCTAAAGAAAATTTAACTAGAAAAAATTTCACGCGGAGCAGGCAGCAGACGGGACTCGAACCCGCACCCTCCGCTATCCGGGCGGATGCGCTGATTAATTATGAAACCGCGGCCCTAATGGCCGTGTCGAATTTCCTCTACTATTTTTTAGGCTACACGGCAGCACCATCTCTTCGCATTGTAGGTAACCTACAATATCAAACGAGTACCTTTACAAGTATGAAATATTTGAGAGTAGAAATAGCAGTCATAGTTATAAAGGACACCCGGCATTTTGTGCCAAAGTTGTATACTTTTTTAATTTTTTTATCTGTGTTACATAATTGGGTAACGTAGTCTGGCAATATTTGTCATCAGCAGCTAACTGTCAATGTCAAATACGTAGGTTTGTCAATATAACCTCAATATGTAGCCGGGTCGTCTAGAGAAATAACGGATAAAAAGAACATTCACAATCACAGTACGCGGGAGCGGATGCGAAATTTTTTTGTTTGTATTTTAGGATTGTCAAATTGACATTTGGTTTTTTATTTAGAAAAATCAAAGGAATCGTGGTTTTTACAGTCACTTGAGTAATATTTTGAAGTAAAATTGTGTCCCTTGAAGATTTAGGGTTTCCATATCAAAAAATATTAATCATTATATAACTTCTTTCCACGATTCACTAAAAATAAGGCAAAAGTAGTTTTATGTACCAAATAATTTTGGCTTTATTTTGAGACCAAATTCAACTGTATACAAGTTTAGCATTTTTTCTATGAAAAGTGCCGGGTCTCCTTTATTTTATTCGGGTTCGAGTCCCGTCTGCTGGCTGGTGCGTGTGGATTTTTTTTCTAGTAACATTTTCTTAAGATTTAAACATCTAGCAGTTAAATGCTTAAAAAATAAAAAAACGAGCGAGCCTTACAGTATTCACGTATGATGTGTAACATTTGAAACCTCACCTTATATTAGTTAGAAATAAAACCTACTACAAAAGGAATAAGCCATTTGAACATTATCGAATCAAATAGCGCGCGCTTCCCAAACTTCATATTACACACTTCCGTCCCACTTCACGTAATCACTCCCACAAATAGGGATGATGACTAATTTTTTTTGCTTCGTTTATCAGGTAGATTATCAAAAAGTTTTGGACACGTATTTTTTCTTTTTTCACATAATATAAACATTGCAGAGATATATTCATTTGAAAAGTCGCATGACGTCACGAGCCCCTACTCCCAAAATTTGACGCGTTATAACTTTGTCATTTTTTGGTTGATTGCCCAAAGAAAAAATACGTGTCCATTATTTTTTGATCATCTAACTGACGGACTAAATAGAATTTCGTTTATTGTACCCCGTCATCACCCCTATTGCAGGAAAGCGAGAGGAAAGATGTTACACATCAATATAACTATCTTAAAAGGTAGTGAGGTTTTCGATTAAAGCCCCCACCTCGTCAAAACAAATACCAACCACAATATAAATACAGAAATGGAGATGACAGTTTTGGATCTTGTTTGGAAAGATATGACTGAGGTCCACTTGCAGCAAATTGCTGTCTCGCTTTGATTAAAACTAGATTTAACCCATAAAATGAAAGTGTTAAATCTGGATTTAAAAATTTGCATTCTTATTTGGACTGAATTAAGTATTAAATCAAGATTTAGCTGAACTACTACTATTGGGTTAGGCCTAATTCAGGTTGTTCAATGTTCAGGTTTTAAATTGCATTTTTTAAATAACATTAATTTACTATTTCAGAGCAATGAGAAAATTACGCGCGATGAAATAGACAAACTTTATAGCAAGCTAACGAACGATATAGAACTACAAATGAGCGCGTTGAAAAAGGCTATGGTCGACCAGAAGAACAGGTAAATTTTTAATATTAAACTAGTATACGAAAAATGCAATACTACTGGGCTCCCGCAACTTCTTTGAAAAATTGGCCAAAACTTCCCTTCCGTTCGTTCCCTTGTTCAGTGGGAGACGATGATAAAATAATATTACTGTTTATTTTTTAGAGAAGAACAAGAGAGGTTGCAGAAGCTACAGGAAGAGATGCGCGTCGCGGAAGAAGCGAAGAGAAGAGAACAAGAAAGGTTGAAGCAGGAGGAAGAACATCGGCGGATGTGAGTTCTTTTTTCATATCATTTATTATAAATAGAATAATAGTGTTTATTTCCAACTATATCTTGTGTTCGTTTGACTCTCGGTACATGATAGATTAAGTTTAAAACATTTCCGTTTTAAATTACCTACTTGTGTTAAAAAATATTTGCATAACTTATTTAACCTGATTTCTAAAAGAAAAAAAAGATCTGTCTATTCGAAGCTAGACAAGATATGACTAATTGCGATATTCTGTTACATTTTCTGAATCAATTTGCTAAAGTATAGATATTTTTTTATAGCGAAGAAGGCCAATGACTCTACTCCCACCCCACTTGCCCCATAGCGGTAAATTTCCTGATCAAAACCACAGACAAACAAAGTTGCAACATAGACGAATTTGACTATAAAATTGCTATTGAGCAGTACTGTGTAGTGATTTTGGTTGTATGTATAATAATATGTTAAATAAAAGTATTGTTAATGGTACTTTTATATGAGTATTTTTTATTTAAATAATTAATTAATAATTAAGGTAATTATCATTACCTATTTCTTGGTGGTCTGCCCGTATAATATATCATCAATATCATCAGCCTATTAAAGTCTCCACTGCTGGGGCACAGAGCTTTCCTTTTGATGGAATTAGGACATTGGGCTATGACTCACCACGCGGGCCCAGTGCGGATTGGTTATTACTGACGCTGCATCTGCAGCCGGGATCAACGACTTAACGTGCCTTCCGAAACACGGGGGAGCGAGAGATAGTAAATTATTGATCACCCATCGAATGACGGACCACTGCGAAAATTGCTTAACTTCAACGATCGAGTATAATATTTAATGCTGGTATATTTAATAGGAAAGCAGAAATGGAAGCCCGTCGCAAGGCGGAAGAAGCGGAACGATTGAAGGCAGAAGAACAAAACAGACAACAGGCGTTACAAATACAACACCAGCTAGAAGAAGCCGCGCGAACAGACCAGGAGAATAGAGAAAGGTTAGTAATATAAATGTTTTTAAATTTCACATTACAATAAATTATTTAATTCTAGAAATAACAAAAGATATGTAGCTTATACTATAGCCTGAACTAGGTATTAATTATTATAATAGTTAAAAGAATTAGTGGTTCTTATTTTTTTAACTATTCTGGGAAGGCAAAGGGTACTGTGTCCATACAGCCAATTAGTGGTTCTCTTTACAAAATCTTTCTTAGGAAAAGTTGTTAAATATATTTTCGAACGAACAAATAGTTAATCGATTCTCTTGTACAACACGCGCCAATACCAAAACACAGCAGATGTAGTATTTTTCGCTCACAATTTGGAATGTTGGGCAATTAAGTTTTGGGGGCAACCCTTTAGTTAAAAATTGTAAAAACCATTAGAGAAAACTAGATGTTCAAACATATTCGTTAAATATGCATTTAAAATGAATAACTCAATGATAGAACTGTCAACATTTGAAACAAAACTGTATTTAAATGAGGGATAGGTTACGAGTTCGCGCCACTGTGCCATGAGGTCTTTTGTATGAAGTTTTTGGCGCGAATTAATCGAACTAGCATTAAAATTAATCCATAGACAATGACAACATGTGATTGGACGGACGAGTAGACCTTTCGTCTAAGTGCTGCCAACTATCGCCCGTCATTACAGAAAATCCTCATTTGCATGTACTTTTTCAATGACCAATGTAACAAATATACATTTTGTTTTAACAAAACTTAACAAGAGTCCTCCTCTTTAAGAAAACCGTTTTTTTTGTCAATCTTATTTATTCAGAGGCTTTTCATCAATATAAAAGATATGATAGCCCCATCATATCGTAACTTTCAAATTTACGAAGATTCATTGTTGCAAAAAAATGTATAAGGCATTCGAATACTACCGACTGCGGATCTGCCAATATTGTTGCGAATATCCCTACATTGAACGAAAACCGAAATAAACACTCATAAATAAATATACAGACTGGAACAAGAGAGAAGGGACCACGAAATGGCAGTAAGACTGGCCCGAGAAACCAACGGACACGTGGAAGGCTCGCCGCCACAGCTACGCAGGTATGTGCCTTATTTATATTAGCATAGAATACATTTCACCTCACACTATAATCAGGAAGCTATGACACAGGAAAATACTCCTTTTGCCGCAATAAAAACTTAGTTTATCTATTTGATTTTGAAACTTCGCAGGGTGATTTGAAAGAATTATATAATAGGGTATTTGACAAATTTTAGCAAACGATCTCACGTTATTTACTAATGTTTATAGAGTCCATAAAAAGGATGGATATTCATCATTATGTTGTGTATTTCGGTAAAAAAAACCAAAACAAAAACTCTATTTTCAAGTTGCCGCGAAAAACGTATCTCTGGACAATATGGCGTCTCACTGGTGTGTGACGTCACACGACTGTCATTAAAACGTCAAACCATACAATCAAATGTCACTTTAACCGGAAGTTTACTTGCGTGTGACGTCATTTTAGGCTCCACCAATCCCAAGCGTTTTGGGTCACATGACAATAAATAAGAAAACTATCATCTTTATCGTGGGTTTTTAGTAAAATTATGAATATTTTTTCTGTAAAAATAGTAAAAACTCCTGCCCATATTCATTCTAAATACAGCAGATGCTAACAATAGGCACTTTATTTTTGATATTGTCAAATACCCTATTATGTGCTTCATGTACATGGACATAGAATAAATTTCACGAAACACGATGACACAGAAAAATATCCGTCGCGTCTCAGTGATACTTTGTTATACATATTGGATTTTGTAACTATTTAAAGAATTGGATCCCCACCACCAGTTGGATCAAAAAAAGATATATTTAAAATTCGATCAGTTAATGATATAGTAATAGCTCCAGCTAATACTGGTAAAAATCTGAATTAGAAAAAATAACGATTTTTTGATTGACGTTAAGATTGTCTTGATGTTTATATGGATCTTACACAAAAACGTGCATATTATAAGGTTCAAAACGGAATGCAGTCTTGGAATGTAAATCATTTTTTTTTATTCCATAGAAACAATCTAGCATTATTTGTGAGATAGGTCTATATGGGTGTATTCCGAAATATACACTAGTACGCTGGCCAGCGGTAATGACGTCATGATTTCGACGCCATATTGCATTGGTGTGCCGCCATATTATGCTGGTGAGAATTCTGTGACGTAGCCGGGTGTATAATACGCTCTGCAGTTAGTGTAGTTCTTTTTTGTATTAAATTGATAATAATGAAATAATCACAGTTAAAATTTATTATAATTTTTGGAGACCGCGTGAATATAGCGCCATTTCATGACGTCATCAGCGCGGGCTGATCAGTGTATTTGGCACGAATTGACAGCATAGCGACGATTCAAGACGTCATTACCGCCAGCGTACCGTTGTATATTTCGGAATACACCCTATATTTTTTAATAAAGTGTCTTCAAGTATTTTCACTGTAAAATTGAATGTTCGCACTTCGGGTTTGCGAAACTTCTTCTTGTATATAAGCTTTGAACACCACCGTACTGGGATTGTCAAGTTGAACATACCCCTTACAGATAAATATACACCTGTTGAGTTAAATAACACGAAAGCGACTATAATGAAGATATGAGATAATAAATCAAAGAAATCAAGTGAGATAATTTCTAAAAAAAATGTGCTAGAGTCTGTTCGGAAACAGAATGGGCGTGGCGAAAAACGGAACTAACATTAAGATTTTTATTTGACAATCAAACCCAGCAATCTGTAAAACCTCAAAGTTTTGTATTGATACGGATTTGTTTGTTGTTGTGATTTCTTTGCGGTTTTTTGTATTTAATCATGTCTTAAAGGGGTAAAACCTTACAAATACGGTAGAAAAGCACTACAGCGGGCTCCGATCTAAATCCCATTCTCTTTCCGCACGGACTCTACTAATGCTTTCGTTTCATTTTACTTAACAAGTGTCAGAGTAAACACAGTTCTCAAAATGTCTTGAATCAATTTGAGGCCACCATATTGTTGCAACAGAACGAATTATTTTCGCTGCAGCTAGAAGCTGAAATTTTGATTATCTTTAAGTAAATTCCAAGTACACTCAAGACCATGTTAGTGGATACAAATTGCGCTAATGATATCGCTTTTATTGCTGTGGAACATCAGATCATAGTCTCTTATCTATAGTAAGTTCGCAGTCTTCATAATTATCTGAATCTGAGGGCGTAATCTTGAAAATCAACTTTCCTGAACTTTGCCGTGTCCTACTCTTAAGATATTAAAAATCATGTACTTAGTGTCTTTTTGTGGCCTTGTGGTAATTAAATAAAACTCCAGTCATCCAGTCGGTGTTGTTTTATTCACGTCCAAAATGCAACAGAGTGACATACAGGAAGGAAGTGCGTTTGACAGTTTAAAATTTTTCTTAAAACTATTACGGCTTTGGAACATGATATAACATCTTCCCTTTTTTGAGAAGACGAAGTCTACAAATAAATTGAACTTAAAAATTAAAACTTATACTTACGCAACTTAACATTTTTATAACTTTAAAGTTTATTTTACACGTATCGGAACGTATTTAAAAAAATGTAAATTTTACATTTCAAAATTTTGTCAACTTTGACATTAGGATGGATGAGGATGAAGATGACGATTTATCAAAATTAAACCATAAGATTAGGCCCTTAATATCGAGATACATATATTTCCAACGATATTTATGTGTATTAACAACCGAGCGAATATAGTCCGTTTGTCGCTCGCGTCGTGTTGTACTATGCATCCTAGCTTCCCTAACGGTTCATTTATACCAGCCCTACTGTTCCGCAACATTTGATTCAGTGATTCCCTTTAAAGCCACACACGTTATTATTATCTGTCATTGTCGCACCTTCAGCAAGCGATATACAGGACGTCCCACGGGTTTGTCACACGGAGGGAAAGTATATTAAATATTGCCGATAGGATAGTTTATGGAAAAAATACATGTTTTTATTTTTAATAATAAGTAGAACTGCATTCACAGTTTTTAAAATATCGCCTGCTACAACAGGGAATCAAACTCATGAAATGTGAACAAAAAACACATGTATTTTATGATAACCGTCGAAAGGGTTAGTCATGAAAATAATTAAAAAAAACCTTATCATAAAATACATCATGTGTTTTTTTTTAATTTCACAAGTTTGTTTCCCAGTTGTAACAGGCGATTTTAACAAAATCTGTTAATGCAGTTCTAGTTATTACTGAAAATAAAATGATATTTTCTTTAAGTAAAATATCTTACCTTCAATATTTAGAATACTTTCCCTCCGTGTGACAAACCCGTAGGCTACCCGCCCTGTATATCTCGTGTCATTAAAGAAACGAATCGCAAATGACGACTTAAACATTCTGTCCCTCTTGCACATGCTATCCTAAGTAACGTGCGAGAAAGACATAATGTATTCCGTCGGCATTGTCGATTCCTGTCTTTAATGGCACGAGTTATACTTAAATTTACAATAAATTACCAGACAAGTTCGAAGAACTAAAACTTTTTAAATTAAAAAATATACTTAAGACTTTTTGGCTCAGCCAAAAATGTTTTCATAGTATCCAAGAGTACTTAGAATATAGGTAGGAATATAACTTGTAAATAAATTCAAATGGTTCCTATGCGTATAATATAAATGTGTATACACCTGAAAAGGTAGTCAAGTGGTACTGTACATTAGCATTAAGACCAGTTTTTTTTATAAATTAACATTTCCAACACTCACACCTATTAGCCTAGCCTCAAAGTAAGCACTATAAGGCTTGTGTTATGGGGTAACGGATACAATACATATACTGTACATATATAAGTATATTTATATAGAAATACATATTAAACATCCATGACTGGAGTACAAATATGCTCGTATTCATCACACAAACATCTGGCCCCACCGGGATTCGAACCCGGGACCTCTCGAGTCGGCAACACCATGAAACCCGGCGGTTTGTACGCCGGGTTTCATGGTGTTGCCGACTCGGCCACGGAGGTCGTCATTTTCATGTTACCTCGTTCCATACACAATAAAGATTTATTATTATTATTATAATCTCATTTATTTTATTTCATATTTAGGTTTTTTATTAAATAGATAAAAAGTAAAATACAAAAACGTAAATACAAAAATAAATATAGTATAAAAAACGTAACCTAGAGGGCCACCAACAGCTGAGTTAGGCCCAAGCTACCGGTGGTTAGGGCCGCAGAGAAAAGAACCGCCTAACGATGCGCGCCGTGTCCAGGAGTACTGCCATTGGCATCTGCTCCTTGACCCAACCATCTAGCGAGAGACTCTTTAGATGTTAGTCGAGACTCTTCGCTATGAGACCGTTATTATTATTAATAATAATGTATTGAATAAAAGCGATATCAATCTCAATTTATGTCTACTAATATGGTCTCTACTGATTTGCAACAAGGTTGTCGATTGCGCAAACAAGCGAGTAATGTTGTGGTATGTTTGCACAGTTTCCCCACAATGGACTCAGTGAACGGAGAGAATAAGTTGAACAGGTACTCAGTGAGATACGACTAAGTCTTCTCTTTTGCACGCCCCGCCCTCTCGCTCCCTCTGGCAATACCTATATTTATTCTTGCTTCATTTTAATTAAAGCCTACGCAGACGAGGTAGTTTTGTTCACGAACTTTTTCGTCCGCGAAAATAGATCGATTACAACTGCATCGGGTAACGCGCAAGGCAGATTAAAAGTACCGCATACAAAAAGTCCCCCGAACAACCCAGAACACTGAACAAAAGTACGCGGGTGTCCCCCAATTTTTTTTTTTAATTCATGTGATTAGGCGCAGCAACGTACACAGCGAAATTTAGTCCGCTTAAAAGCACACAATCCGATTTAAAGAGATGGACCTAGTATTCTCTTTTAATAAATTTTCTATTTTTCTGAATCTTAATGTTAATTACAACTCAACTGGAAAGTGATATCATGAGTTATCTCGTATTGAAGTCATTTTTCAAATTGACGATTTTGTATATAATACAGGGAGAGAAAAAGCAGCCCTTGCTGAGTTTCTTGCCGGTTCTTCTCAGTACTATGGCTAGCTTTTCGACATTGACAAGTGCTTGGAACAGCATAGACTGAATAAACGATATTGAATTGAATTGAACGCAATCTGAGAAAATTTATTTCTCTTTTCGGGCAACAAATATCCGCAAACCGCATGCGTTGAGTCCGTAACAAGGTCGCGGCGGACATTTTTTTGATGGACGATTGAGAGACTTCTGACCTTTCGCGGACTAAAGTATTTCGTCTGCGCAGCCCATTAAGGTTCATAATAATATTGTTCGTAGTTACATGCGTTTGTGCATACATATAAACGAACTATAACCAACATAGTCATTTGTCCCTGGTACATTAATTCATATATCAGGCCAACGGTATTCTTTTAGACATTTTTTTTATATCAATAGATATAAGGTATTGCCAGAGGAATTTCTGTATAATTACTGACACTTACTAATGTACTAACTTCTCTAACTTCGAAACTGACGCTTCTACTTTTTGCACGTGGGTCTTTGGAATTAGATGGTCTTTTTGTGTTAACTGTTATATATTGTAGATATTTATGTATTATGTACTTGTTATGTATAGAACTTTTAGATTATTATTAATAAGAAAGCTAATTATTGTAGTGTAGAAAATGCATGTCAAAGTGCAGCTGACATTTTGTTTTATTTTAAATAATATTTTTGAATAGATTTAATAATGGCAATAAATCTGCATCGTGAAAAATTGTGTTTAATGATTTCAGTTCTTTGCCAAAGCTCATAATAATATTTTTCTCAATATTATTTTTTAAGTTTGAAGTATTTAAATGCAAAAATGTATATAATAAAGTCATGCATGTATCTAATTAGGATATTTTTTTTTTGCATAAAGAATAAGATACCAAAATGATTACTTTCTAATAAAAAGGAGAATATAAAAAAAACACTTATCCTGTTTGGTCTTAAGACTGACTTAATTTATTTCTACACCTAAAAAACCAAATAAAAAGAATGGTGCATTAAGTTTTCGATTCAAAACGTAGGTCAGAACGAGTGCGGATGCAGCAAGCTATGCAAGGCAAACAAAAGTACGACCTGTCCAAATGGAAATATTCAGAGCTTCGAGACACAATCAACACATCGTGTGACATCGAGCTTTTAGAGGTGAGCTTATAAATATTGTCATTTCTCATCATCAGCCGATGTCCGTCCACTGCTGGACATAGGCCTCTTCAACAGATTTCCATTTACTCAACGATTTTTCCCCAACGAGGTTCCCCCCAACTCTCTTGATATCGTGAGTCTGAATTATGAGCATTATCATAATTCAGACGACGCACTCTGAAAAGGATGGGAAACGTCAATAAATAAATCAATCTATATATATAAAACTCAAAGGTGACTGACTGACTGACATAGTGATCTATCAACGCACAGCCCAAACCACTGGACGGATCGGGCTGAAATTTGGCATGCAGGTAGATGTTATAACGTAGGCATCCGCTAAGAATGGATTTTGATCAATTCTACCCCCAAGGGGATAAAATAGGGAATGAAAGTTTGTATGAAACTTTGTCAATTTTAAACTGATCGGGCTGAGACTTTGCATGCAGGTATAAGAAGAATCATAGATGAATGTCATTGTGTATAATACAAGCCTGAGAACAAAAACTGTAGTCTACACCTCAGCTCCACACCGCAGCGAAGCGAAAGCGGGCCACTAGTAAATCATAAGACGTCAAACGATACAATGTAAAGTATATAAATTGACCGTAAGTTTACTAGCGTGTGACGTCATTTTAGTCTTCGCCAATCCCAGGCGTTTTCGGTCACGTGACTGTAAAACAAGAAAATCGTTTCTACGTAATGATTTTTTAGAAAAGTTATTAATAATTTGTTCTCCGTGAATAGTATAATCGGTGATAATATTCATATTGTATATAGTTGCCAACGATTGTTACTTTGCTTTTCATGCTGTCGAATAGTCTATTATTTTTATTTATTCATTTATTTACAAATGCCATTACAGATATTATAGATTATTATAGTAGATTTACGAACCGATGGCGAAGCTTCTAGACATTCGTGAGTGCTTGTAACAGCCTAAACTGAATAAATGATTTTGGTTATGATTATAGCCCAATGCGACAATCTATCTTATTTATTTATTAATTTATGATGCCTTTCGAGGAGGAGAAGAGGAGCTTGATTGCGCAAGTGGTTAGCGCGTACGGCTGCGATCGTTGAAGTTAAACAACTTTCGCAGTGGTCGGTCATTGGATGGGTGACCAAAAATTTACTATAACGAGCTCCTCCGTGCTTCGGAAGGCACGTAAAGCCGTTAGTCCCGGCTGCATCTGCAGTCGCTGCCCCAATCCGCACTGGGCCCGCATGGTGGGTCATGGCCCAACCTCCCTATTTCATCCATAGACATTAATAGGCCTATGATGATGATGATGCACGGTTTGAATGCAGGCGTGCCGACACGAGTTCCACCGTCGCCTGAAGGTGTACCACGCGTGGAAGGCCAAGAACGCAAGGAAGACCACCACCCTGGACCAGGAACGAGCTCCACAATCAGTCATGGAAGCAGGTACTTTTTTTTTAATTTTTTAATGTGTAACATCTTTCCTCTCGTTTTCCTGCAATTTGTGGGAGTGATTTCGTGAAATGGGACGGAAGTATGTAACAGGAAGTCGCGAAAGCGCTATTAGATTTGGTTTTAGAACATAATGTTCAAATGGCTTTTTCCTTTTGTAGTAGGTTTTATTTCCTTTTTTACTAATATAAGGTAAGGTTTCAAATTTTACACATCATACGTGACTCCTGTAAGGCTAGCTCGGTTTTTTTTGGCAACAAACAGTCATTTACATAATATTGAGGTACATGCATATATGTAAATATTAATAGACCAAACAGTGCCCAAAGCTTATTACAGTTACAGTAGCGAAGAGAGTCTTAACATAGTCAGATTTGCACGAGCATTCATTTAATGCTAAACAATTTATTGACATAAAATATTAAACAACTGATAACAAAAACAGAAATTTTTATTGACACTATTTGTTTTGGTTTTTCCATCAATATACCATATAGTTTTTTTTTAAACAATTGGTACATAGATTACAAAGATCCATTCACAGAACTCTTTGTTAAAAGCGTTGGTCGAACGACACAGATAAGAATTACGTGTATAGTTTTTACGTAACGGCGAAAGAACAAAAAATTGCAATTGACTTGAGGAGCGCACCGGGAGACGAACTCGTGCTGAAATATTTTGGCTGAGGAGAATGAACGAATCAATGAATAGAAATTATACTTTATTCAAATTGACTCATTGAAAGTTCTTTTGAATCGTCCAATTTTTTTCTTACACCGATTTAGGATATCTATTAGCCAATAAAAGAATGGGCGCAAGAAACCCATTGGCTTTAAACAGAAGTAGCAAACGTGTACAGAAGATCATGTCACTGCCAATACAACGTCCACTCAAGTTTTGATTGTGTCATCTATTTATATAAAACTCAAAGGTGACTGACTGACATAGTGATCTATCAACGCACAGCCCAAACCACTGGACGGATCGGGCTGAAATTTGGCATGCAGGTAGATGTTATGACGTAGGCATCCGCTAAGAGAGGATTTTGATCAATTCTACCCCCAAGGGGATAAAATAGGGAATGAAAGTTTGCATGAAACTTTGTCAATTTCAAACCGATCCGGCTGAGACTTTGCATGAAGGTATAAGAAGAATCATAGATGAATGTCATTGTGTATAATACAAGCCTGAAAAGAAAAACTGTAGTCTACACTTCAGCTCTACACCGAAGCGAAGCGAGGGCGGGCCACTAGTGTAGTATAAATACAAATAAATAAATATTTCCAACATTCATACCAATTAGCCTAGCCCCAAAGTAAGCACTGTAGGCTTGTGTTATGGCCAGACCCCTCTTTCCTAGTGGGCACTTTGGGCAAGTGCCCAGGGCCCCGCGATCGATAAGGGGCCCTCTTCAGATCAAATACAAAGTCCCTAGTTCCCGTTGGATTACCAAACGGAGGTCATAGGGGCTCCATTATCCTAATATGCTCAGGGCCTCCAATAAGTCAAAGACGGCACTGGTTATGGGATACTAGGGTAACGGATAGAATACATATAGTGACATATACTGATACATATATACGTATATTTATATAGAAATACATATTAAACATCCATGACTGGAGTACAAATGCTCGTGTTTATCACACTAACATCTGTCCCCACAGGAATTCGAAACCGGGCGCCCTCGAGTAGGCGACACCATGAAACCCGGCGTACATACCAGTCGGTCACGGAGGCCGTCAAAATAAAGAAATAGTGTTTATATTAGGTATAATTAATAAAGTACATACAAATAATTAGATAATTTTTCGATAGTAAAGTAGTCTAGAGCAGACTCATCCCTGCTGTCAGCACGCGGGGTAAATTTTGATGAAAATGGGTTGTAAGAGTGATAGGGAATAACATTTGTATAGGACACTTTTTCGTTGACCTTCAGCTTCATTATTTAAATGGTACCCTGGTTCCCTGTGACCTCAATTCATGACGTAATTTCTCTCTCATCTATTCTTCTGTCAAGTAAATATAGGTAGCGGCAAAATTCTTGAACAAAACTACTAACAAATAAATTTGCGCAGGATCGTTTTTGTATATGAAATTGCTAATACGTAAGCTTTTTGTCTATGGTCGTTACTCAACAAGTTTGCCGGGGTGTATACCAATGTATTTAAGTGGTAAAAGGGCATGTATCAGAATCGAACCAGCGACCTTCGTTACACAGGCGATGCGCTTACCGCTAAACTACCATACATTCCCATATTGACGACCTCCGTGGCCGAGTGGTTTATACGCCGGGTTTCAACGTGTGGCCATCTCGAGAGGTCCCGGGTTCGAATACCGGTGGGGCAGATGTTTGTGTGATGAATACGAGCATTTGTACTCCAGTCATGGATGTTTAATATGTATTTCTATATAAATATACTTATATATGTATCAGTTTATGTATTCTATCCGTTACCCTAGAATCTCATAACACAAACCTACAGTGCTTATTTTGGGGCTAGGCTAATTGGTGTGTGTGTTGGAAATATTTATTATTTATTTAATTTAGAGGAAAGATTGTATTTCGTGTACACCCAGCACTATGGTACTCTACTTTCGTATCAGATCAGGCAAATTGATTCTGTTTTCAAGTTTTATTTGTCTGTGGTCTTGCTCACGAAGTTTTGCCCCTCTACTTACACCAAAAAGAAGAATCTTGGGACGTTCGTTATTCTTTTGAAGAATAATTCTACATTTATCAATATTTCCACAGCTAAAGCTCCCCGCGTAGCCCAACGCGGCGAGATCCTAGGCGCTCGCCATCGATATTTCCGTATCCCATTCGTCCGCGCCTCCGCTACGGGAGAATCCGACAGACGCGGATGGTGGTATGCGCACTTCGACGGACAATACGTCGCGCGACAGATGGAGCTGCATCCCGACAAGCCGCCTGTACTACTGCATGCAGGTACTGCACTATGTGACACGATACCCACACTATGTGACACGATACCCACACTATGTGACACGATACCCACACTATGTGACACGATACCCACACTATGTGACACGATACCCACACTATGTGACACGATACCCACACTATGTGACACGATACTCACACTATGTGACACGATACCCACACTATGTGACACGATACCCACACTATGTGACACGATACCCACACTATGTGACACGATACCCACACTATGTGACACGATACTCACACTATGTGACACGATACCCACACTATGTGACACGATACCCACACTATGTGACACGATACTCACACTATGTGACACGATACCCACACTATGTGACACGATACCCACACTATGTGACACGATACCCACACTATGTGACACGATACCCACACTATGTGACACGATACCCACACTATGTGACACGATACCCACACTATGTGACACGATACCCACACTATGTGACACGATACCCACACTATGTGACACGATACCCACACTATGTGACACGATACCCACACTATGTGACACGATACACACACTATGTGACACGATATCCACACTATGTGACACGATACCCACACTATGTGACACGATACCCACACTTTGTGACACGATACCCACACTATGTGACGCGATACCCACACTATGTGACACGATACCCACACTATGTGACACGATACCCACACTTTGTGACACGATACCCACACTATGTGACACGATACCCACACTATGCGACACGATACTCACACTATGTGACACGATACATCGCGCGATAGATGAATTTCGCGTGTCACTCACGCAGTCACGACACGCATGTATCACGCGTGCGTAGCCCACGCAATGCAGTAAGGAAAAACGAAATAGCGCAAATTTGCGGGCAGACGGCGGGATGCATTGTTTACGTGGACTGAATGAATAAGAACTAATGAAATAATATTAGTTTTTTTATTTGGCTTGAAAGGATTTTTTTATTACACAGGCTTTTTTCTGAAAAAAAAAATGGGTGCGTGTACTTATGTAGGCGCGTGAGAAGTTATCCTTCTTTGGCATCGTTTAAAATTAGTTTTTAATTGCATGCAAATAATTAATTACAATAAATTAATAAAAAGTCTGGAAAAGGACACAGTCAATAAAGTTCAGTTTTAATTTGAAAAAATAAATAAATAATCAAAATATTCAATTAAAATCGCTACTGAATATAATTTATTAGAACATATGTGATTTGCACTTGTATGAAACTCAAACACGTATTCCGAATATACAAACTAGAAACATGTGGATAAATATTATAAATATGAATACCTATAACTGTTACTTTATTACAAAAAATAAAGATGTGGTTTTTGGTTCTACTACACCAATGGTCAAGAGATGGCGCTGTAGTCTCCTGAATCGCGCTTTGGTTCCGTTGTTCCAGATTAATAAATACTTTTGATAGGCCTTCACAATGCAGTCGTTAGCACCCACTAAATAGAGATTCTATTTCTATTTTGTTGGTAGATTTTCTTAATGTGCGGTAAACACAAAAGTAACGCATGAAGTTGGTCGCTAAAGCGACCAACTTCATGCTGTTAAAATTTTGTGTTGCAGTGATGCGCGCGCATCTTAAAATTTCACTCTCATCAATTTTTCATAACGCGCCTAAAGAAGTATAACTTCAAAAATCAGGCGATTTGTCTATCCTATACAGGCATACTCCCTGAAATAAATAGTAACGCTAGTCATACCTGTATGATAATATAGTAAGCAATATAATATCTTTTTTTACGAAAATAAAATAACTTTTATTATTAAATGGTATCCTCACAGGCGTAGCCTGAGTTACTGTGCTTTCGTTTATTTACAATATCGTATCTTATTCATCATCATCAGCTTAATGTCTTCACTGCTGGAGCACAGGCCTTCCCTAAGGATGGAATAGGCAGATTGGGCCATGACCCACCACGCGGGCCCAGTGCGGATTGGCGGGTGCTAACGACTGCAGATGCAGCCGGGACCAACGGCTTAACGTGCCTTCCGAAGCACGGAAAAACTCGAGATAGAAGATTTTTGGTCACCCATCTAATGACCGACTATTGCAAAAGTTGCTTAACTTCAACGATCGCAGCCGAACGCGCTAGCTACATGCGTCATCGAGCTCCTCAGTATCTTCTTATCACAATATCACGATTTAATTGACTTTTACTGTATGACTAGCTGTGCCCCGCAGTGTTAACCCACGGTTTATTTCGGATACTTTCCCGCAGTAAAACGTAGCCTATGTGTTAATCCAGGGTGCCAGCTAACTCCATTCCAAATTAAATAAAACTAGTTTTTACGGGTTAATGCACGAAACTTTATTTATTTATTGACGTTTCAATATTATATGACGTTATTATTAAACTTAAAAATCGAACAATGAAATAACCAAACGCTCAATAAAAGTCTTTCGAAGGTAGCTCGACAAATTAAATAAAAATTTTATTCTGACGACGAAGCCTGTAAAGGCTACGAAACGTCAATAAATAAATAAAGTTTCTTGCATTAACCCGTAAAAACTAGTTTTATTTAATGAGTGATGTGCGTGAAAACCTAAGAAACAAATCCATTCCATTTTATTAAAATCGCTGTAGCCGTTTAGACGTGAAGAAGTAACAAACAATCACACAGTGGCGGCGCTAGGCGTCGGCGACGTCGGCCACCGCCGACGGCCTCGCGCCTGTGGGGCCCTCGCAAAATTTTTTTACAAGTTACCTATTTATTTTCGTTTCTTCTGGCCTGGCTTAGGTAGCCGACCCCGAACAATTCGGGGAAAAAGCTAAGCAGATGATAATGACTTTTATTATTTTCGAACACGTGCGTGATGGAAGCGAGTAGTACTTTACGCGTATTGAGAATCGTCTGTCTGGCAACACTATTTTTGTTATTAAATTTCTATATTTGTAATTATTTTTTGTCATCATTTGATTATCAACAATAAAACTCGTTTACTCATACATTATTTTATAATTTGGCTCACTTAATTTAACGGTTTATTATTGCGAAGTAAAATAGGCCTCGATGGCGCAAGTGGTTAGTGCGGTCGGCTGCGATCGTTGAACTTAAGCAACTTTCGCAGTGGTCGGTTATTGGATGGGTGACCAAAATTCTTCTACCTCGAGTTCCTCCGTGCTTCGGAAGGCACGTTAAGCCGTTGGTCCCGGCTGCATCTGCAGTCGTTAGCACCCACCAATCCGCACTGGGCCCGCGTGGTGGGTCATGGCCCAATCTCCCTATTCCATCCATAGGGAAGGCTTGTGCCCCAGCAGTGGGGACATTAATAGGCTGATGATGATGATTAAAATAGGCCTCGCGAACTTGATGTCGCCGACATCCACATGTGGTCTAGCGCCGCCACTGTACACACTCACAAACTTTCACCATTATAATATTGGTTATATATTTATATTTGACGACCTCCGTGGCCGAGTGGTTTGTATGCCGGGTTTCATGGCTGTCGCCGACTCGAGAGGTCCCGGGTTCGAATCCCGGTGGGGGCAGATGTTTGTGTGATGAATACGAGCATTTGTACTCCAGACATGGATGTTTAATATGTATTTATATAAATATACTCATATATGTACAGTATATGTATTCTATCCGTTACCCTAGCATCCCATAACACAAGCCTTATAGTGCTTACTTTGGGGCTAGGCAAATTGGTGTGAGTGTCGGAAATATTTATTATTATTGGTGTGATATCATCACAGGCGTAGACGACATGCAGATGTGCGAACTGAGCCTCGAAGAAACAGGGTTGACTCGCAAGCGCGGCGCCGAGATACTGGAGCACGAATTCGAGCGGGAGTGGACCAAGCACGGGGGGCAGCCCTACCAGGCGCCGCACCACTAACGGTGAGCAAATTAAACTGAAATGAAATGAAAAGAATAGTACATTACGATACGCGTGACCTAAGTTGCCTATTACTGCACGGCGTGAAGTTAGCGCCCGGGTGCTAAACGCCGTGCAGTAATAGACAACTTAGGCCACAAGTATCGTATACTATTTTATAGCAAGTGTGACATAAACCCGCCCCGGACGCGGGCAAGAGGGGGGGGGGGTGTGCGATTAGTGTTTTGAAGGTAAAATTCATGTATTGCAATCACAAAGAATTGCAATACAGATTGCAAGTCAAACTCTGAAAAGAAAGAATTCCGGTTCAGATTACCATTTTGAAAGTATATTTCGAAAGGAAAAAATCAAATATCATTACAACAGAATAGAATTTCAATGTATCCATGAACGTTTATTTAAATTAAAGTTAAGTTACGCGTATCGTAATGTACTAATTCTACATGAGTGAAGTTGGTCAATTCATTTACACACCGTGCAGAAATAGGCAACTTAGGTCACGGAAAAGCGTGCGTAAAGTGCGGGTTTAGGTCACACTGTGCTATAAAAGTCATTTATTCAGTCTAGGCTGTTACAAGCACTTGTGAAGGTCAAGAAGCTACGCCATCGGTTCTCAAAACTACGGCGGGAGACCTTGTACTGAGAAGAACCGGCAAGAAACTCAGCAAGGGCTGCTTTTTTCTCCCTGTATTGATATATACAGAGTCGTCAAGTTGAAAAATGACTTCAGAGATACTTCTGAAGTCACCTTCCATTACATTATTTAGGATATAGATATATAGTTACAATAAATTTTGTATTTAGTATATAGGAAGCGACATTAGATAGGTACCTTATTACTGTTACAAAACTGACTCATACCCATCAAATAACAAATTACAAGAAACACTATGTCCATGCATTACGATCATTTAGATAATCATTAACTTTATAATAGCCCTTATTCATAAGAGAATTCTTGATCCGAGATTTAAATTTGGTTAGTGGAAGCTCAATCAGATCTTGGGGAACTTTGTTAAACAATGCAATACTACATCCCAGAAATGAACCTCTTGATTTTTGGAGTCTGAAACATGGAACGGCAAGCTTGTTTTTAAATCTCATGTTAAAGTTATGGGTTTGACTAACTAACTAACCCACAACGATATTAAAATACTCTAGATCAGGGGTTCCCAACGTTTTATTGGTCAGGGACCACTTTTACATATTTTTTGGCGCGGACCAATATTTAGTCACGAAATTTTAGTGTAATAAAAATAAACTGTAATAATCAAACTGAAACTTTAATTAAAAATCTAATGTGAAATTAAATAAGAAGAAATAATAACATTTTTAGCGGGCGCGCCCGCTAAATTCAAATTCATTCGCGGACCATATTTTGGCTTCTGCGGACCACTGGTGGTCCACGGACCACTGGTTGGGAACCATTGCTCTAGATCCTGGGTTCCGAACCTGGGGGTAATTACCCCTCCGGGGGTAAATCGGCCATACTTCGGGGGTAACAAAGAACCTAATTATATGGTCAAATCTAAATAATACTACTAAATAGAGCATGTGCTCCTTCTTGCTAGTGAGCCCGCGGGGTGCTGAGTGTGGGAAGTGGGGCGAGATTCTCTCCTGATGATGAAATTATTAGAGACGAAGATGTAGCGGCCAAATTGGAATTTCTTGGACTGATGATAACATTTTAAAGTCGGGGTAAAATCTGTTTCCCTAATAGGTTACAGGGGTAGCAGTACTGGAAAGGTTAGGAAACACTGCTCTAGATACATCACGTGCGCTCAAAATGTGTCCCAATCAAGAAGTGCTTGAACACTACTCAAGCACTTCTAGGTTCACAGTCTCACGGGAACCGTTGAAAAGTCAAGATGCCGCAGATCTCCGTCAAAAAATACTTATAGTACGTAAAGTGTCGTTTTTTGACAGGTATCTAATCAATGTTTGTTAATTTAACGCATTTGAAGCAATTTTTGTTTTAATACTTACTATAAACTGATTTAATAGAAAATATTTGTGATATTAAAATGCATAAATGATATTAAATATCGGTTATATAGCCATCTCTTTTTCTCGCTGTCCATACCTGCTACATTGTTAACAGCGCATTCAGATTTGCGCGTAAAGTCAAAGAAATGAGGTCTATATTCTTCCGCATATAGCAATAAGTCGTGAAATTTTACAATCTTGCATTTCTAACTGTCATAACTCTTTGACGTAGGTATGCGTTTTAATTAAGACCTTATGCAGTATGTATTAAAGGTCAATATGACTTTCAATGTTTAAATAATGCCTTATATTGTTTTTGACAACGCGATCATCGTACGGAGCCCCGTGGATAATCCAATGTACCTTTAGGGCAGGTTTCGATCACAATTTTGTTCGTGTTGGTGTGTATGGTATTTAATATTGTTGCATACCCATCCATACTTATATTTTACGTGCAAATGTATGAACTATGAAATGAAAAATTCTTTATTGTCCATCTTAACAATAGCATGTGATCTAGCAAGGCCTGTGCAAGGTCGTTTTAATGGTGCGTAAAATATTTAAAAGCAAATCGCGCAAATCGCAAACCATAGAGAATGTATATCTAATATATAATATAATTCTAGTGTCGCGGTGTTTGTGGTTAACTCCTCCGAAACGGTTCGACCAATTTTCGTGAAATTTTATATGCATATTCAGTAGGTCTGAGAATCGGATGTAATCTATTTTTCATCCCCCTAAATGTTAAGGGTAATCCACCCCTATTTCTTTATTATTTTAGATATTGTTTTTTTAATTTTTTTTATGTTACATCATACAAAAATACATACAACCATAAATTTTCACCCTTCTACCACCAACCCCTATTTTTTTATGGCGGTACTAAATTGCTGGGTCAGCTAGTAATATATATTGATATGACGAAAATTATAAAATATACAGTAACTTATAATTAAAATATATGTATGGACATATTGAAGTATATATATATATATATTTGCAATATATACAAAATAACAATGTATATATATTACAATGTATACAACCTCCGTAAATGCATTTTTTGAGCAAATCAGTTGATAAATGATTAAATAATTTCCATTTATATAACATAACTAGCAAACCCAGCGAACTCCGTTTCGCCACCAGATAGCTTCGTTTTATGTAACATTTCGTTTTGTGAGTAAAAAAAAACGTTTTTTTTTAAAAAATTTCCTGAATTTTCTTTGCTATAAACCTCACGGAGCCCGAGACCTTTCCAACGAATGCAAAACCGTGGAAATCGGTTCGTGCGTTCTGGAGTTATAGCATCAGGAAGGAAAACCCGACTTATTTTTATATAGTAGATATATATATATTTGCAATATATACAAAATAACAATGTATATATATTACAATGTATACAACCTCCGTAAATGCATTTTTTGAGCAAATCAGTTGATAAATGATTAAATAATTTCCATTTATATAACATAATTTCTTCCATTTACAGATACAACAATATACCGAGTCGATTAGGGTCGAGTGAATCCATTCAACATTCTCCGCATCGCAAAATACGTACGTATTACACAATGCGTGTTTTAGGAAGACTCCTATTTATAATTTACACCTTAATATATCTAACATAGCTCTTCGATGTGCCTTTTAAGGGTTCCTAGATTATACTAGTGCAATATTATAATGGTATTTGAATGAAATTAAAAAAAACCACCGCAGTTTTATGGATTGTATAGACATAAACATATATTTGATCCATTCCAAATTTTGTTAAATTAAAAGAAAATATAACTAGAAAAAATGCCACGCGGACCAGGCAGCAGACGGGACTCGAAACTGCACTCTTCGCAATCCGGGCGAATGCACTAGTGCATTCGGCGTGGAATTTTTTCTAGTTATATTTTCTTTAGATTTAAACATCAAGCAGTTACATGCTTTAAAAATAATAAAAATTTGTTAAATTAAGTTTCGCTGTTACACACAGTAACAGCGAAACTTAATTTAACAAATTAAAATAAATAAATATCGATGGACCGCGCTCATTAATACGATGAAATATAATCCTTATTAAGATCACTTTTACGTTATTATAATGCCGAATTTTCTTGCGGTTTTCTGTGATGTCATACAAATTTCAGTATTAAGACGACGAAACAGACAAAGAATGACTGCAATTATTTAAATGTCAATACTGTTGTTAGTGAGCGCAGAACCAATTATGCCTAATTGGTTAATACTAATAATTCTTAGAATTCACGTGCTATGAAAGTTGGTTCTAAGCTGTGAAGCTTGCTGTAGGTACTACTTATATGTCCCTTAAAGGGTCTCATATTTTTTAAACTTTCTAATGAAAAAATGCTAAACTGCACGTCATGCCAAGAATTGAACCATTTTTTTACGTATTAACAAATATACATACGCAGCTAAAAATAACATAGTATACAGATATAAAATAAATCTATTTGTTGATATAAATATTTGAATTACAATATCTACTGATTTTTTAATAATAGGCTATTTGACAGTATGAAACATCATGTACTAATTGTTGGCATCTGTATTTAATATGAATATTCACAGCGATTTTACTATTCTGGAAGAACAAATAATTAATATTTTTTCTGTAAAATCATTAAATAGAAACGTTTTTTTTGTCCATGGTCTTGTGACCGGAAACGCCTAGGATTGGCCAAGACTAAAATGACGTCACACGCTAGTAAACTTCCGGCCAACGTGATATAACATTGTATCGTTTGACGTTTTAATGACATTCAGGTGACGTCACACACCAGTGAGACGCCATAATGTCTATGAAACGTTTACGCGGCAACTTAAAAAAATAATTTTTAATCTAGTTTATTTACTGAATTATACAAATGAATTAAATATATCCACTTTTTATGGACTCCTTAAACATCAGTTAATAACGTGAGATCATTTTCTGAAGTTTGTCAAATACCCTATTATCTAATTTGTGCTAATACAAATAGTGATGCAGATTCATTTAGAGTCTGTGCAGAAAGAGAATGGGATTTAGATTGGAGGGCGCTGTAGTGCTTTTCTACCGTATTTGTAAGGTTTTACCCCTTTTAGACATGATTAAATACAAAAAACAGCAAGAAATCACAACAACAAACAAATCCGTATCAATACAAAACTTTGACGTTTTACAGATTGCTGGGTTTGATTGCCAAATAAAAATCTTAATGTTAGTTCCGTTTTTCGCCACGCCCATTCTCTTTCCGCACAGACTCTACTAGATATACTTTATTAGTGCTTCGTTCTACAGTTAGTTTGTTATGATAAGTACGAAATAACGAGTACAGTGACACATTAATGGTACATACAAAGAAACATAAATATTTTGTAATAGTATGTATATTTTTTTATTTATACACTTCATAGATTTAAGTTACAGAAGGTAATAAAATTGTACTTGTGAACTGTGATTATTTTGAAGAAGGTATTTCGGTTGTATTAAAATTTAGTTGTTGATATGTTTACATTGTCATTTGCATTCCTTTTTGGAGACTAATTATTTTTAGTAGCTTTATTTATCAAAAATATCCAGCATACATTCCTAAGAAGTGATTTATTTGTTGTTCAAGATTTATGAAATCAGGTTCTGCCATTGTAAAAGTATTAATATTATTCCATGAAATATTTGTAAATTTGAATGGCACTTGAAAGACATTAAAGAAATAACTATTTAGTACAAAATATATATTTTATTTTAATGTTGTAATAACAGTATTTCTAAAAACTTTAATATATTGCGTAGATATCTAAATTTAAATAAATTATTGTCGAAAGTATTGTATCGTGTTAAAACACAGCGACATGTCTTAAACACTTAATGAAAGTACTGGCTAAGTGGTTTGTAGAGTAAGTAATGAAATGTAAGTGCCTTTATTTAATGCAGCTAAGAAGAACACAATAATGCAGTGACCATTTGTATCTGTGTATTTTTATGCTTTACCAAATAAAAAATGGAATTGAACTATTTAGTTTTATTTTATTTATTCAACGAAAGGAAATTTCAGTTAGAGCCCCCTAAAATAGCGAGACTGCATATTTATTATAATTTCCCTTCAATTATAATAAATATATAACTTTAATTATAATCTATATAATATTCATATGTTTTTTCTATTTTTAAAATCTTAAAATTACAGATATTTCATGAAACGAAAATTTACCACATACATAAATCGTCATTGAAACGTATTTAAGATATTCATACAAATATCTCGAATTTAGATCCCTTGGACATTTTATCACTCACATTTTAGTAAAACAATGTTGTACAAAAAATAACTGTTTTTATAAAAAGTTAAAACTACATACAATTTTTTTAAGAAAATTAGAGAAGACTCCCTTCAACGCCCTTGTACTTCAACGCCCTTCAAGCTTTATTTGTATTTTTGTAACATCATCATCAATCATCAACAGCCTATCTTAGTCCACTGCTGGACATAGGCCTCTCCAAATGCACGCCACTCAGATCGATCTTGGGCTACTCGCATCCAGCTCCTGCCAGCCACCTTGCGCAAATCGTCACTCCATCGCGCCTGAGGACGTCCTACACTACGTTTGCCTAGACGCGGTCTCCACTTTAGAACGTGTTTACCATAACGGTTATCGGTTCTTCGACAAATATGGCCAGCCCACTGCCACTTCAACTTGCTAATCCGGCGAGCTGTCGATAACTCTGGTTCTCTGTCGGATTACCTCATTTCTGATGCCATCCTTCAGAGAAACGCCGAGCATAGCCCTTTCCATAGCGCGCTGAATTTGAACCTGTGGTACCGTCAGTGTCCACGTCTCGACTCCGTATGTCATCACAGGTAGGACGCACTGATTGAAGACTTTCCGTCTTTAGGCACTATGAGATCGACCATGTCAGGACTTGACGTAACTTCCCAAACGCTGCCCAACCTAGCTGAACTCTTCTATTCACCTCGTCCTCAAAGTTGTTTCTACCTAACTGCAATGTCTGCCCGAGGTATACATATTTTTGAACAACTTCGAGAACGGCACCGTGTATTGCAATCGGTTCCGGTAGAACATGTTCATTGAACATGACCTTGGTTTTATCCAAGTTCATCCGTAGGCCGATGCGTATAGAAGAGCCAGGTCATTCAGCATCTGTTGTAGGTCCTGCAGGGCACTGCCGGATTTAGGGGAGGACAACCGGGGCAAGAGCCCCGGGGCCTCCACAAACGGGGGGCCCCCACAATAGAGACTTCGGAAAAAAAAAATCTTTCAAATTCCAACTAGTAAACTCTAGTAAACATCTTTTCCTTTGATATTTTTTTTTTTTGCTCTTTTACCTTTACCCAGGGCCGAATTTAAGGCAGGGCAGGTGGGGCTGTGGCCAAGGGGCCTCCGCAACAGATTAAGAAATAACAACATTTCAATGGGTCAATAAGCATACAAATCCTGTGGCCCGGGGCCTCCACAATCCTAAATCCGGCCCTGCTGCAGGGTTTCTGCCATGATGACGATGTCGTCTGCAATATTTTTGTAACACCCTATATAATTTGCACGTGTAAGAAACTAAAACACGTGTTGTGAATGTAGAAACTAGAAACGTGTGAATAAATATTATAAATATGAGAACAGTGATCAGAGGCGTCGAGCGTGCAACATGCGCGACTAATAGAGATCGCATTCATTTGATTGCAATTTCTTTTTTGTTGGTAGATTTTTTTAAAACTTAATGTGCGGTTTAGCGGCCAACTTCATGGTGTTACTTTTGTGTTACAGTGATGCGCGCGCATAATGTGCGGTTTAGCGGCAACTTTATGGTGTAACTTTTGTATTACTGTGATGCGCGCGCATAATGTGCGGTTTAGCGGCCAACTTTATGGTGTAACTTTTGTGTTACTGTGATGCGCGCGCATAATGTGCGGTTTAGCGACCAACTTCATGGTGTAACTTTTGTGTTACTGTAATGCACGCGCATAATGAGCGGTTTAGCGACCAACTTCATGGTGTAACTTTTGTGTTACTGTAATGCGCGCGCATATAATGTGCGGTTTAGCGACCAACTTCATGGTGTAACTTTTGTGTTACTGTAATGCGCGCGCATATAATGTGCGGTTTAGCGGCCAACTTTATGGTGTAACTTTTGTGTTACTGTGATGCGCGCGCATCTTAAAATTTCACTCTCATAACTTCAAAAATTGCCCTAGTACGTTTTGCCTAACCCAAGTACCTAAACTTCGTAGTATCGAAATCACTAGATAAGGTTGGTCAGACTAAAGATTACATTGTTTAAAACAATTCAAACAGTATTTTCTTAAAATAATCATTTATTTTGGTTTCAAAGTTAAACATTTTAATTAGACAATATAAACTTAAACGCAATTTTCCTAATTATAATCGTAGACAGTCTTTATATTTTCATTATAACAATAATTAATGACATTGGAATAATTTTTCATTCTTTTTTTCTGTATAGGTATTCCTAATTATCTTTATATATATAATTCTTCTGTGAGTGTGTATGTCACTGAACTTCTCTTAAACGACTGGACCGATTTTGATGAAATTTTTTGTGTGTGTTCAAGGGGATCTGAGAATGGTTTAGATTCACAATTTTGTCCGCTGGACAACCCCTATTTTTTTAGGGCGGTACGAAGTTCGCTGGGTCAGCTAGTAATAATATATAACAATTGATGATGATACTATAATATATGATTACAGAAAGTATTTTAAAACAAAATGTCAACATAATATATATACGTAACTGAGACAAGAATTAACATAAACTTCTGATTTTCAATTAGCTAATTTGCTTGTCTCTTTCGCTTCGTCGTATAGAATTCGGAACCGACAATTTCGTAGGTCAAAACAAAGAGATGTTTAATAAAGAGCATGCGATGCGTCAGGGCCGGATTTAAAGGTGGCGGGAGGCCCTGCCGATGCCGGCCTAATCCCTAAGTTTTTTGACATTAACATTGGTGTCGACTCTGGCATGATTCTCTAAACTTAAACTATGAGTTACCTCATATTGAAGTCATTTTTCAATTTGACGACTCTATATAGAATACAGGGAGAAAAGAAACAGCCCTTGCTGAGTTTCTTGCCTGTTCTTCTCAGTACAAGGTCTCCCGCCGTAAATTTGCGAACCGATGGCGTAGCTTTTCGACATTCACAAGTGCTTGTAACAGCCTAGACTGAATAAACGATACTGAATTTAGATTTTATTTTAAACCAAATTTAACATCAGTCTCTCCTTTTCATTCTGTATAGAGAATGACAAGTATACACTGGTGCCAATTCTGGCGTGATTATCTAAACTTGAAACTAAATTTAACATCAGTCTCTCCTTTTCATCCTGTATAGAGAATGACAAGGATATACTACTGTCAAGTTTAGGTTTAGAGAATCATGCTGGAATCGACACCACTGTTGTCAAATTTAAGTTTAGGTTTAGAGAATCATGCCACAATCGACACTAGTGTGACCATCGATGCTTTTCAGGACAAGTATCTTAGTGGCGTTATAATAAAGCAGTAGTGTATCACTAGATATCTAATTGATGATCACTTCGTCTGTAAAAAGCAGTTAGCGAATAGGCCTACTGGGGTAACGAAAGCGTGGGGGGCCTAACGTTTTACAAATCTGGCTCGCCGGGTCCACCTTCGATGGTTGGTCACCTTGTTTTGGGCTCATTTCATGTGGGCCTTTCCCTTCCCTTCCCTTGGGCCAAGCTGCGCCTTAAATACGACCCTGGCGTGAATAGCTTAGTAAGTATACAAAATAACAGAACAATAATAAAATGAATTACTTTAACATTTGATTAAATTTGATTAGCGACAAAATTAATTAATTGATGCCTCAATTTTTTGTTTAAATAATAAATTCTAAGACAAGACTAACAATGAGCTGTTTGTCAAAGATCAAACATAGTCAAAATTAAGGATTCTTAATTCTAAGTGACAAAATAAAGACAAAAAAAAATTGTATATTATATAAAATAAAACTTTTTAACTGATATTTTATAACACATTTAAACGCATGCGTAGTGAGACAAACACATAATTATATCACATTTTTTTCTTAGTTCATAATCTTATGAGAATTTGATTCAATTACTTTTTTTACCTTATTTTAATAACCGTTAAAACTTTTGGTTGTTTAATCTGTTTCTGTACTATTTATCGATTCTTGTTTAGATTAACAACTTTAAAGAAAAAAAAGATTAAATGTTATTGAAACTGTAATAGTTGAAAATAACAAATGTTACTAAGAACCTAGGTAACTAGGACTTATCATAATCAGTTAAATTTATCATTGTACTGAACAAGGACGTATAAAATAAACCTTTTTTTATACGTCCATGGTACTGAAGTTTGATTTATTGAACTGGCCGTACAAGTTTCAATAGCGTCAACTTTCGAAATTAAGAAAGATCTCCACTAACTTATTTCCATGACCTGTCATGGTCAGTTAAGAATAAAATATGTTTTTCGGGATATTTACTTTTAAGAGCGGACGCGAGCTGAGAGATATTTGAGAAATAGGTATTTGAAAAAACTATTGCTGCCACGCATTGACAAATACCGTGCGATACGAAATTTGCAAAATTCGAGGTTTGGTTTTCAACGGTTTCCTCCTGAAATTAGATATATGTACCTAAAAGAAATTTTTACTCATGGAAGAATAAGTAGTTATACTAGACCTTGTTTTTATTCTAAATGCTTATTGTATCTCCATACTAGAGGTTTTTAGCGGTGATAAAAAAAAAGATTTTCGTCATTTTTGAGTGCTTCTAGTTTCTTTGCAACATTAATTATCGAAAAAAGGAACACATAGGAGCATAGAATGAGTAAATTTATATTTTATGTATGATAATCATTCTTTGCGTGATAAATATCAAGGAGCAATTTGTCGAGAACGTTTGTATGGAAAAAACACTGCCCGCCTCCTCTTTTAAATACCAATATTAACTTATCGTGTTTGCGATAACTTCAAGGCCCTCCTAAAGTTGTTATGTTAATTATTAAACGTTGTTTATATCAAATGTTGGCTCCTGATGTGGCGTTTGAGACTACATTTTCCCCCGAACCTCGACCCACAGTGATCACATTCCACATACATTTTTGCATGTTTTATTAGTACATGCACTCTCAGTGTTGCCTGGCTTTTAAACACCTTATCGCATATTTCACACGGAACCGGACGTTTCCCTTTACACCCCTTAGATTTATGACGTTTCAGTTCAGAATCTGAATAGAAAGGTTTTATACAAAGGTTACAATAGCGACTTTCCAAATGCTCTCTATATATATGACTGCGCAGAAGACATTTCACGGCAAACTTATCGCCGCAGTAATGGCATTCGAATTTTTCCTCCGTGCTATGGACGAGGCCGTGGTGCTTATTCAGCTTCGCAACGCTTCTGTACTTTCTCCAACAAATCCGGCATTCGTGTTTAGCTTCGAAGTGCACAACGCGATGTGAATTCAATCGACCATAACTCGGGAGTTTGACGCGACAAATGTCACACTGGACGCATCCGACCGATTTGTGTTTCTCCAATTCGCTTCTCGAACAGAACCGTTTCGTACAATCGTCACATTTGATGTCCATATGGCACAGCACGATGTGTTTGTATGTATTCATCTTGTTGGTGAACCTTGCGGAGCAAACATCGCACTCGTATTTGTCTACACGGACATGCTTGGCATTGCGATGTCTTTCCAGCGGGTGCCGATCGTAGAATCTCATGCCGCAGTCGGCGCAGCGGTACTGCTTGGAGACCTTCACGTGATGTCTCATATGCGTCACCAGATTCATTTTGAACGTAGTCTTGTAGTGGCAGTGGTCGCAATGGAAAGTCGCGGCTGTGCCGGTGTGATTATGCTTAATGTGGACGGCGAGTTGGTTTTTGAGAGCGAAACATTTGGAGCATATGTCGCATTGGAATTTCTTTTCGCAGGTATGGACGGCGATATGGTGTTTCCGGACCTCGTCGGCGTTGTAGAAGGGCTTCCCGCAGACATGGCAGGAATGTTTCTTCAGGGCGATATGTCGTTTCTCATGGGCTATCTTGCCGCTAGCGTCGCTGAATCTCATTCCGCAGAAGGCGCAAGCGTAGGGCTTGACTCCGGAGTGCGTTCGCTCGTGCCGCTTGTGAGCGGAGGGGTCGCTGAAGGCCTTGCCGCAGTACGAGCACTCGTAGGGCTTCAGCCCGGTGTGGATGCGGCGATGGTTCTCCATATTGCTCCGCGCGTGGAATTGTCTCCCGCAAACGTCGCAGGCGAAATTTTTCACGCCCGCGTGCCGTTCCAAGTGCAATTTCAAAGATCCGGGCTGCGAGAACTTCCTGTCGCACAGATGACACGAATAGGGCTTCTCCCCGGTGTGGATCCGTCTGTGGATGTCCAGACTGTTCGCGTATTTGAACTGTTTCCCGCAGTCCTGACATGCGACCGGCTCCCGTTTCGCTTGTATTTTCCACAGTCTTTTTTCTTTTTTCGTTTTAATTTTCGTGGGAGATTTCACGACTAGTTCCGCTTTCAATCTCGGTCCTCTCGGCTGCGATCGCTCCGGTGAACGTTCGTTTTTGGGAGGACCGTTGTGATCCATCGCCGTGCCCCAGTATTCGTTTTTCAAGGCGCGCTGCTTTCGTGATGTCAGTTTGTTGAATTCTTCCTTAAACGTGGCCGGATGAACTAACTCTTTGTGCATGAGAAGATCCGATTTGAGGTAAAACCCGATACCGCAAAAGCAGTTGTGCGGGAACGGATCGTGAAAAGCCATATGCATTTTCAGTGTACTCTCCAGTACAAATTTCCTGTCACATTTGTCGCATTCATATCGCTTGACAAATTGGTCATTCAAAACATCACTATCCCTAAAAAAAGTAATATTATTTACAATATTTTCATTCTAATAGACAAATATTATAAAGTTCGAGGTTATAGTAATAATTGATTTATACTTACATTCTTTCCACATGTGATGTTAAATGTATATAATATTCTTGAATGCTATGGAAAACTGCATTACACTGCTTGCATTTTAAGCGATTTACAACCACACAAGCCGATTTCACCTAGAAATAAATATTAAAAAGAAGCATACATAATCATGGTCCAATACTTAAAGTACTTACATACATAATTTTAATACTTTAAAAAATTAAATCAAATACATTACTTATGCATTAGAGTGATACCAGACTTACATGCTCAATAAACTCTTCACTGAATCCATTCCAATTTATTTTTGAATACAATTCCTCTACAAACAACTTGGATTTGACACTGAAAAATTACAATTAATTTAACTAAATAATCACACCAGGCAAATTACAATACTATCCGACTGTACAATGAATGTAGGAAACTGATGAAACAAGGTAAGCAAAATGTACCACCTAAGTTACATTTCAGTTTTCAGTTTCTAAACTTTCAAAATGGTTTCTAGTGATTTTCCGATCATATCAATCGATAAATGAACACAAGAAAGAAATATTATTGGTAGCCTAACTTTTAGGTCACCAATGGTAATTTCCGGTGATCATTTATTATTATTCTGTGGATTATTGAAATATTATCATTTTTTCATTGCATGAAAATGTTGTTGTAAGAACGGCATACGTCGACCGAACATAGTCCTAGCAATCCATATAAACCACACAAAAAACGGCTCACATTACGCAAAATGTGTGCACAACTAGTCAGACTGTTTGAAACCAGTCAATGTGTATCTTCAACCACACATGGTACATATTTTTTGCGCAGCTTTTACAGTATCTAGGCGTGTTTAATCAAAAGAAAAGAAATATGAAACTAAAATTTGAAAGCAATTAACAGTGTGTGAGTACTCACTGAGTTTCGTCAAATGAAGGCAAATGTACATTGTCTTCCTTAGTGTTTAAAAAAGCCATATTACACTCCATATTTTGTGGTGCCATCCTATGAACAACTACATGCGCAGACTTCATCTAGAAATATAAAAAAATATAAGTATTTGAGTGATTTTGATAGGTAGTAAAAAAAAATTATCCATTCAATAAGAGAGGCCTGCTTTTATTTAATTCCTTTAATAAGAGAGTCTTGTAAAGAACTTACACTCTTTTCAATTTTATTAATTTTGGGTTATTATTTTTCAGAGAACTACCAGCCTCAGAGTAAAATAATCTTTTTCTATACGCTAATAAGTAAAAAAAACTTCTAAAGTTGAAATATTATTCCACAGAATAATCTATGGACTGGAATTAATCCTATGCAAGCTCGAGCAGTTAAGTTATACTAACTGCATTAACTGATAGTTTCAGAAGCTAGAAAAAGTCGAAACATACTCAAAACAATACAAATCATAGAGTACCTAATAGTTAAACAAACAAAGTTTATCTTAATACTTGTCTGTAACAAATTTATTACAAATCAGTTGGTTTAGAGTCCCAAAGGAATAAAATATGTCTATAGGTACATAAGAGGCACAAGCAAGAATTTTTACAGCACCGTAATCATATCATTATCATCAAATTTTGTGTGGAAGGACCCAGTTTGTTTTTATGTTTGGTCGGGGTGCTGCCTTGTTAACATAGAAACTTTGACAATGCAATACAATGCCTTTGTTCACTACACAACACAGGTTATATATAGATCTACATTTAAAAACAAAAATATTCTGCCGTCCTCAAACTAAAGTGCAGCTAAGTGACATGTTGTCGATTTTCAGCCCTAAATTGCATTTTATATGGTTTTTAATACTCTATTGATCGGTCTTTGACAACTATTTGTATCGTTTATAGTTCAAGTCTAAAAATCCGTCAGGTGCTGAATGGTTACAAAATAGCAATAATTTTAAGTTTACGAACCGTTTTTTGGCCATATCTCAAAAGTTGGTAGTGTCATTTAGCCGCGTTATAGCTTGAGGACGGCAGTATTGTTGTCTAAACATTCATGCATTACAGTTTAAAAACAAAATTACATACATGGTCAATAAACCTCTCATCCAAATTATTGCCCTCCATTGGTCATCACATTTGATGAATACAAGTAGGTATTAGTACCTGAAAATAAAAAAGAGAATTTTTAAGCAATAAATACACAACTACGTCTTCTCTATAACCTTTAAACTTACTTATTCAATAAAGGTTTATTTTAGAAACATCACATTAAAGACAGAAGATTCTTGCATAGCAAACACTTGCTCAGTGTAGCAAACCCTCAGGCCAAATAATAAGTTTTTTAGTTGTTTATTTTTATTTGGTCTGAGAGCAAACCTAAAAGTTGAAGCTTAACCCAGCATTTGGGTAGAGTGGTTCAGCAAGCAAAGTAATAATTGAAAATGATACGTTATTTTTTGGATGTCAGCACATATTTATGATATTGAGCGTGGACGCAATAATTCAATATATCTTTCTTGTGTAAAAATCAAATTAGTCCTATCGCAACTTTGATGCTCGACCAAGCAATTTTTCTTCTGCAAGCTATGATAGATATTTCGGAATGCAGACGTTAAATAAAACTTATTTATCGGCGAGTTCTATTAGTTTACTAAAATAAAAATAAAACTTATTAACTTACTTCTTTGCGCCTTTCTCACTAGATATCGTAGTTCACCAAATAAAGCTGGGTAATTGTTTACATTTTCCAAATAATGTTTTTCAGTTTCTTTTCTTCCATGGAGTTGGAATAGCACTAGTTTAAATGTGTTCTGTGGCACTAGTGCACTACCACTACCACTACCCGGCACCACCGGCAATTCCCTTGGCTATTCATATTTGCTGTTTGTAAACTTGACAACAGTCTGACCTTATCATGCTCTATAGAGAGCGAAAAGGACAGAATGTTGTCAAGTTTAATAAAATAAATAACTAATAGTCAAGTACCTGCGTGACAAAACATGTTATGCCGGCACTTCATATGGATCTATAGGAAGTGAAATGGAGACCATTGTAAAGTTCAAATCGCAAATACGATCCTGGTGAAATGTTGGCATTTGATTTTTATGAGTGCGTTCAAAACAATTTTTATAATCTCTACCAGCTACGTTTGCGGTGAGCTTAATCTATGTTTACGAATAATAACGATAATTATGCCAGCACTTCACATAGCTATTCCTGTTTGCTATTTGCAAACTTGACATCAGTCCGTCTTTTTCATTCCTCATAAAGCATAATAAGGACAGACCGTGTTGTCAAGTGTACAAACAGCCAACACGAATAGCTAATTGAAGTACCGGTATTAGTCTGTGTATTTCGCAATCGGACCGTCTCGGACGGAATTCCTTATTCATTCACAATCTTTGTTTTTGTTTCACATGACCGAGTTACTATTATGATGATGGTGCCTTGACTTTGAAAAGAAAGTTTTTCTTAATAATTATTCGCCAAACCTTTATATATTCTATACAAACGGACTAATGTAAACAAGAAATACTTAATTGGGACGCGTGCACCATATCATTGCATAGAACATGAGTGCTAAAACTAACCTTCGCTCGCTATTGATAATATTGTTTGTTTACAGTGTAAATACAGCGGCCTATGATGGTAAGAAGCTTTTGTTTATTATTTACCAATGGTCGATCACTTTCTATTTAACTAAATTTATCTTTTATCGTATATTTCTTGTCGTCAGTGCATTGGTTGGGAGGTTCTACAACAATTGATCGAGATTATCCAACTTCCAAACAAACTGTAGACATTTACTGCTACTCAGGAACTTCAAAAAGCTTGCTGGCTCTTTGGCAAACTGTAAAAGTGAGTACATTATTATAACTAGTTTGGTGCCCTTAAAAATAATAGAATTTGCATGGGGCATAACTAAAAAAGCTATTAGAAACTTGTGTAACATTACAGAGATTATATCTAAAGTGTAACATTGCCTGTTAGTATTAACTGGATACCAAGCTTAATTGTGCAAGATTAATTTTTATTGTTAGGTCTGACAAATTACTCCACCCCACCTGATGTTAATAGACTAACTTTAATTTAAACATTGCAGAGGATAAATATAGAATGCGCCAGCTGCTAGCTTTCAGGTGCAAAAAGTGAAAGTTCAACTTATTTCTTTTTGTGATTACTGCAATTTTTTGTCAGATCTTTAAGTTTTAAAATAAACCAAATCAATTAACCACTTACAAATGTTGCTCCAAAATCCTTAGCTGGTCTGATTTATGCTGATATAATGTCTGCTGAAGATGTCCCATCATGGAAATGCAAGTCATAAGCTGTAAAAAAAAACTATTTTTAAATACATCTTCTAAGTTTCATCTGGTAAAAGAAAAAGAAAAAAAAACTTAACTTTTTCTGAAGGAATTCTGAGTCTTGAGTTCTGTTTGATTTTGATTTCTTATACCTGATTATTGTAAGAAACAACATTTTTATTTATCAAAGTTTGATTTATATAGCTAGCAGAATTAAATTTAAAATTTCATATAACAAGAAAACAACCATTTTTATGTTTTTACTTAAATTGCTTTTATTTAATTTAAACAATAAGTCCGAGTCTATGAATATAAAAATAATATTAATTTAGCTTTTAAAATGGATATTTTTGGAATTTCTTATAATTTTTAGTCTCTGAAAATCAGGGAAATTTATTTAGTAGTTTAATAAGTATTTGTGCCAAGTTTCAAGTCTATTGAGGAACAGAATGAGAAAGAATAGGATATTTGATACAAACTTTCATTCCCTATGTTAAACCATTTGAGAGCGAATTTGAAAAATCTTTCTCTTTGCTCCCATAGACATACGACATGTGTGCCAAATTTGGCGTCTCTAAACCCAGTGGTTTGGGCTGTGTGATTTTCAGTCAGTCATTTTCTTGCGTTTTATATATATGTAGACCAACCATAAGAGCTTTGTTTCAGTTTCATGTTAAACTTAAGAATAATGAGTTCAGTCAGTACATTGGCAGTACGCCTGAAGAGGTGTACAAGGATTACACTGAAGACAGCTATGGCTGGTCGTCAGTCATCAGTCCGTTCCAGAGGAAATCACAAAAGACTCTCGCCTTAGAGCTTTTCACTCCTACATGCATGGCCATCAACACGAAACAGAGGCATAGTATTGAATTACAGGTCATAAGTAAGTTATTATACTACTTTTAATTACAATTCATCAGGGTATTGATTCTGCTAAGTTATCATAATAATCATATCTCAATAGTGGTTCAATAATTTTGCTATTCAACACAGTTCTTGTTACTAAGACGTCAATTCAAATGAACAAACAAATATATTTTGTAGTTTCATGTTTTCTGAACCATAATTTCTGAGAAAATCAAACTAACTCAGCAGAATCAACACCTAAGCCCTTTCTGATAGAGTCATATTAAATGAATCCTCCTTTCTGGTTTTTCACAGGAGTTGACATCTGGAAAGTGCTGTTAATGTTGCTTGGGATTATATTGATTAGTTCTGCAAAGAGCTTGAGTGGGAATCCTCTATTTTTCTACCTTTGTGGCGTATTAATCGGAGTTTTTGCCTCTTTCATGGTCTTAGTTTACTATGTCAGTAAACTCCTACCAAAGGTAAGTTTTACATATTATGTGTTTACAGTTCCTAAATCTAAATAATCAAAACCTTAATCCTAAATCAAAGAATAAAAATATCTTTTGGTGTCAGCCAAACTGACAACCTAAAAGTTTTGATGTTTACTGAATAAAATAAAATGAATATGCTATCGCCTTTAAAATGTCTACGATCTTTTTATCTGCTTACAAAAGCTTCTTGCATTATCTAGGCATTTATTCCTAAATAAAGTTCACTTAGCTTAAGTAGCTTAGCTTAGAAGCTTTATTTTTACTGATTAAAGTAATTGACTAGATTTACTGACTACAATCCAAATAAAAACTGGTTCAAAATACTGTGATAAGAGTTTTTCTTTTAGAAAACCTTAACATACGGAATCCTCATAGGCGGATGGACAGTGGGAGTGTACGTATTCCAGCAGATATGGGAGAATGTACGCACAATAGTGGCTTCATACCAGACGTATGTGTTCTGGTACACGCTGCTGGCCAGCTTCATCAGCTTCCTGGTGTGCTACCGGATAGGGCCACCGAGGAATCAACGGAGCAAGAACCTCGTCATGTGGACTCTGCAGGTAATTCATCAATTAGTAATAAAATATTAGGTTGGGGGAAAAGTTTCTTCGCATTTGATATGAAAATTCAAAACATTATTAATAAAGTTTATTTACATTTAACTAAAGTATGTAGGTGCCATTTTGTTAGTAAATTTTTTGCCATCTTGTAGGTAGGGACATTATCCCATTGCTATAGAAATTTTGGGTCTTCTGATCAAATAACCGCGACAAGTGGTTTTGGCAGTCCTCTCTTGATGTTAACTTAACACTGCCTAATGAATTCTGAAGAGACTAAAACAGGTGGAAATCTGAAGTTACAAGATCAGGACTATACGGTGGATGCATTAACACCATGTATTCATGTAGTCATGTATTCTGGTACACACTGCTGGTCAGCTTCCTGGTGTGCTACCGGATAGGGCCCCCGAGGAATAAAGCAGCAAAAACCTTGTTATGTTGACACTGCAGGCAAGTCATCAGTCTAATGTCCCCACTGTTGCAGCACACAGGCCTTATCTATAGATCCAACAATAATAAAACACAACCCTAGATTCCATATCCCAAATAAAACATAGCCGAAAACTATCCTAAAAGTTCAATGTCTGATTGCACAGCCGAAAATTAAATTAGTGACTTAACGAAGTAGTGCTTATGACGCGTTTTAGCATTAAATTTTGAGCGCTGGTGGTGCATCTAGAGGCTTTTAATTACGTTGGTGCTAATGAAACAGATGAACTCTAGCCGATGGTTTAACATAGCTTAAAATGTAAATAACTTGAACACAGCCGCTGACCAATCAGTGCGATAGTAGCTTCTTATTCTTGCAACGGGAGTTTCCGCAACTCGACGTTCTTATGGCGCCTGTTTTGCATGGGGAGGGTTTGTAGCCGGAATCATTCCAGCCAGCCGTCAGGAACGCCCTCAGGACCTTCACATTGGTGATTGCCGCGTGGAGGTTTCCCGGTGAGCCGAGGTATTCGGCTCTCCGTTGCATTCCAGCAGAACGAGAATAGCTAATTGTTCTGCCTCCATGCATTCTCTGCATAGGGGACTGTCCGTGACACCTAAGTTAAAATGATGTCTGTTAAAATATGCATGTCCTGTAATAGCACCTGCAGACCTGTCTTTCCCAGTGGGCACCGTGATCGATAGGGGCCCACTTCAGATCAAATACAAAGTCCCTAGTTCCTGTTAAATCACCAAACGGGGGTCATACCCGTCAACCCTTTATCCTAATATGCCCAGGGCCTTCAATAGGCCGTGTTAGAATCCCTAACGGGGACCCTGCGGCTCCGCACTTAGCAGTGTAGAAGGTATTCGCAGGACTTTTTTAGCGGATATTATGCTGTAAAGCGCCCGTAAGAGTTGCGGGGTTCTCGGTGAGGTCCGTTCGGCGGTGTGCCTCTTAAAGGCACCGTCGTCTGTAAAAAGATTTTTTACCTGCGTTATAAAAAAAAGGGCTTTCAATAGGCCAAAGAAGGTACTGAGCACATGTTACCATGCGCAATGTAGGTTTGCTTAGCTGTAGAAGTCTTGGAGAGGGCAGTGTTCACCCGTGTTCACCAGTGTTCACCAGTGTTCACCAAGCAAAGCTTGGTGTGCCTGCACGTCTCAAAATCGAGCCAGTGTTGCTGGTGTAGTGTGGCTGTGTGCTCGCGGATTTTATTGACGAGATAGCTTACCGGCATCGGGATCTGTTGGGGTCGTATCGGATCCTTTCCGGGCCAGCTCATCCGCAGCGATAGCAGCTTAACTTTCATAAAAGCAGCCTGAACCAAAGTCAATGATGATGGTCGTTAAGAATCAATAAATATAAATATTTAAGAAGTTTTTCTTGACTGAAATACACCGTTTAATTACAGGCAGTCGGTGTCCTAATGATATTCTTCAGTAGCGAGTACCAAGAAGCAGCTGCGTCAGTCATAGTCATGACATTGACTGTCAAATACTTTCCAGACTGGCTGCTTCACAGGATACAAGGATTCTGGTATGTGTTTCATCTTTTTTCTTTGTTGCCAAAATATCAAATATATTCTAATCAATGGGTAACTAAAGCAGTGATATTCTGTTTATTATTCATTACATAATTAAGGTATTTTGTGGGTTAGTTAAAAAATTCAAGTATATAGTAATTGAAGTGAAGTTTTAAACTGCCACACACTAATAGTATGACGTCACTTATGACAGGGTGGCCAGCATCATTACAAAATTGTTCAATTATTAAACACAATTTAAAATAAATCAGAGATTTTTTTTAAATAACTTATATTTCTATAATGAACAGATATTATAGAAATATAAGTTATTTTCGGGATTGTTACCATGTTGCTACCAGCTTGATTTTGGCGAGTTTCGGATATTACGGCTCTGTTGCAAGCGCCATGATCACGGAGTAACTGAAGTAGTTGCGGGTAGGCTAGAGTTGGCAGACATACCGGTCTACCCTCCGATGAAGTCTTTTATTGCGTTCGATACCCTTAGCACTGTTCACATTCTCACTATTCACTCGAAACTATTCTTGACACACAACACTTACAGTATCGGATCGCGACACGACACTTTTTTGATTATTTCCGGTTTTACACATATGAACCACAGGATTCCAGACACTCGACAATGTAAACCCGTCCTCACGATTGAAATTTTTAAGTTCTGTTATTTCAATCGCATCCCGTAAATAACTTTTTTTTCCTCAATGGCTTCGCACGGCTTGTGCATTTAGCCAATGTCAAGTGTTAAAAATGTTTACAAATTCTATAGCACTCGTGGTCAAAGTATTATATCAAGTCAAAGTAAGTGGCAGTCAAGTCAATCTCCCTTTCCCTGTGTTTCAGTAAATGTGTGGCTATTTACTGGAACCTCCCCGTGGACTTCTTGAGGGAACGTCGAAAGACACTTTCCGCTATTTTGTTTTACTTGCCAACACTTGTGCATGTTCCCGAACACTTAGTGGTTAATAATCCACCATTATTAGACACTAACATCCTCCACAACACAATTTTTAACAAGAAAAACCAAACTGCTAAAGTGACGCTTCCCGATCCCGCCAAAAAGTCCGTAAATAACTTTTATTACTATTGGTGATAGCGATCGTTGCGGGTTCGAGTCCCGTCTGCTACCTGGTCCTTGGGTTTTTTCTCTAGTAATATAGTAATATTCTCTTTAGACTTAACATATTATGTTGTGTACAACGATATTAAATAACCTAGATACACCACGGGCGCTTTAAATGTGTCCCAATCAAGAAGTGCTTGAACACAACTCAAGCACTTCTTGGTTCACAGTAAAGCGCAGACCGTTGAAAAGTCAACATGTCGCAGAGCTCCGTAAAAAAATGCGAAAAAAATGCTTATAGTATGTTATAGTTTCGTTTTTTGACAGGTTAGGTACCTGTATCAATGTTTGTCAAGTAAAAGCATTTGAAGCTAATTTTGTTCTAACACTTACTATAAACTGATTTAATAGAAAATATTTATAATATTAAAATGCATGGTCGGTAATATAGCTGTCTCTTTTCCTCGCGGTCCGTACCTGCTATTTTGCTAACAGCGAATTCAGAATTGGGCGTAGAGTCAAAGAAATAAGGTCTATATTCTTCCGCATATAGCAATAAGTGGCGCCGCATATAGCAATCTCTTTGACGCATGCTTTTTAATAAAAACGTTATACAGTATGTAATAAAGGTGGCTTTTAATGTTGTCATAATGTTTTATATTGTTCTTGACTATGCGATCATCTTACGGAGCTCCGTGGATCATCCAATGTACCTTTTGGTCAGGTTTCGGCCACGATTTTGTTCGTGTTGTATCTATGGTATTTAATATTGTTGGTTGTCTATCACCAAATAACTGGTGTAGTAATTGGGCATTCCAAGCGAAGCGGACAGGTAAAAAAACTCGATGTTTCCGATTTCAGTAATATTTGAGTATGTTCTACTTATACTTATTATTGATACTGGGACCAAATATTTTTGTGATATAATGGCTAGTTAAAGAGTAACTTTGAAGTTTTCGACAACCGGTTGGCATGCAGTACTTCAAAGCCGATTATGGACTCATAAAATGCACTGACCAATTATGCTACCGCGGCCCTCACGGACCGCGTCGAAATTCCTCTACACAGTTAAAAAGCCCAGTAAATAATCCAGTGGTTTAGTTATTTTAATATATAATTTTATGAGTCCATAATCGGCTTTGAAGTACTGCATACCAACCGGTTGTCGAAAACTTCAAAGTCCCATTACTCTTTAACTAGTCATTATATCACAAAAATATTTGGTACTCGTATCAATAATAAGTATAAGTAGAACATACTCAAATATTACTGAAATCGGAAACATCGTATTTTTTTATCTCTCCGCTTCACGTGGAATGCCCCAATAGTAAATAAAAGGGATGATGACTAATTTTTTTTCTTCCTTTATCAGGTAGATTATCAAAAAGTATTGGACACGTATTTTTTCTTTTTTCACATAACATAAACATTGCAGAGATATATTGATTTGAAAAGTCGCATGACGTCACGTTTGAGTACACTTATAAGGGAAAATTCACTCAAAAGTGACGTCACGAGCCCCTACTCCCAAACTTTGATGCGCTATAACTATGTCATTTTTTGGTTGATTGCCCAAAGAAAAAATACGTGTCCATTATTTTTTGATCATCTAACTGACGGACTAAATAGAATTTCGTTTATTGTACCCCGTCATCACCCCTATTGTCTAGGCGTAGTCGGTTTCCCCCGAAGCCGCGTCTCCTGTCCAACGAGGAATACTACGAGCAAGGCGCTCGTGAAACTAAACGCGCGTTAGAAGAACTGCGGAAACACTGCGCCAGCCCCGACTGCGCTCAGTGGCGGGTCATGCTCAAACTCAACGACTCCAAGAGGTCAGTATACATATACAAAGAAAGAAAAACATTTTTTTTACCCCCATTACACAATAATAATAATAATTTATTTTCCTTTACAATAGCCTTCTTAACAAAATGATCGATTGGAGTCTCCATTTAAGCAAATATTGCCTGTGTTTGGAGGCTCCGCTCTTCCTTAACTAATAATGTGATTTACAAACTCCAGTATGGTTACAGTGAATGAACAAATGAACATGCAAAAAACAAAAAGAAAGAATGAACTAAAATAAAACAAAATAATAAACAGACGATCTACACTGAAAATAATCTTAGGATCATTAAATCCCATTAATAGGACTTAAAGCTAAGCAAAAGTATTTGCAATTAAGAAAGGTTATGCAGATGTTGTGTGCCATGTTGCGCGTGTGTTTGTGTCTTTATGTGTGTATGTGTGATTAATCTACTATATAAAAATAAGTCGGGTTTTCCTTCCTGACGCTATAACTCCAGAACGCACGAACCGATTTCCACGGTTTTGCATTCGTTGGAAAGGTCTCGGGCTCCGTGAGGTTTATAGCAAAGAAAATTCAGGAAAAATTAAAAAAAAAACTTTTTTTAATCACCAAACGAAATGTTACATAAAACGAAGCCATCTGGTGGCGAAACGGAGTTCGCCGGGTTTGCTAGTTTTATATATTGTTTTATGTCATTTATGAAATACGTTACAGTAGAGATTCAGTTTCTTCATACGTTCGAGGCTGAATCCATTTAATTAAAAGGCTCTTACACTCGTGATGATTTTTGTCATATATGTTTATTTCTTTATTTATTTTATTATATAAGATGACCGAACGCGAGTTAAATTGCCTACAATAAATCGTAAAAAAGAAAAAAATGGTAATAACAGTGATAATAAGGGTCAACCAGGACCCTGTCTCAGCTGAGCTGGTGCAACGATGGAAAATTCGTTTAGTAATTTGGTCATAACTTCGTCAATTTGTTGTAGAATAAAAATGTAACCACTGTATTTTATAGAGCCCTTAGCTCTATAAATCTGTATTCTCAACTAATGGTCCGATCAAAATAGACATTGAAGGTTACATTAATACGCACCTAACTAAAAATTTGCATGAATGTTGGGAACCCTATTACCACGGTAATAATATCATACAGTATTCTATCTTCATACAAACGGTCGGAAAGCGAGTCATACCTACGCCACTCGAGTTCGATGTGCTCTCGGCGGGCACCCAGTCGCGAATGCGCCGCCGCGCCGCAACGACGACCGAACGGTCAGAATTGTTTTTTATGCAGTTAGCCGTGCTTAAACATGCGTTTTGTATTGTAAATATTTGATTTAATTAAGTAGATACCTACATAATTTAGTATGGAAAAGAACAAACGACGATCAATATCGTACAACAGCACAATTGCTGTTTTTGGTTGCTTGAACTCTTCAACAACACACCCAGAAATATCATTTTTTAAATTACCTGAAATATTGGAAAGGTGTCTTACCTTTATAGAATATTTTTTTATATATCTATCTACTAGTACGTAATTTGTTTCTAATATCTAGGTATTTCAGTTTTTCCATCGGGCAAAATATCTGGAATAATATATAAATAAGTGGTTAGGATGAAAAAAGAGACAAACGAGTAATCTACCTACACTCGCGTTAAAAACAAAACTACATAAACTACTGTAGGCTGGCGGCCCTACCGCGTGCTCACGCAGCGCTCGGTGTAGGCATTTATTTTCAAGGACAGGGCGGAGTCACAATACTGTATAGATAATATTACCGTGCTATTACACACAATTTATCAATTATCCACATGAATCAAACGTGTGGAAAATAAAATATTCAAGGTCAAATGTTGCAAAAACGTTTTTTTTTTAATTTTCCAGCTAAATAAAAATAGGCGAGACAAAAATCATTCATCATGCAATTATCTATAAAAATTGTATTTACACTTTTTTTTTTCTAAAGAATCACCATTTCGGAGATATAGCGATGGAAAAAGTTGTATTCTTCATTTATGGGCCGATTATATTAGATTATATATGGGGACATTAATGGGCCGATGATGAACTAAAAATTTAAATCTCTTTATAATATCCTTAAATCGCTGATACAAATATTTTCTCCTCCAGGATTTGAACCCAGGACCACAGGGACAGAACTCAAATCACTCACACCACGGATCTTGTTAATCATGATTTATTGAATGTTAACTTTATTAATTAACTTAATTTAGATATATAGGTACTATTCAAATTAACTATTAATTTTAGGTGTAACTGTGTCTTTTTAGTAAGAAAATAATATTATCACAGGTTCGCGAGTTTCGTAGAGGGCAACTCTCATCTGAGCGACGATGAAATACTAGACTATGAATCGTACGCGTTCTCTATGGAAAACGCGCGGAAACCAAACCGTCACTCGACCAGAGACAACAACATGGAGATATCCGACGACGACTCCTCGGACGATGACGAAATATAGATGAGACTGACTCCATAGTCTATGTATAGGGAACTAGTCTTAGGTGCAGTCAACTTAAGTCATGGCTGGACCACCGTTAAAACGATTTTCCATTGTGTGACCGATTCCTTGAACAAGGGACGCCCCGCATTTTTGTTCTTCTTCGCAAATCATAATCTACACAATGAAAAAGAGGACCCTGAGTTCAATTTAAGTTTAGAAAACCATGTCAGAACCGGGCCTATTAGACAACAAAGATCCCATTGCATCCCATAAATGATTAAGTTCTTGTTCTGAGATGCCATTAGTTTGTTGTTAGTACGTCAAAAACTTAACGTTAGACACACTACAAATATCGCCTTTACTGCAACGTAATACAAGCGTTGTCCGTGTCAAACTTTTTGTATTTACTAATAAGTCTTTAGAATACCACATCGTACAATGAAAACTACTAATGTTACCGTGCTTTTTTAACTCTGTCATTGACAGAATCATTGTGCATAACAATGGGGCCATATTACCTAAAGCGGAAGTGGATGTTTTTAGACTGATGGTCAGGTGCTTAATTTAGGACCAAATTCCTCGAATATTGTAAAATCTGGGAACCAATTCCTCGAATATTGTAAAATCTGTGACCCAATTCCTCGAATATTGTAAAATCTAAGATCCATTTCCTCGAATATTGTTAAATCTGAGACCCAATTCCTCGAATATTGTTAAATCTAGGACCCAATTCCTCGAATTTTGTTAAATCTGAGACCCAATTCCTCGAGTATTGTTATATCTAGGACCCAATTCCTCGAATATTGTTAAATCTCTCGCATGCAGTAATATCGAAAATTCCACTTTCATAAGAGCATAGCAATGAATTTTCTAACTTTAACAGGAGTTATTGCTACACTGATCTTTGTAATTAGAAGTCATAGTTCTTAACTGACGAACACTCGAATTTAAGCAGCGAAGAAATTATGTGATGAGGTCATTTTGTGATGTTATTTTTATTTATTATTCATAATTAGGTATAACATCAACTCAGTCAAGTTTTTACCATTAAAAATATTACAATAAAAAGAGAGTAGTTATGGAATAAGATAGGTATATACTTGAAAAAAAAATCCACGCGGACCAGGCAGCGGACGGGACTCGAACCCGCATCCTTCGCTATCCGGTCGAATGCACTGACCATTATGCTACCACGGCCCTATTAGCCGCGTCGAAATTTTCCTAGCCTTAAGCTGCAAGGCAGCGCCATCTCTTCGCATTGTAGGTAACCCACAATGTCAAATGAATACTTTTTCAAGTATTAAACATTTGAAAGAAGAAATAGCAATTATAGTTATGATTTTAATTTATTTTTTAAGCATTTAACTGCTAGATGTTTAAATCTAAAGAAAAGTTTACTAGAATAAAAATAGATTTAAACATCTAGCAGTTAAATGCTTAAAAATAAATTAAAATCATAGGTATATACTTTTTAAATAATCGTGGACAGCAATACAACAATTACATGTTTATGTTATTTAATTTGTATTAAAGAAGACTTCAAATTTGTATCGATATGACGTGTAATGCCCTTAATAGGGATGATGACTAATTTTTTTTCTTCATTTATCAGGTAGATTATCAAAAAGTATTGGACGCGTATATTTTTTCTTTTTTCACATAATATAAACATTGCAGAGATATATTGATTTGAAAAGTCGCATGACGTACGTTTGAGTACAGTTTTAAGTGAAAATTCACTAGAAAGTGACGTCACGAGCCCCTACTCCCAAACTTTGACGCGCTATAACTTTGTCATTTTTTGGTTGATTGTCCAAAGAAAAAAATACGTGTCCATTATTTTTTGATCATCTAACTGACGGACTTAATAGAATTTCATTTACTGTACCCCGTCATCACCCCTATTGTTAATCGTTTGACAAAAACTAGAATTTATTTAATCCCCGTTTTTTTTAAAATAATAATGATGATATTTAATAACATAAGCGATTGGCAAATGGCAAGTTTATTTATGTATTGTTTGATGTCAAAGCATAAATTATTATATTCTATTCTATAGATAACTAAAGCAGTGATGACTAGGTATTCTGTTCATTTCTCATTATATTATTATGACTTTTGTAGGTATTTTATTTCAATAAGACTATCATAAATTGCTATAATAATTTCACCACGATTTCACGAATACTATGCATGATAGGACTGATTGACATTTGACATAGTGATCGAGTTGACATTATGAGCTGCCATAGACTAAAAATATGACGTGTCGATGGACTGGTGGTCAGAATCCTTACGAAATTGTTCAATTTCCAAACACGACTTAAAATTAATCGGGGATAAGTAAAAAAAATGGTTGCCTGTAAAGTCGGTTTTACGGGCGAAGATTTTACGTGACAACGTCTTTTTCTCGGTAGAATATTTATTGATATGAATATAATTAAATTGCACAATAGGAACAAGGAATTGAATGAAAATAAGAATTGCACAAATTTTAACTATAGAAATATATTTTGTTTACTAAAACATTGTACATGTAAACTTAAACTTAACACGAGAGACTCATCGTAACGTTACCGAGCGTTACACTTTTTCATAAGTGACTCCCAGCCGCAACCTAATTTAAGACGTTGTCACGTCAAAATATTACTAGAGTCTGTGCGGAAAGAGAATGGGATTTAGATTGGAGGGCGCTGTAGCTTTTCTACCGTATTTGTAAGGTTTTACCCCTTTTAGACATGATTTAATACAAAAAACCGCAAGAAATCACAACAACAAACAAATCCGTATCAATACAACACTGACGTTTTACAGATTGCTGGGTTTGATTGCCAAATAAAAATCTTAATGTTATGATTTCATTTATTTTTTAAGCATTTAACTGCTAGATGTTTAAATCTAAAGAAAAGTTTACTAGAGAAAAATCCACGCGGACCAGGCAGCGGACGGGACTCGAACCCGCATCCTTCGCTATCCGGGCGAATGCACTGACCATTATGCTACCACGGCCCTATTAGCCGCGTCGAAATTTTCCTAGCCTTAAGCTGCAAGGCAGCGCCATCTCTTCGCATTGTAGGTAACCCACAATGTCAAATGAATACTTTTTCAAGTATTAAACATTTGAAAGAAGAAATAGCAATTATAGTTATGATTTTATTTATTTTTTAAGCATTTAACTGCTAGATGTTTAAATCTAAAGAAAAGTTTACTAGAAAAAAATCCACGCGGACCAGGCAGCGGACGGGACTCGAACCCGCATCCTTCGCATTTCTATTTCCGCACGGACTCTTATCTGTTCATATTATACAATTAAACAAATGATAGCTTTCAAATGATATATGCTTCATCGCTGCCAGAAACCGACTAGCACTTTTGAACTGTCTCCATTACAAACTTGGTATGCTTGTGGGTACTTTAATAACTTTACTTATATTAACTGAACGCTGAATCTGCCTATTAATTACATTTGTAATTTTTAATCTCATTAGTTCATAGTAAATAGGTAAGTGATTTTGTGAAATATTTATGTATACTTTGATGTCGATTCTGGCATGATTCTCTAAAGCTAAACTTAAATTTGACAACAGTGCATCTTTGTCCTTCTCTATACAGAATGAAAAGGTGAGACTGATGTTAAATTTAGTTTTAAGTTTAGAGAATCACGCCAGAATCGGCACCTTTATGTAAATAAAATTATCGCTAGTCGATTATAGTACCGATAACTACTTATCTATATACTAGCAAAGCAGTGAACCAAATGTTCACCAAAACCTGATTTAAAAAAAAAATGTATTTAATTAATTGAGAACTTCGGAGATTTTGTGTGGTTTCGTTTGAAATTCGTGATTTCTCGAAAACCGGAAGTGCTACGTTACTCAAATCCGGTTTGTAGTCTTATCAGACTATTCTTAACTTATAACTTAAATATTCTCTTTATCTATCTCTTACGGCTTGGCCGCTGAAACTTATCAGACTATTCTTAACTTATAACTTAAATATTCTCTTTATCTATCTCTTACGGCTTGGCCGCTGAAACAGCACCACAGACAGACGGACGGACGAACTTGTCTAATAGATAAGAGATTATCAGGTAGGTATTACAGATACTTATTCAATAATGCTTTGGAAAACCTTTTAATACTCAATACTTATCTCAGAAATAAGCTTTGTTCATGTCAACACTATGCACATGGCTTTTTTGTAAACTTGACAAGTCTCTCAAGTAAAACAGTTTGAATCTTATCATCTGTACTCACAACAAGATCTAAAGCATTGACAGAGTTTAAATTAAAATGTCTGGTATTATCTTAAAGGACAATGTTAAAATTGGCCTAAGAACCAACACCAATTTGGCATTTATGATAATTCTTAGTATATTTTTTGCGATAATTATCAGTATTTAGATTGTGACGGACACTTCCAGTTAAATAAGCTAAATTAAAAAGTTAAAAAATAATCTGAGACAATAAATACCATTTTATGTGTATAATCTATGGCAGCGCTGCAAACAAAACACTCTTTCTTCCTAATGCCGGCACTTCACTTGGCTATTCGTATTTGCTATTTTGAAACATGACATCAGTCTGTCCTTTTCATTCCTTATTAAGCATGACAAGGACAAACTGTTGTCAAGTGAAGGGCCGGCATAAAACTGTTACTCTGTGGTTGTGGTGCATGCAGTTTGCATTCGTAGTAATCTGTGGCATTCATGCATTCCAAAGAGTAGTATAATAACCGGAAAGTGCATTCTCGTTTCGGATTACCTGTTGTGTGTGGTTATTTGCGATTGTTTTTCCTTTAATTTAACTATTTCGGCTATCTAATATGCCATCGATGTAACCAAAAAGCAGAGCCCTTATTACCAAGTGCTAGTGAACCTGTGCTACAACATCCTGAGAGGATCATACTGCTAAATTATTCAAGAACACCTGATACACATTCACGCTGCATATTTACACAATATACATGTGATATACAAATAAATACAATAAACAATATGATACAATTATGTGAAAAATAGTCAATATATAAGAAGCAAAACTACAGTTTTTGTTTTATTCATGATTTCTACCAAACCAAGTTTTTCGTAATAGTTATTCTTTAAAATCGCACCGAATAAAATGAATTAGTTGTAATATTAATTAATTCACTTCATACTGAGTTCATACTAAATTCATAGGTTATATGTTTATTTATACCTATGTTTCATTGAATATTAAACATAACCTCAAAAAAGTTTTAGTTTTCCTAATAATTTAAGTTCTCTGAAAGTGTCCGTCAATAATCTTTGTTTTTACAGTCATTTACTTACGATTTTGAACCTAGAAAATAATATTTCATGATTGTTGGTTCTTAGGCTAACTATGTATGGACGCTGAACAATGTCCTTTACATAAGGATCCTGAAGCAGCAGGTGGTTAGCGCGTTCGGCTGCGATCGTTTGAAGTTGAGCAACTTTCGCAGTGGTCGGTCATTGGATGGGTGACCAAAAATCTTCTATCTTGAGTTCCTCCGTGCTTCGAACGTTAAGCCGTTGGTCCCGGCTGCATCTGCAGTCATTAGCACCCGCCAATCCGCACTGGGCCCGCGTGGTGGGTCATGGCCGAACCTCCCTATTCCATCCATAAGGAAGGCCTGTGCCTCAGCAGTGGAGACATTAATAGGCTGATGATGATGATGAAATATGAATATGAATGAAACAACACTGCCTAATGCGGCCCCATATGTCATTTGCAGATATTTATAAATTCAATATTGATGCCAATTCTGGCGTGATTCTCTAAACTTAAAACTAAATTTAACATCAGTCTCTCCTTTTCATTCTGTATAGAGAACGACAAGGATATACTGCTGTCAAATTTAAGTTTAGGTTTAGAGAATCATGCTAGAATCGACACCACTATCACATTTACTGTACCTAACTAAGATATAGGTAACTGACTGTGTATAATATTAGACTGAATAGATAGTGGATTGAAACAAAATATTACTTGTTAGTAATAATTTAATTAATACTTCTCACATGTAAATAATATTTTTATACTATACGTAACATTAATACATTTTGATTGATTGTTATAAAAAATAAAGCACCATTTAATAATTGTATGAAAACATTTTCTCTTAACATAAATAAGTGCACTTACGATAAAAAGTTTGTGTCATGTGTTAAGTAATTATGTTAAGTTCCTAATTAATTGTGGTTTTAATAAATAAACGTGTTCAAGTTTTCTTAGATTTGTTTCATTTGGTTTTATCTTTAATGTTCAAAAGTTTTTATTTTCATTGCAAATGAGATCCTCACTGGATTTAAATTGTTTGAAATGACCCTTTTACAGGTCGATCCCATCTATCCTTAGTAAGGGATAGCTTTGTGAGCTACTTTATGGCTTATTTGCACATTTATTTTAAATATTTGTCAATTAACAATGTTCTAAGGAAGTTCGGAATATTAAGAACTGCTGTATGTATCTGATTGGATTACACAGTTCATCAGTGATTCCTTAACAAGGAGATTCCAAAACTGAGTTATTTGAAATTTAGATCTATTGGTAGATTTGGCAGTGATATTTAGAGAACTGTACATTTCGTTTCTGTTGGGTTTTTTGTTTGGCGATCGAAATAGACCCATTACGGATTGCGTTTATATCTCAACGATGAAGTTAAATGCAAGTACTGTCACTCAGAAAGAGGCTTTTTTTAGTACAATAGGGTATTTGAAAAGTTTTAGAAAACGATCTCACGTTATTGACTAATGTTTATGGAGTCCTTAAAAAGTGGATATTCATCATTCTGTTGTGTATTTCAGTAGAAATAACCAAATCAAAAACTCCATTTTCATGTTGCCGCGAAAACGTTTCTTTGGACAAGATGGCGTCTCACTGGTGTGTGACGTCACACGACTGTTATTTAAACGTCAAACGATACAATGTAATGTCACTTTATTATCTTTTTCGTGGGGTTTTAGTAAAATTATGAATAGTTTTTCTGTAAAAATAGTGAAATTTCCTGCCAATATTCATTCTAAACACAGATGCTAACAATTGGCACTTTATTTTTAATACTGTCAAATACCCTATTGTATTTCATTTCGCCCAGTAATATTTCGTTCTTTCCTCTCAGTAAAATTCATTATAATTTAACTGTCAATACCAGTGTTGGGCAGTTGCTTACGGTTAAAATTAGTATTTTTTACATATCATCTTATGCTGGATTTGAATCGTTTTATGATTTTTAATAAATGCATTGATTCACTGCCTTAAATAATAACAAAATTATGTCAGATCTTTTTGTAGTCACTAAAGATATTTTGGCAACACAACCTTCAAATAGGGTAAGTGGGTATTTAATAAAATTGAACTGGCAACTACCCTACACACCGAATCATTTCGTCAAAACACTTGTTAGGAATTAGTATCCGAAATACGGATACACAGTTGAGTTAGTATCATTATTATGGCACGTTCGTTTAGCGTCTGGGTGTTGAGGAGTTAGGACTTGGCGCGGCTCGCCTTCTTGCTCTTGTCGCGCACTTCGCCCGGCGTCGGGGGCCGCGCCGACATATAACGACTGTATAACCTGCAGAAATACATATTATCAATATAATCAGACTAAATATAATGCGATTCAAATAAGAATAGGAAAGTCAATGACCTCCATCTGTCAAATGTCGCTTGAAAAGTACGGCTTGCAAAAAAATCTTGGAACCTTTGTTGAGCAATCAGCTAATTATGGAATAAAAACCAAACATTTGTAAACAAACAATAATAAATATTGTTAATTAATATTTGTTGATATTTTATTTTCATTTATTGAGCTTTGGCTATGAATGTTTGACAACCTAAATCGTCAACCAAATGTCACTTTAACTTGCTTTCAGAAACTCGATTTAAAACTTTGGTTTACATATAGGATGCATGTTCGTATGTGACCTAGTAATAGTGCATGATTATTCATAACTACTCCGGCGGTAATGCAGAGATGAGCGGAATTGAAGAGCTTAATTCTGTTTAATGTTTTTTCTCGCACAGTCTTAATAAATAAATATTATTAAAAATCGGTTATTTTCTTTGCTCAATTTTAGTAAATAAATTTTATTAAAAAAATCGGATGTTTTTCTCACTTAATCTTAGTACTTAAATAAGTTTTATTAAATAAAAACTTTTTTGCTCACTCTACCTTTTTCTTTGAATTGACAGCTATAACGTCACAATATGGCGCCCCGTCGATCCTATTCTTAGTTGAATCGCATTATATGAGGATATATTGTTTTAAACTTTCATGGTCACTAACATTATAGCTTATAACGGGATGGTTACCATGAACCTAGTTTTTTGAGTCTCCGACGTCAGGGGGTAGACCTATATGTCTGCCCGTAATTACTTCTCTCTAACTCGTCGTGATCATGGCGCTTGCAACAGTGCCGAAATATCGGAGACTCATAAAAAACAAAGTGCATGGTAACAATCCCGTAAATAGCTATAATATATAGAAAGAGCTCGGTGGCGCAAGTTAGCGGTTAGCGTGTTCGGCTGTGATCGTTGAAGTTAAGCAACTTTCGCAGTGGTCGATCATTGGATGGGTGACCAAAAATTTATTATCACGAGCTCCTCCGTGCTTTAAACGGCACGTTAAGCCGGTGGTCCCGGCTGCATCTGCAGTAGTTAGCACCCACCAATCCGCACTGGGTCCGCGTGGTGGGTCATGGCCCAATCTGCCTATTCCATCCAAACCGAAGGCCTGCGCCCCATGAACATGTCTTATTTTTTCTTACAAGGGGGTGGGAGGTGTGTGTTTAATAGTTCATACGTAAGATCACCAAAATGCATAAATTAAAGATTTTAGTTTGAAAAATAGTTTCTTACTAGCAAAATAATTAAAATTACTAGCACCTCTAAAAAGGTACAAAAATATTGAAAAATATAAGTACTTAGAAAATAAACATTAGAATAAATCAAACATGTAGATATTCATTTATTCCTTAAGAGCCCTTTCACATTTCTTGCAAAATATCGTAATTTTTAAGCGCCTCGTTTACCCCCTTAGAAAACATTTTGACTATTTCCAATAGAAGTAAACAGTAGATTTATTCTTCCTATTGTAAGTTAATATTTTTATAATATAAAATATTTGCAAATACTATTTACCTTTTTTGTACTGATCGTTCTACCGCTGCTAGTTTACGGAAAAGACGATGATATTATGCACAACTTCGACGACCTCCGTGGCCGAGTGGTTTGTACGCCGGGTTTCATGGTGTCGCCGACTCGAGAGGTCCCGGGTTCGAATCCCGGTGGGGGCAGATGTTTGTGTGATGAACACGAGCATTTGTACTCCAGTCATGGATGTTTAATATGTATTTCTATATAAATATACTAATATATGTACAGTATATGTATTTTATCCGTTACTCTAGCACAGTGGTTCTCAAACTTTTTAAATGACGGAACCCTTTTGGGAAGCAAAATACTTGATGGAACCCTACAATAAAACAATTATTTTTATAAGTGTATTCTATATTAATCAGCATAATAAAAGTACAATGTATCCGTTACTAATTATTATTTACTTCACCACTTGGTAAGGACAATAATAGAAAACATTAAAAAAGAAAAAATCTAACTAGTGGGAGGTATGAAACTGTTTTTTATTTTTCATCAATTGCTTGATATCAGGTTTGATGGAAGAAAGTTGGAGTCTCATATCAGCTTCGGCGTCCAGTCTATTGCGATATTTTGTTTTCGTGGCTGCGTAGGTAGAGAATCCTGTTTCGCACAAATATGTAGTTGGGAACGGGAGAAGAATATCCAGAGCCATTTGGCCAAGCATTGCATATTCATCTTGGATTCTGCACCAAAAATCATTAAGAGGCGTCGTTTTGAACAATGACTCCATACTTGTGTCTGATGACATTTCTAAAAGAGATTCATATATCTCATTTGACATGTTTTCAGGCTTTTCCAAGTTGGGTAAAAAAGGATTATGAATCCAGGAGTTCACTTTAATTTTTGTATTGTGTTCTTCGGGAAAATACTTTTCAAAAGATGCGCGCATCGAACTGAGATATTGGACCAATTCTTCAAACACATTATCTTCAAACATTTCTGAGTCGTTTTCGCTAACAAACTCAGTGAGTAACGTAAAACTTTCTATTTCTTTCTTACCAATGCAAATGATCCAAAAATCTAATTTTCTTTTAAAAGTAGTTATTTTATTATAGGCCTGAAACACTGTTGTCTGTTTACCTTGCAATGATAAATTTAATTCGTTAAGTTTTTGAAAGATATCCGCCATAAAAGACAATCGGAACAACCAAGTTTTATCATACAAACGGTCCTTCAAATTAAAAGAAGTATCTGCTGAAAGAAACATTTGTAACTCGGCTCTAAGTTCAAATAGCCTTGTTAAAGTTTTTCCCCGAGACAGCCATCGCACTTCTGTATGGAGCAGCAGTGTTTTATGTTTGCTGCCATAATCTTCACACAATAATGAGAACAATCGGGATTGTAGTGGTCGTGATTTGATAAAATTAATTATTTTTACCGCTTCATCCATAACTAATTTTAGATTAGACGGCATTTGCTTCATCGCAAGTGCTTGTCTATGCAGAATACAATGACTGGAACTACAATTAGGCGCTTTATTTTTCATTCGTGACACTGCTCCTGCTGTTTTACCTGTCATCGCCTTGGCCCCATCTGTACAAATGTCAATGCAATTGTTCCAACTGAGATTATGTTCTTCAAAAAATATATTTATTTTATTAAAAATTTCTTCCCCGGTAGTGTTTGTAAGCAGCGATGAACACATAAGCATGTCTTCTTCAAAAGAACTTTTATATGGATATCTCACAATAACCAGCAGGATAGCCAAACCAGCGACATCAGTCGACTCGTCCATTTGCAAAGCGAATCGTGTATTTTGTAGACGTGTAACTAGTTCTTGTTTGACGTAGCTTGCCAGATCATGGATTCGTCGTGAAACAGTATCGTTTGATAGCGGAACAGTAGAAAGATGCTTTGCAGATTTTTCATCAAGCATACATTTTGTTATGTCTAATACACATGGTTTTATTAATTTCTCAGCGATAGTGTGCGCTTCACCTGCTTGTGCAATGCGATAGCTAACTAAGTATGATGCCTCCGTGGCCTTTTCGTTGGTAGTTTGTGTTACATGCATCATATTTTTTTGACTTTCTAATAACTGATCTTTTTTGCGAACAAAAAATTCTTTATTCTTGTCTTTAGTCTCGGGGTGTACGGTTTCTAAATGTCGACGCAATTTGGCAGGTGCCATGGAACTATTAGGAAGCAGTTTACTACAGAGCATGCAGAGAGGTGAGCCGTTGGAATCAACAAATCCGAAACTGATATAAGATTCATCATACTTCCTTTTTTTCGTCTTTGAAACCGTCGAGCTTGACGTCGTGGCACTCGTGGCATCATCTTCTGGATCGGTGATTGCTAAATTCTCCGCGCGCATTGCTTTTGAACATTCAGCGTCATTAGAAGATGTTGTTGGAACACGTTTAACACCTTTAAGCCAACGTTCCATTCTTCTTTATTTATAATGTTACAAGTCAGGATAGTGGGGTTTAAATAATGCACAATCGTTACTGCGTATAAGAGACTAAATTTAGAACCTACAGGGAAGAAATGTATAAAACTGAGACAACAGAATACAGCAGGCAGTAAAACAATGAACACCAGTTTCTCGCTAGCGAGCTTGTAAGTAGGTAGTAACTTATCGCTCCGAACGCTAATCATCAACTGACGACGCCAACGCGCGATCGCCGCTTTTATACTTAGTCCTAGACTCGATCTCAAATATTCTCGAAAATACTCGAGTCGGCACCTTTGATAAACAAAAAGCAAAAATAAAAACAGAAATTTAAAAATAGCGTTGTAAACAATATCGACTTTATCCTTTGAAGTTAGAGACGAAAGTCGCTAGTTGACAACTATAGCGTCTAATTCAGAGGCGGCTTTTATCAAAGAGACTGAGCGCTTACAAGTATACCTACCCGCTCGTTTTAAGTTTGCCGCTGGCGATAGGTATGAGTGTATGACGTTCGAAATTTTTTATTTAATTGTAACAATAAAAATTGTGTACGTTAGATATTTGGGTAAAACTATGACACATTATAAGTTTTGTTGTCACGTGGGGGAGGGTACGCGCATTCCACAGACCGGCAAACTTAGAGCGAACGCGTTGTACAAGTATAAAATTGTTGAGACCAAACTTATGAGATATTGTACCAGCTAATGTAACACAAGCTTATACAAATACAAATAAATAAATAAATAACATTCATAGCGTTTTGTCTCCGCGCGGCCGCGGAGTCCGCACAGCCGCGGAGCGACCAGAGAGAGGTGTTTTGATTTTTTTATTTCTAAATTCTTGCGGAACCCCGACAGAGGTATCACGGAACCCTAGGGTTCCGCGGAACACACTTAGAGTATAGCTGCTCTAGCATTCCATAACACAAGCCTTATAGTGCTTACTTTGGGGCTAGGCTAATTGGTGTGAGTGTCGGAAATATTTATTTATATTTATTTAACTTCAAACGCCTAATTCTCTAAATAATGTTCAATAAATTAGATCAAATTAATTACTACGACATCAGAAATATGTTTTTGTTGTAACATAATGTGTTAGAATTTTGATTTTGTATCTCATTAATTATCAAAACAAACATCTAACCTCCGTGAGTTTTCCCATAAAACAATGCAGGTTTACCTCGTATTTTGATATTGAATTAAATAGAATTACTATCAAAAACTTTCATAAAACTAATCTACCATCATTGAACTACTGAAATATGTATATATTTTTATAATTAGTTCATTAATAATTATTTTATAAGACTCGAAACATCACCCGTAAAATGCAATATATACTAGTGCAAATCTAGCTACGCGCCAGGGGAGGGAGTGAAAAACTAGCGAAAATAATCTTACATAATAAATGAATGGCCCCCTACAGTATGTTTTGTTTTGCTGGAACAAGTAAAACCCTTATATGCGGCACCCAGTAGTTGATCTATCTATATCTATAGACACACGATTTATAGACCATCATCTACAGATATCTACTCACACACGGTAGGTCTCGGAGCGCAGATAGTCGAGCACGTGGGAGGGATCCAGTTTGATCTGGTCCTCGATGTGAGGCACCCAGTAGTTGATCTATCTATATCTATAGACACACGATTTATAGACCATCATCTACAGATATCTACTCACACACGGTAGGTCTCGGAGCGCAGATAGTCGAGCACGTGGGAGGGATCCAGTTTGATCTGGTCCTCGATGTGAGGCACCCAGTAGTTGATCTATCTATATCTATAGACACACGATTTATAGACCATCATCTACAGATATCTACTCACACACGGTAGGTCTCGGAGCGCAGATAGTCGAGCACGTGGGAGGGACCCAGTTTGATCTGGTCCTCGATGTGAGGCACCCAGTAGTTGATATCCAAACGCAGTACAGACTTGTTGCTCGCTAAGTCCAAATTGCCTGCGAAGGAATTATGTTTATTTATGAGTGTACAACTGTGGATAATATATAGTGGGCAATAATAATTTATAATGAAATGGAACGCAACAAATATAAAATAGAAGCACAGGGTCATATACATGCATATATCTACACAAATACCATATAAGTATATTACACATGAATGATACATACATATCAAACAATAAATATGAATACATACAGGTTCTAATAAGTGTCCTTTTGCATTTTAAGTAAATAATCCTTAAATTTATATTTAAAAGTACGTATCGTCAAAGACGTAAGAGGCAGACCCCTCTTTCCCAGTGGGCACTTTGGGCTAGTGCCCAGGGCACCGCGATGGATAGGGGCCTCCCTCAGATCAAATACAAAGTCCCTAGTTCCTGTCACATCACCAAACGATAACCAATATTTATAACCAAAAAACTTACATAATTCGATGAAATCGAACCTAAATTACTGGCTACAATACCAAATTACTAGCTTTGACATAAGCGATATTCTACTGTCGCCCAAAAATTAGGCTTTCCGACTTCAGCATGCTTAGATAAATTTAAATATACATATAATGGCATATACTAAGCATATACACATTTTAAAGCAAAATCAACAGTAGTACACTCAACAGTATGACTCGCTCCATTTCAAGTCATAATTCACATCAAAGTCATAGGGGCCCCATTATCCTAATATGCCCAGGCCTCTGATAGGTTAAAGACGGCCCTGGTAAGAGGTATATATATTACACACACATGCTATTTTACTGATGATACAAAAATCTATATGAAAGTTGAATCATATGATGACTGTTTGAAATTGCAAGAAGATCTGGACCGACTTTCAGAGTATTACATAAGAAATAGGATAACAGTTAATACGGCAAAATGCGTGCATATTATGTTTACAAGACGCAAAAATCCTGTTCTGTGCAATTACAAACTTAATAATGAAGTAGTGACTCAAGTGAATGTTGTGAGGGATCTAGGGGTAACTTTGGATTCAAAATTAACATTCGCCGATCATTTTAACGATATAACCACCAGGGCTTATAAAAATTTAGGATTTATTTTCAGAGTTACGAAAGATTTCAAGGACGCTGCTTGCATGAAAGTATTATATTATGCTTATGTTCAAAGTACTCTTGAGTACTGTAGCACCGTGTGGAATCCACAGTACATAACACACGAACACGCCATTGAACGAATACAAATGAAATTCGTAAAATATTTAAACTTGTCAAAAATGAATCCAATGGTTATGGGGAGTCATGTAGCATATACGGTCTCATTACTCTTGGTGACAGGCGACGCATGCGGGACATGATGACTTTGTTCGATGTATGTTCTGGAGTACTGGACTGCACCGAGTTGATAAATAGAATAGTTTCCTTAAAGGCTCCTACAAAAAGAACACGCCACACGCAACTTTTTCATGTACCATCTGTGCGTACAAATTACGAGGCTAACGATATGACGGTAAGGTTGCCAAAAACGTACAACAAGTACTTCTCTGATATCGACCTGTTCTCTTTGTCGAGAGCTGCTTTTAAAACGACATTATTTGAAATTATAACCGCAAGACCCAAATAAGCTTTTGTTATTATTTATTTTATTATTATTATTCATACAATTTATTTGAATTTTTATTTTTATTTATAATTATCAATTCGTATTCTCAATAATATGAAAAATGACTGCACTGCATTTTACGGCTTAAATAATTTTCCCTGACATTTGTTTTGTTTCAATTTCAATTTAATTTATTTATTTAATTTTATTCTTAGCGCCATGTAGGCCTACAATTACAAGCACTCACACTGAAGTACCTACTTGAATGATGTAGTGCCCGGGTTGCGGCGTCCGCCATCTCGTTACCAGGCATAGCATTGCAGCTGCATGGACACACACACACACACACACACAAACACACATACATACGCGCACACACACCCACTCACACTTCATAAGGTTATCATGTGACAAACTCTTGAAAACCTTTTTATATGGATATTCAGTGTTTGATTTTCTTCTTTTTTGTCTTTTTGTTATGTTTATGTCCAATCTTAATTTTATTTTATTTTTATGTTAATGGATTATATGATTTTTATGCAATTTTTAAAATTACATTAATTTAAGTGTAATAATTACTGACATATAATAACGCCGTTAATATCTAATGTGTACGTAATGAGTTTCTGTAATTGGCTTTAAGATTATATCTATATTTTATTGTATTAAATTTCACAAAAACCGCTGTAGAAACTTTGTTAAAGATAAATAAATAAATAAAGAAGAATAAACTAGTAAGGTAATAAAATTTAATTTAAATACAAGCAAGGGGGTCGTCCTATAATCACGTGATGTTCTTAAGTAACTACACCTTACGATAATTCGTGATTTTTCTGAAACCCTACTCCTTTGTCGTGCCTCACTTGATTAATGGACTTTATTATGTGATGCCAATTATTATTATTAAGACGGGTCAATATAAAAAATACGTGTGCATATTACCAATTTCCGGCGGCAGTACAACGAGCCGGTTGGCCTGCAGGTGCAGCTCGCGCAGCCGCGTCAGCTGCCCCACCTCACGCGGCAACTCCTTCAAGTCGTTCTCACGCAGGGACAACTGATATGATAACACCGATACGTGAAAACACATCCTATAGTTATGATCAAAAATCTAATAAAATGAGAAAAATAACCGGCTAATTGCAAGTCGGACTCGCACATGAAGGATTCCGGACCATTGTCTATACAACATTAGTCACTATAATGATATCGAGCAAAAACAGAGAAACAAAAAATAACAATTTTATATTTATTTTATTCTGTTCTAAGTATTTGTCATTATAGCAGCAAATGATCATCTGCGTAAATTTTGACAAACAGGCAGACCGTCAATCGACAATGTCAGTCACATTTTGTATTGGTTAGGTCAAGATATTGCCTGGAAACAATAGTAATTATGTCTGCAGTAAGTAATTATGTTTTACTATTTACATTTAAAAAAAATCTTTAATGTGAAATTAATTGTGTTATTAAAGTATTTTAGATTATTGTATAAACCTATTTTAAATTGTTTCACCATTTTGAGACAAAAATAAATATATTATAGGTACTTTTCCACTTACAATTTGTAAATTCTTCAAGTTTCCAATTTCAGGTGGTAAATATTCAAAATCATTGTCACCTAAATACAATGCTCGTAGACTTTCTGTGAACAAGATTTTTTATAATAAAGAGTGTTACCTATCTTTTCATACATCCAGTAGGTTACCATATTTATAAGTAAAGTACCTTAAAACATTACTTTTTTTAATAAATTATGAATCTAATATTCAAGGAAGGTAAACTTCAAAGTTAGTTCATAAAATGGTTTGTTATTAATATTAAACCTTAATTGTCTGTTCATTGAAGAATGTATAACATGAGTATCTTTTTTGCCTACTTTTAATTGCAATACACTAATTAAATAAGAAAGTTTATAAAATATATATGTTTTCATATGATTCAGAATGCACAATCCTCATTTATATATTTTTTTGTAAAATAGTATACAAACCCATCATGAAGAAATTTCCTGGAAGCGTTTTTTCATTAAGGTTATTGTAAGTCAAGTCCAAAATCTCCAGAACTGGGAAGGCACCAAAGCCTCTAGGGAGACCGTACAATCTGTTGAGCGATACATTTAGGATACGGAGCTTCGGCAAGGAAGATAAACTGAGAGGCAGCTCTTCTATCTGGTTGTTAGCAAGGTTCAGAATCTCCAAGTTCATCAAATTTGCTAAAGCAGCAGGCACAGTGTGTATCTTGTTATGGCTTAGTGATAAACGGGTGATGTTTGCCAAACTGACTGTAAACAAAGTAAGGAAAATTGCTAGTTATATATTAGTTTGTTTTCAAGAAAATAATCATTTACCACTCTATAAGAATATTAGGCAAATAAATGAACTATGGTTTTAATTTCCTTGATTATTTTTAGCTATGGAATCACAACATAAGGCAAAATTATGTCATGGTAAAGTGGCATGTACAGCATTCACACCATCCAAGTTACCACTGATAAATGTTCTCAATACATTATGAGCCTTATAAGTGTACAATAAAGCTCAAAGTCAGTCGGAGAAATTTGACAGAAATGAGGAAACTAGACCTGCCGTTTTCTGTACCTTTAAAAAAGTTAGAAAAAGAACTATTCCTAGAAATTCTTAGTAAATAGAATACACAAATTTTAAACTAGTTGAATTGTCATACGTAAGATTGAAGAGTTACTAGTGTAAAACGTATTCATTTCAATCTTTCTTCATTTTATGAATTCAAAAAACTTGTTTACCAAGTTATGTACAAAAAAGGACAAAACAAGAACTTACACAATCCTGGAACCTCCTCGAGGTTAGTTATCCCTTTATCTACCAAATCAATTTCGGGATTATTTATTTCTTTGGCTTCTTCGATCACTTTTTTAGCTTTAGACATTTTGGTTGTATTAGGAATACAGGATACTGGAGGTTGATGACTCATAACCGCACACAGCTGTTTCTTTTCTTGTTGGTACACAGTTGACTTTGACAGCAGTCTATCCTTATCATACGCTATAGAAATAAAGAGGAGAGACTACATGATCCCACAAATGGGCTAGAAATAATAATCTCATATATTTTATTCATTCATAACTTAGATTTTTGTAAGTTATGTTATGAATAATAAAATATATCAAATGAAGGTATATTAATAAAAAATAAAATATCAAGAGCGTTATAAAAAAAGGGAAGGCTCATCCACTCAAAGTTGCGGTTGCGTTCTGTACATAGACTAGCATAGAGTATACTAGTATACTAGTTAGTTAGAGACACTCAGTGTTACCAACCCTTACCAAAATTTTCCCCTAAGTATTTTTTAAATTCCCCTAAAATCCCCGAATTTTATATGTACTTACTTATTACTTAAATTCTTTCGTTACTCCAAAAAAAAAAACCTTACATATTTAGTTACAGTAAATTATTTTATTGTATAAATACAGTTTCCGAAAGGAAAATCAAATGAAACTGAGCTGACAGGCTGTTCAATCTTATTTGGCTGTTTTGATTGGTGGAATAAAGTCGTTAGGTTTTTAACAACTGAAAAAAAACACGCTTTATTTTTCGATTTAATTGAAAGTTTTGTTAAAAGCCCCTAAAGAACCCCCAAAAAATTCCGGCCTCTAAAAAAGTCCCTTTTAATACTTCTAGCCCCTAAATCTGGGGGCAAAACCCCTAAGTTGGGAACCGTGGAGATACTACGTATCATCCACCATATTGACACATCCGATGTTACCATTGATTGAGGATACCGGTTACCACAACTATGTGAAAATTAAGAAAAAAAAGTTGCGATGATTTAAGAGGTTCATCAAGGACATTTGTTTACGGAATATAATTTTACAAATAAGAGGTTTTAGTAATAATTCACCAGATTTAATAAGAACTCGGGAATATTAAATAATTAAATTGACTCTTTTCAATCAAAGTCATTAAATTCTATTTTAAGTAGATGCCTACAGCATATTATATTTGCGTAGTGTTTTTTACTAAAGGTTTTATTAAACATTATGGTTAATTTTATATATAATTATGTAAATTGCCCCTTTATATAAATTGTTCATCTTGGATTCGATTTCAGAGTAGCTTTAACGTACAAACTAATTCATAGATAATCTTTCAATTCTTATAATACATATAAACGTCTGTCAAGATTATCCAGATTTCATATTATTAGTGTTGTCAAAAAATTTATGAAACAAAATGCTTACTTATATTATTATGTAATGAGTAAAAAAAATACTTTTCAGAACAAGTAATCTGGCCTTAAAATAAAGCAGCGAATAGGCTACTACTGCTCCTTAAAGAGCGAGAGAGAGAGATTTATAAGATAGCCACCCAGAAGTCCAACGAAAGGTCAATTGAGGTCATACCTACCTACTTGGCTTCACCTAAAGGTACTGAGTTTGGCCTCCAGTTTAAACTATAACTTCATGGTTATAAACCGTTTTAATCTTGACATTTTGCCAGTAATGTTGCCAGTGTAAACAAAAAATGTTGCTCTTTAATTACTTAAAATTCTTCCACAAAAAATAGTGAATTATTAACCTTAAAAACTTTCCTGGTTTCTTTCTATTCACCCCGCAATTGCTATACACCCCGTTTTACGGTACTATATTTAATCGTTACTTAAGTATACAATGGTGTACATTCTGACATGATTCTCTAAATATAAACTTAAATTTGACAATAATGTATCCTTGTCATTTTTATACAGAATTAAAATGAGAGAAGATAAATTTTAATTTAAGTTTAGAGAATCATGCCGAAGTCGACACCAATGTAAAAACCGAGAGACGGGGTTGCTAAATCGGGATAACGGGATAAAAAAGCAAAAATCGATAGATCTCCCGATTAATCGGGAACTTTTGCATCATTGGTTTAACATTTTAGGTTTAGATTTTGCTCAGAATTTTGTAAATAATTTTAAACTATTTCGCTTTATGTTTCTCTTTGTTTGTTGGTGTCGGTCATCCTTGTTTATAGATTTTAATTGTGTTTCATTCTATGGTTTTATGTAAAAAGTTATATTTTTATTTTGCTTTTTAACTGCTTTTTTTATTTATTTTTTTGTGATATTTGAACAAATGTACATTAAAAAAACCTTACATATTAGGAAAACCAAGAAAACTAATAAAAAAATACCTCAAAAATCTTTATTATCGAAATACAAATAAGTAAAATAAAAAAGAAATGGGTGCGTGTACTTATGTAGGCGCGTGAGAAGTTATCCTTCTTTGGCATCGTTTAAAATTAGTTTTTAATTGCATGCAAATAATTAATTACAATAAATTAATAAAAAGTCTGGAAAAGGACACAAGTTCAGTTTTAATTTGAAAAAATAAATAAATAATCAAAATATTCAATTAAAATCGCTACTGAATATAATTTATTAGAACATATGTGATTTGCACTTGTATGAAACTCAAACACGTATTCCGAATATACAAACTAGAAACATGTGGATAAATATTATAAATATGAATACCTATAACTGTTACTTTATTACAAAAAATAAAGATGTGGTTTTTGGTTCTACTACACCAATGGTCAAGAGATGGCGCTGTAGTCTCCTGAATCGCGCTTTGGTTCCGTTGTTCCAGATTAATAAATACTTTTGATAGGCTTTCACAATGCAGTCGTTAGCACCCACTAAATAGAGATTCTATTTCTATTTTGTTGGTAGATTTTCTTAATGTGCGGTAAACACAAAAGTAACGCATGAAGTTGGTCGCTAAAGCGACCAACTTCATGCTGTTAAAATTTTGTGTTACAGTGATGCGCGCGCATCTTAAAATTTCACTCTCATCATTTTTTCATAACGCGCCTAAAGAAGTATAACTTCAAAAACTAAAGACTAGGCTGTATGGAGATTATTTCCCTTGTCTTCCCAGAAAAGAGAGAACTTAAAAAAATCATAATAAAGGGTGTATTCCGTAATATTAACCAGTAAACTGGCCTCTAATGACGTCATGGATCGACGCTATACTGATGAATTGTTTCGAAATATACTGGCCAGTGCACTGACGTCATAAATCGACGAAATATTAAAAATGGTGCGAATAAAGAAGATTTTTTATTCACCTCATCAATTAAAAGGAATTCTTTTTGTTCGGATGCCATTATTGTTATATATATAAAAAAGAAATAAAATTTGAATGCATCTCACGCACGCTCGGTCATACTGTTTGTCTATAAAGTCGTGACATTAATGTTTGAGGAACTAACATTATTCATGTGTCTGGCAACACCAAACTTATGTACATCAGCTGTCACCGAGTTCAGTTGTGGAACAGCTTTCCTTTTGTATTTTTGAAGTTATACTTCTTTAGGAGCGTTCTGAAAAATTGTTGAGAGTGAAATTTTAAGATGCGCGCGCATCATGTAACACAAAAAATTAACAGCATGAAGTTGGTCGCTTTAGCGACTCAAACATATACAAAATATTCGGAATACGTGTTTGAGTTTCATACAAGTGCAAATCACATTTGTTCTAATAAATTATATTCAGTAGCGATTTTAATTGAATATTTTGATTATTTATTTATTTTTTCAAATTAAAACTGAACTTTATTGACTGTGTCCTTTTCCAGACTTTTTATTAATTTATTGTAATTAATTATTTGCATGCAATTAAAAACTAATTTTAAACGATGCCAAAGAAGGATAACTTCTCACGCGCCTACATAAGTACACGCACCCATTTTTTTTATTGTTTGGATTAAAATGTAATAAATTAAGACGAAACTACGCAGAAAGGTATAAAAATGAGTAAAGTAAATCGGAGTGGCACGCGGGAAGTGATTTTTAATGTTTCCCAGCGATGTTTCGAAGACTACCAAGCTGGACGTGGGATTTTGTGGGATTTGGATGATGTTTATGGGCGAACAGCATCTATAACGGGTATGTAATCGTGTAACTATTTGTTTGTAATCTGCCTGAAGTTACAAATTTACTCAATTTACGATTTTGAGACCAAAAAAGGCATTGTTTACATTACACATTTTTAGGTTAGATTGACATTGTAAATAGGTAATATTGTAGTACGACCATTTCTTTTGATACGTTATTATGGTTCAACTCGGTCAGGTTTTCTTCCAATTTTGAATTAATTGCTTCATGTCAATAAGTTATTGTTTCTATTCTGTTACATATTTTTTTACTTTTTTTCAGGAAAATCAGAGAGTCGGATAGTCAACGAAGGTTTTAAGAATGATGGAAAGTTTGATACTTCTGGGAAAACAGGCAAGGCTGACCAAGGAAAGAAATGATCACATAAAGAACCATGGCCAGATGCTTTTAGTGAAGATACCTATCACTAATTTTACTAACTGCACATTTACAAATTGTTTCTCTAAATAAACTTTTTATATACTATAAAATGATTTTTAGTATTATTTTCTTAACAAGTGTGTTAAAAAACGTCGTATGATGATACTTGTGTGTATTGATGATTACCTAACGGCTCTGGTCTCGATGGCACCTCAGCGGTTATCACCAACATTACACACTTTTACACTATAAAGTACTATTTTATCTATAATAATTTTACTCTGATTCAATTAAATATGCTTGGCTAAACTTTTTATAAGCATAGGTACCTACTATATGTAAAACAGAAACAAAATACGACTGTGAATAGTGTGTCTTATTAATTACCTATTTTACTTGAATGAACTGCTAGTATCAAAATCATTTTGGTCAGACTGTACAGGGTTGCTACATGCATACTAGTGGGGCCATCATTCACGACTTTATAGACAGACTGTACGTCGTATTCGTTTTCCCGGTACGGTAAAAATATGGAAGCATACCAGTACAATATGGCGTCGGGTTCGTGACATCATTACTTACCACTGGCCATTATACTGACGTATATTTCGGAATACACCCAAAAATATTTTTGATCGACCCCTGTTTTACCAAAAGTTGACTGAAAATATTCAATTATGTCTCGTTTACAAGCATGCAGAGTATGCTTGGCACATCATAGCCGTATGTATTCAATATTGAATGGGCCACTTCAAGAGTTTTATGAAAATATCACTGAAATTCCGGTAAGATCTCTCGTCCCTAATTGCCACAATAGTGGTCTCAATAATTCGTCTAATTAATTATGCTTTGCGGCTCTTTTAACCCGGCGTCAGCACAGTCAAAATATGCAACAACGACAGTAGGGTTGGGTCGAGAGGACCCGTATAAGAAAACGCTATAATTACAAAAGTTAAAATAAATTTGGTTTGTGGTTGTACTATCTGTATAAAACGATTATCGTTATAGGTTTTGAGTAGAGAAAAACACAACACGATACGAAACTATCTTTTTAATGTCATTTTCATAAAAGTGTCACAAAATATTAACAAAATGGACAACCTCTGTCTTAAAGTAATATTTTTTTAACAAAACAAACTTTTTTCTATAACATAAACTAATTTGTTACATGTTAATCAAATCTTTAGTAGACTAATAATATTATACTATTTGTATCCGTCTCATACGTCAGTCATAGTATCCTTATCATCTGCGCAATCTCGGCAGTACAACATTGCATGCTCACTGCAGATGTATTTGCATATACAGCTCCGAAAAGTATTATTAGTTTTTCTATCTTTTTTGGCAGAACAGTCTTGGCATCTCTTACATAAAGTATCTTCACAGGTGGTATTCTCATCAAGTACCTACTCCTAAAAACTCTCTTATTCTTTTGCGCATAAGTCTTGGCAACTGAATGACATCTTCACGATTGCGCAAATGCTCACGAACCAGTATAAGGCTTAAGTTTCTTTAGAAATTGCCGTTGCTTTGACATAGTGTTGTTATTCTTGTTATATGTACGCATTTATTCCAGACATATTTAGCATGCCAAAAATAACAAAATAAACAATATAAAACAACAAAAAAAAAATTTTAACGGCGCAAAATTACGACACCAATAGTATGGTTGGGTCATATTTACCTTTTTCGTGTTTGGCCGTGTCTATCACTCGCTGCGGCCGCAACACGAAAGAATGGCGATATCCCACGTGGAAGGGGAACTATTAGCTCCAGCTACTGAGAAGTTTGGCAAAGTCGCACAAACATTTTAAGAAACACGCTCATTTGAAAATAGACCCAACTGTGTGAACGCCGGGTTAAATCTAAATTAAATAATGGTGATGGTGATCAAAGTGGTTTAGGAAACCTAAATGTAATTTTTGGACAAAACGGTAACTATATTATCAGCACACTATGATGGCCGTTTCGACGTGTGCCCAAGAAGTCTCGAAATTCGTTCCTTATTGAAAGAAATATTTATTGTTCTTCATTGTCATTAGAGAAGTGCAATTAGTCATAAAATTTAATGTTTCAGTAATTTAGTGCTTAAAATAAAAATTTACAAAACTGTTTTTTTTTTGTCTAACCTATATACCTGAAAAGCTCTGAAAGGTAAGTATGCTCTACCTCATTCAAGAGCTTGGGTGTTCAAATGCTAGCAGATGTTTATAATTTTCATTATTTAAGTATCAATTATCTGTATAAAGACACTTAACGGGCATTTAAAAGCAGTTAGGTGGATTATGAATAATATTAATTGATTTTAAGAACTTGATGATATTACACAATTACTTTAGTCCTTATAAAAATAGTAAAAATATTGTCTACTATATAATGTATCATTATTGTATGTGATTTTAGCTTGTAATCGGTGACATATGGCCCACATGCATGTGCTACATTTGCTACCATATGATGAGAAAATTCAAAAAGTTTATAGATAAATCTCTAAAGGCTAACGAGCTCCTGTTGCAACTCATCAGTTCCGAGTCTGAGGTATTATTTTTTTAAAACCTACAATCATTTCATTACAAAGTGTATGTTTTATGAACAAACAAATCAAATACAAATCACAGACTAAAGTTAAACCTGGACTAAAACTGATGCTGTCACTTTTGTTTGCTGTAATTTTAGTCTGCATCTCGGAACAAATGAAATTTTCAGAAAAATATTTCATAATGGTTTATTGCTTCCACTTTTTGCGTGTCTGCAAATATTGTTTAGTACTCCTAAATAACATTAACAAAGTTTTTCTACAAAATGTGGAATTAAGTAATTTTTGATTTAAAAACCTGATGCTTTTCTAACTATACCAAAAAAAAGGTTCAATATAATTTTTAGGCTAACTGGAGTTTAAGTTTAGTTACTTTTTTGTAATAAGTCTAAGTGTAATTAATCATGGAAAAATTTGTTTACATAATTTATGTGAGGTTTTTTTTATAGATCACCATGGACACACTAAATTTGATTGTGAATCGACAACCTGATATCGCTTTGAACTTTTCTGTGTCACCGATGGAGAGTATAATGCTTATAGATCCAGAAGAGGTTAATCTGGAGGCTACTTTCAAGGTTGAGGAAGTGAAGTCTGAATCAGAATTTGAGGACATGCAGCATCAAAGTGAAACAGGTATTTATTTGTAAATTAGTTCTATCATATGTAAGGTGTCGAGTGGTCAACATACTATAATGTCAGGGAGAATAAGGGAAGCTCAAGTCTTTGATTTTATACACCTTAGATACAGCATTAACTGCGCAGATGCAGCACAAATATATCTACTACATATGGTAGATATGCCCGTGCCTACTCACCCACACATTGACTGCTTTAGTACAATCTGACATTAGAGTCACGCACACATCGCGTGAAACACAAGCCGTTTTCTTTGTTTGATTATTTGGATTGCCCACACACAATGACAAAACAAATAATTTTTCACTGGATAAGATCATGTCATAATAGTCCAGTCAATGAAGGCCTAACTTTGCCATTTTGAGTTGATCACCTGCAACCAACGCAAAAATTTCCGCAAGGGTTCGTAGATTAATATACTAAAATTGCAGGGTGCTGCATTGACGGCAAAGGGTGAAAAAAAAATGCGAAATGGTGCAAAAACGAGTTTTTCATCAATATCTCTCGCGACTGGCTGGAAAAATAGAAAAAGTTTCTAGTACAAAGTTGTAGAAAATTTAATTTCCTACAAAAAAGGTATCAACATATTTTCATTAGTTTTTGCACAAAATGCATTTAAAGGTGCAAAATAAAAAAAGAAGATCCGTTCCGACCCGTAGGGTCAAATTCAACAAATAACCACTTACTGAAACATTTAAGGATGAGTTTTCGGCAGTCCACTGAAATGAAAATTGTCTACCGAAATGGTAAAAAAATGACCACCGAAATGATACAGCCAAGAACATCGCCTTTGTAGTAGAAGGGTTCCCTATTTTGAATTTAAATAAATTTCCTTATTCTTTGTAAATATTTTTGTTCATTATTTTTTAATAGGAATTATTAATGAAGAATTAATTAATTGTTACTCCTATTAATTATTATTACTAATTATAATTATTAATATGTACATTTTCAAAATAATGAACAAAGTGCGTTTAGAAAGCGAGAAGTTTATTAGTTAGTAAATCGCCCCATAGTGCCAAAACCGATTATCTGCACTTTTCCGCTACTGAACTTTTATAATACCAATCGACCCGTCTCATTAAGCCGCATCTACAGGTAAAACCCATTATGCTCTACGACGCATACTTCCTGAAATAGCTAATGAATAAACAGAATAACTGCAAATTATTTCCAAAATTCCTGATTTAAAACCTGATAAACCCATTCAAAACACTTAATTTTGTAAATGTATTACCGCTGAAACCAAGTTTCCGATTTAAACTCATTTTTCATGTAGACACTTAGAGTAAATATACTGTGAGTATCTACAGGATATTTACTCTGGTTTTATATATATTACTTTTCTCTATTTTATATTGGCTTTGACTGTTGTTGAATTGACTGTTTGAATTTCACCAGATATTTTAATTTTACTAGATGAAGTAAAAACTAACAAATCTGTCGCTTTTTCCAAAAAAATATATATAATATGTTATATTTGAGGCAAGTAAAAGAGGATGGACCGAATCGATCGACAGGTGACCTTCCAGCGTACGTGACATATATCTGGGTTGAGGCTATCGATAAGCGAGGTGAGTCTTTGGCTATCAGCCTTAATATCGCCAAGGCTTTAATAGGGTCTGGCACATAAGTCTTCTCTCCAAGCTTCCTGGATACGGTCTGCCTCCTCAGTTCTGTGCCTGAGTGGCTGACTTCCTGCATGAGCGTCAACGGACGGTGACGGATGTAATTCGCAGTTCATGTCAGTGAATGCCGGTGTTTCTCAGGACTCCGTCCTATCCCCTACACTCTTTATGCTGCATTCAATGATTTAATTCCTCTTGAGAATATTCATTGATATGCAGACGATAATACAGTGCATGCGGGATATTTTGGATACGCAGCCGCTGGACAGGTAGAAACCAAAGAGAAACGGGAGAATCTTGTCATTGAACTCAATCAAGATTTGGATCGCATTTCGGAATGCGGTACCAAGAACTTGGTTGAGTTCATTGCCAAGAAAGCCCAGGTCTGCGCTTTCACGGTAAATCTAACGTTTTTCACGCCTGAGCAACTGTGCTTGTTGTACATGACGTAAGTACGGTCTTGCGTGGAATATTGTTCGCACCCCAGAGGGATGGCTCCGCCAAGTACTTTTTTGATGATTTGGATAGGTTACAGCGGCGCGCGATCCGCATTATTGGCGATAAGGAGGTGACTAAACACCCGAGCCTCTTCAATTAAGCCGTGATGTGGCGTTATTAAGCGCGTTTTATCGTCTATACCATAGCGCATGTTTTGAGGAGTTATTGTTTTGGCCGCAGGCCGGCCAAATGAGGACAGCTGGTGTGGCAAGTAATACTGCTGTACCAGCTATCTTCGAGTCTAGACTCCTCCGTCACCTAACCTCTGATGGAGTCATTTGTCGAACCTATTTATAAAAAAAAGATCTATAGCAAAGAAAAAAGATCTTGATGATTTGTG